CAATATGATAGGATACAAAACAACATGATACCTCTCTATTGTGGAGATTTTTGTTTCTGGGCTTAAATTTTCTATAACTTTGTGTAACTCGTATTTTAGAGCAGCTTCATCGTCTCCAATAACTTCTTATGTTGGTTAAAAATCCTTGAAGCTGCTTGTGTTTTTGCCACCTTGAGGAGGAGGACACTGAATACTTTTGAGGGTAAGTAATGAAAACAGTCACTTAGGCACATAAACAGTCTGCTTTTTAGCCCTGAGGGACCCACAGATAAGCCCACATGTGTCTCTGGGGCAGAGCAGAGCTGCTGGAAAGTGGATCAGAGTGAAGTGCTGCTTCATCCAACAGGCAACGGTAAAGTAAATTAGTGTCCGCTCAGAGACGACCGGAGCCAGACAGAGAGTTTCTGCTCTTATCTCATTTGGAAAATTAGACGCCTGGAAAATTCATTATGGGATTCAATTGGTTGTGAGTAATGAAAGGAGGACATAAAGAACGGAGTCAAAAATCTGAGTTTAAGGTAGACAGTGACGACAGAGCCGCTACAGAAATCAATCCAAAAAGGGCCCAAAGCTGCTGTCTCTGTTGTTCACTGACCTCATATCATTTTACCCTGCAGGCCTGCATGAACAAAGACTTTAAAGTCCCCTTAAAAGACAACACAACATATGTTAAAAAAAGTCTAAATACCTCTAAATTCAGCTGCAGTTAGATTTGTTTGATGCAGTTTCCCAGACTGCACATTCACGCAGATATACAAACACCATCAAATGTGCGCTCCCCTTTGTTTCCCCTCTTGTCTCTACACGTCCAGGACGTCTTTAAGCCTCAGGTTTCACCTTACAGGTGAGGAATGATCTGTTTTTACACACTCAAATGGGACCTGGGTGTACCCCTGTTAGAAATCCTTATCTTTCAACTCTGCGGTGGAAAGAAGAACAGGATTTGTTTAATATACCGCCTTCTGCTCATTTATTGACCTGTGTTGGAGGATTTCAAAACATCCACTTTAACAGCTGATGGACGGTGAAATCGTCCTGAATGAGAAGTTTCTGGGCTCTCAGCACGATCGCAAATTTGGCCGTGAAATTAGGTCCCTCCTGAAATAATGGGATCAATAAATAGCTCGGCAGGGTGCGTGCTGCTGTTCGTCTGCGTATGTTATTGATTTCACATTTCTTTATTCACTCATTCACGCTCTGATATGACATTTCTAACTAACACGCACATTTATTAACATAAAAACCCCATCCCACTGCTCTTTGCAATCTCCTCACATTTACTCTCAATTATTTCGATTAAATCAAAGTTTTAACTCTTAAAAAAAGTGCAGTTTGAGTAAAAGGTCTTATTTGTTGACAGTTATATTAGGAGGCTTGTCTTCAATGTTTACAAGAGAGAGTCATGTGGCAGCGTTTGTTTAAATCTTAATCTGTGTGCTAACAATGGCTGTCAGGTGAGAAACTTCGATTAGCCGGTTCAGTCCTGGTGTCACTGAAGAGTATGAACACACTAAAACACAGCAGCTACATAAAGTGCAGACCTAATCAGCGAAAGATTCCATCAGCAGCTTTTTAGTTAAAAATTCAGCAGCTATATTTGCCTCTGAAACATCATTCCTCATGTTTGTGTGGAGCAGGAACACAAACAGCCCTGCATGCGGCGACATGTGCGCACAGCGTGATGAGGGTGCTGGTGGTGCAGTGTAACGCAGCAGCAGCAGTAGACAGTATGGATCCTCCACTAACCCACTGACCTGCATTGCAGAGGCATTTTTTTTTCTCTTTGTACGTGATCTGCATGTGCAATCAGATATTTAAGTCTTTTGCAATGCTGCCCCCAAGTGTTCAAAGCTGGTTACTTCAATGGAGCTGTCAGAGGTCCTGAGAAGAACAGTATAATAATCTATAGGAGTGGTTGATAGCTACTAATTTATGACTGTTTACATATCGCTGAATTTTGCTGCTGTTAAAGTTTAAATATCTCTACAATGATACATTGAGAGTTAAAGCCGCTATAAGGAATTTTTTTGACATTTGTAAAGTGGACTAAATTTAATATTGAAGCCTTTTTATGATACCCAAAATAAACAAGACCATCAGCAACAAGACTGAAGATTTTCATAACCTAATTTTTATAGCCTGAAACTGTTGTGAGGGGGTAGGTGTCCGTTTTTACGCCCTTGTTTTTACGATTTTCATGTGAACTACCCATGATAATGATACATTTGGCCGTCGAAAGCCAACAGGATGGGAATTATTTGTCAAAATCATGACAAAAGCATGGTTAGAGGACTAGAGGACAAAAAATTAATAAAAAAAAATAAAAAACACTTTTTCCACAGGGGGGCGCAATAATTAATAAGTTCTTCACAGCAGCTTATAAAGTTAAATAGTAGTCAACAAAATTTGGAATATAAAATTATATATGATTATAAAGTAATATATCACATTATGTTATCAAAAAATTACAACAATTTAGCTTTTTCTCTCACACTAGTTTTGTGTTACTTTGCAGTATGTTTTGTCTGTCTTCTCAGTATGTTTGTGTTACTTCCCAAAACATTAACGTCCAAAACCGTCTTCCCCTTGCAACATAATCGACATTTCCTGAATTTCCTTGCAGTAGGCCAACTTTTGTCATCTCTACCAAACATAACTAGTTATCTCACAGTACATCTTTGCTACCTCATATTATGTTTTGCATTCTCCTGCGATACTTTTTTTCTTGCTTTAAGTTTTTCATGTAGTTTTCAACAGTACCCCAGAAATACCGTTGCCGTTGCCTCTCTTTATGTTTCTGTTCCCTCGCTATTTTTCTTCGTTCTCTCCTTTTGGGCAATATTTTGCATTTCGCCCTGTCATACCATCTTTATGTGATAGTCAGATTTACATGTCTGGCAGATTACTGACTGTACATTCAAATATTGTATACTGTATATATGTCAAATATTCAAATGCACTTCTTTGGGTCGAGCACATCTTCTCATCTCGGGCATTTTATTGTATTATTGACTATGTTTAACCTGCATATGACAAATAAACCAATCTTGAATCTTGTCATATTCGTAACATTAGAAATGATGTCATGACATTTTAATGGATCTTGTAAAGTATTCTACTTGAGGGTGCAGTGACATACACTTTAACAGGTACACCATATACACCACATACAGTAATTCTATACTATTTCCATGAGATCACTGCTGGGTCTGTTGACCAAAAAATAAACCTTCCCCTGTGCTCTATATGTCTAATTTTCTTATATTTATTTACCTCACAGAACCACTTGTGTTTCAATAACATTAATCCCTAAAACTGTGCATATAAATTGGAAAAGCTCTTAATAGTTTCACACAATGACTGTTTGTGTAGTGATTATGCACACTTAGAGAGAGCATAGGACGTTTTCTCTGTGAATAATTTGTTCCACAGCTCAGCGATAACAAGTTTTAACTTTCAAATTCAACTGCAAGTTCATCTTTAAAACAAAAGATCTAGTCATGCCTGTATCGCATGTACAGGTTAAACTTTACCTTTGATAATCTGGTAGGCAAATACGGATCGGTGTTGACGGAGCAAAGAGACATTGCTTCCGGTTTGAATTTTCAAAATAAAACTTGAACGATAACCCTTCTCAAAAGGATAAAGTTGTATCTAATGTAATCTAATTTTAGGAACGTAAATAGTTGAACTTATTAACCTGCAAGTATGACTTTTAATTAAAAAAATAAAAGAAAAAAGAAAGGAAGTTCCTCAGGGTTTACTTACAAGTTATTTTAATGAACTTTAAAACAGTTATGGTCTGAAGAGAACATGTTCATTTGTTGGTTAGTGGAGCAGTTGGCCCAATCAGTCACCTGTAATTAAATTGTCCATGATAACTGGGAAATTAACATTGAGTGATACAATAGTGACCAGTAGATATATTGAAACATGTTCCACCATAATGTCCCAATGGTCTAAAAAAGCACGATAAGAGTTTAATAAATCACAATATCTAATTAATTGTAAATAATAAGATAAATGTCTTTTGCGCCACCACAAGGAGTCATGAAGTAGGCTAGCCTTGTGTTGAGTTAAAGGGCTACTCAGGCGTAAAATTAAGCTAGGGTCACACCGTAACAAGTTAGACACCCCGTCGAGGGATGAATGTTGCAGACTGCTTGCTTGTCTAGTTATACCAACGTTAGAAACAACCGCAGATAGGACTACAGAGACCCACACGCTCAACCAAATCGCCACTCTATAGCCACAAATTATGCTCAGAACAGCACCTAACGGAGACCTCCGGACTGGCTCAGAGGTCTCCATACAAACAAGCGGCTGCTGGAAGAGAGAGGGTGAATTGTGTTTGGTATCTTTGCTAAAGAAATTAGGCAAAGCTAAAAAGATGTTTGATGGCTAGTGCTATGGCTAGGACCCTATATGGACTGTTGATGAAGTTAGGTGCTGTTCTGAGCATTATTTGTGGCTGTAGAGTGGCCATTTGGTTAAGCGCGTGGCTCTCTGTATTGCTATTGTGCGGTCATTACTAAAGTTGGTATAACTAGAGAAGCAAGCGGTTGACAACATTCATCTCATGATAGGGTGTCTTACTCGGTGTTACGGTGTGTTTGACCTTACCTTAATTTTACTCCGGAATATCCCTTGAAAGTAGAAGGGGAAAATTGTTTAGATAGCTGTATTATTTTGTAATAAAAGGATCAATAAGCTTTGCAACCAAGGAGTCATAGTAATATTTTATCGTCAAACCAGTACAATGCATAAACTTTGTAATGCTATCACGAATGTGTGGCTATGCTAATATAAAAGTAAACCGTAACCTAAGTTATATTCTAAATAATTATTTAACTTTGTTGTACTTTATATATACGCAAAGTTTCACGTAAAACGATTGAGAAATTGTGCAAAAATTATGTCAAGAGGTCTTTTCTTTGTTTTAAAATTGTCAAATAATCCAAGTTTCCCGCCAGTACTTTATTTTGAAAGCTAAATATCCCATTTCCGGTCTCACCTGCGCCACCTTCATGCGGTACCTATATAAAGTCATGTTATCGGTACATGCCGCTGTATGTGGAGCTCCTCTATCTCTGAGGCTCCGGAACCGGCTCACCCACAGCCGAACAACCGTTACCCGTCCCCGCTGACTCCGCGGCTCAACCATGGCTCTGAGCCTCTTGGAGATGGTGAAGCTGCTGGTCTTCAAACTGGTCACGGGATTTTTCTACATGCTCTATAAGATTTTCGCTCCGAGTAGATCCCATCTGATCGGGAAGAAGGTCCCGCCCGTCAGCGACCCTCTGCTGCTGATGTCCGCCAAGCAGCTCGCTACGAAGATCCGGAAAAAAGAGGTGTGTACCCGGTCAGACAACAACACGACCCCCCAGCTGCTTCAACAACAGCTTTTAGCCTGTATTATAACTGAATAAGTGTGTCTGAACTAGAGCAGGTAAATGTTTGTTTGTAATCACTAAAGTTAAACATGCAGATGAGTGTTTGTTTTCACATCTGTGCTGTGGTGTAATTCCCAACAGCACACCTTTAGGTACATCCTAACCTAGTTGTTGCACTTTCACCTTTTTTTCTTCTGTTTTATCTTCATATATTGATTATAGCATCACCTGTGGAACAGCAGCTTCATACTGTTTATCTTAATAATACTTAACATGATGTTCTCACCTAAGAAACAGCTGCTTTCTAACTACCCTGCAGCCATTTATCTATCATCTGTTTAACTGTCACACCACCTGCTAAGCACAGGTAAGACTTAGAAGTAGATGTAGTTGACTCTGAATAATGTAGTACTTTAAGTTCAGTTAAAAAGGATTCAGATGTGACTGTACTGCTGTTATATAACACTCAATATGTAGTGCAGATGTTGCAGCTGAAACATCTGGTCTATTAATCAACTAGTAAATGATATAAATCCTGATTCTTGAGTGTTTTTCAAAATGCATTTTTTTTTGCAAGGGAACTTTTTCAATTTTTTTCTCTGACATAGGACTTAGCACTTTAAAAGTGTTAAAACATATCTCGATTTCCATATTGATGCCTTTTTATGACGCATGTGAACAAACAGCGACAAGATTAGCGATTTTCATATCCTAGTTTTTAAAGCCTGTAACTGTAAGGAGGTAGGTGTGAGCTAAGCAGCTGAGGAAGAAGCCGTTTTTACATTTTCCGCTTAAAATGTTCATGATAAATGATACAGTTGACTGTTAAAAGGGTGAGGTTCTTGTTAATAAATGCTTCTTAGGCAGGTATAGGATAGGATAAGCAAGGCGGCGGCGCCGAAACGGACACAAACCAAACATTCGTCATTTTAAAGTTACTTTAGTGTTTTTCTTTTGGCTCAAGTTAAGTTTCTCTAAAATACCTTTGGCGAGCGCAACAGCCAGAACAGCCATCGAATACTTTGATTGATTACACTATATAGTGTGCACTATACAAAATGAACACCAGAATAAAGGGATGACATGCTTAAAAAAAGACAGAATTATAAATGACACTCCCAGTCAGACTTAGGATTTGAAGAGGGGGCTGCGAGCTGAGCTGCCACTAACATTAGCCAAGCATTGGTGCACAACCTTCAGTTTACAACAGCCAGAACAGCCACCCAATACTTTGATTTATTAGAATATCTGGTGTTCAGTTTACGAAATGAACATCAGAATAACGGGATGACATGCTAAAAAACAAGGAATTATAAATGACACTCCTAGTCAGATTTAGGATATGAAGGGGGGCTGCGAGCTGAGTATAGTGTACACTATACAAAATGAACGTCAAAATAAAGGAGTGACATGCTAAAAAAAAAAAAACAGAATTATTAACAACACTCCTAGTCAAACTTAGAATTTGAAGAGGGGGCTGCGAGCTGAGCTGCCACTAACATTAGCCAAGTATTGGTGCACAAGCTTTCATTCATTAAACTGCAATTTTACCGATAATACAAGAGATATTGATAATGGTGCATACATTTGTTTTAGTGGTAGTACAGAGGGGGTACCAGCTTATACTCAAATATCTGCGCTAATGTCGAACCTGTTTGACATTTCACCTCCAGGCATGTTCTCTCTGTACTTTTCCCCAAATCGCTGTGTTTGACTCCTTCTTGTGCTCTGTGATTTGTGCGCTTGTGTGCGTGTGTGTTACCTTCTCTCATAGACCAAATATTGTGTTTCTGCAGGTTACGAGTGTGGAGGTGGTGCAGGCTTACATCGACAGGATCCAGGAGGTCAACCCTCTTCTGAACGCTATTGTAAAAGACAGGCAAGGCAGAATCACACGTCTATATGAGGCTTTTATTTTGTTGAGTTTGAGCTGCAACAGTTGTTTGGTTTCTCTTCCCTAAAGTTTGTTAATGGTTGCAAACTGCATAATTGGAGTTAATTTGGCACTTTTTGGGGGGTTTTGCTTATGTAATTCCACTCCTGTACAAAATGTTCTCACCTGTCAAATATGGCACACCTTCCTTATATAACTTGAGTCCTTAAAAAATGTTCTTTTGCCCTCACATGTCAAATCTGACATCTTCCAACTTCAGCGTTTTCTCCTTCAAATTATAGTCCTTCGACGCCTCAGGGGGGTTTTTGTGTTTAAGCTGAGGTAGAGGCACCGGGAGTCAAAAATACCATGAATACATGCAGTGACAGCAGATTACCTCGAGCGTGTTAGTCTGAAAGTATCATCAGTCACTGCTGGTGAACAGGGGACTCAACGAACAATTTTCGTTCAATTTTGGCTTCGAATTGAAACACCAACGTACTTCTTCTTTAGGTTCGATGCGGCCCTTCAGGAAGCGGCCCTGGTGGACAAGTTGGTCGAGGAGGAGACAGATGGAGAGGAGGTTCTGGAGGACCGCCTGCCTCTTCTCGGAGTCCCTCTGTCTGTCAAAGAGTCGTACGCTGTCCAAGGTAAACTTCCAAACATCTGATCTCATGTCAGTCACATGAAACCAGCGCCTTCGCCATGATTACATACATCAAATACGCTGTAAGCGAGCCCCTGCTAACGTGTGTACACACCCAGTTATTGTCCATCAGAGAAATTTGAACTCTCCATACTTCACCTGGTTTAAAAAAAGCCTCCCCGTCCTGCAGGTATGCCTTACACCGGAGGTTTGGTCCACAGGAAAGATGTCATGGCCACCGTCGACTCTCCCCCTGTTGCATGGCTGAAGAGAGCAGGCGCCATCCCCATTGGTGTCACCAACACCCCCGAACTGTGCATGTGGGGCGAGTCCCACAACCACCTGTACGGCATCACCAACAACCCGTACGACCTGTGCAGGACAGCAGGAGGGAGCTCAGGTCAGAGGATCCTGTTGTTAAATTCAGGTCTAAAGTCAAAGAGCATTTGTCGGGAGCAGCTTATTGTTAGAAGTGTCTTTGTCTCCATAAACAGTCCTGGTTTGGCCTGATAATCATATTACAGACTCACAGAGGCTCTGCTCCTCGACCTTTAAAGAGGAACTCGTGTTACTCTCCGAAACGGGTTAGAAGTAGGGCCTGACCAATATGGATTTTTTAGGGCCGATGCCAATACCGATTATTAGGCGGGGAAAAATCTGATTACCGATTAGTTGGACGATTTTTAAAATTTTTTATGAAGTTATAAAAATATATTTATATACTGTAGATATACTGTAGGCTACTGCTCTTCATGCCGACAGGAAGACCAAATGATCAAACCCGGACCAGAAAAGCGTTTTCAACTACCGCTCCCGCCGATCGGTGCCTCCACGTCTTAACTTACGTTACTCACATCCGGTCCGGTCTGATCTGGAGACATGCAGCTGCCTCAGTAAGAGAAGTAGCTGTTGTTTATTCTACCGTTACTGGCACGGCTAACAGTGTAGCAAGGCTAATAGCAGGTGGCTAACTCTAACTTTAGCTTGCATATTACATGGTGCTTCACCGTTAACTCGGCGTGAACGAGACCAGCACAGCGGGGAACATGGTGAAGTGGGTTGAACTGAAACTTGTTGACTTATTGCGTATTTCACAAACTAGTTTCATTATTGTTGAGGCGGACCACTCTCCTCCGTGCGTCCCTGAGCTGCCTGCTTCAGATCCGTCTCTCTGCTGTGCTGTGAGGTAGTTAGTGGATGAAGATTGTCATGAGGTCGCTGCGCCATCTACAGGATAAGTTGGTGAACTTTTCAAATGGCGGAACATTTTCAAAGTGAAAATCGAAAAATCGAAAATTGGCGAGTTTTGGCCGATTACCGATTAGTGCTAAAATTGACAGATTTAATCGGCTCGCCAATAAATCGGTCGGGCCCTAGTTAGAAGAACTTGGATTTGTGGAGAAAGTAAAGAAAGAGGTGCCTCATGTCTGATAAACCTACTTAAGTGATACTGTTTAATAGTTTTTAAGTTTGGTAGAGAATTGGAGGCCACTAAAAAATCAAAAATAAAAGGTCTGAACTTTTTATTTGAATTCTGAAAAACCTAAACTAAATCCATCGAGGATCATGAGGTTTATGTTTTTGAATGTGCAGGTTGGGAGGGCTGTGATCTCCTCTGTAGATATGGTTTCTTCTTAAACCCTTGGCCGCAGTCTCTCAGAGGTGGTGCAGAAATAAACCAACATATCGCTCCTCTGTCTCTTTGTTTACCTTCTCTCTCTCTTATCTCTCAGGAGGCGAGGGCAGTATCTTGGGAGGAGCGGGCTCTGTTATCGGCATCGGCTCAGACATCGCTGGCAGCATCCGCATGCCGTGTTTCTTCAATGGGATATTTGGCCATAAAACTACGCCTGGTGAGAACAAAAGGTCTTTGTTAGAGCGCTTTTGAAGCACCAGGTTTTACACTAACAATGATGCGTTCCTGCAGGCGTGGTGACCTCTGAGCACCAGTATCCTCCCACCACTGGCAGACATGAGGAATACGTTAGCAACGGTCCGATGTGCCGCTACGCCGAGGACCTGGTGCCAGTGCTGAGGATCATGTCAGGGCCCAACGCTCACATGTAAGTAACATGATAGTGTGTGTCTGCAGGGGAAGGGGGAGGGGGTTTACAGAGTACCTTTTGTTCTCTTACACATACCTCTCATGAGGTAATGTCATGAGAGCGGCTTCCTTTAAAGTCGATAAACTCGTTTTTTCGAGAACATGTTGTAAAGTTTAGACAGCGAATTCAGGAGAGTGTTGATACGCAAATATGGCAGGAGGCACATGCATCTTTTTTTAAACTCACCTGAACAGAAAGTACCTGTACTCTGCTACCTCTCCTATTTATTTCCAGAATTTTTACGTTTTTTTAGTTTGATCAACTTTCACTTCGGTTTTTTGACATTTATGTCCAAAATAATAAAATCCTTATTTTCAAAGATGCCAGTGAGTGCTATAAAAAGTTTATAAAAACAATAAAAATAAACACTTGTTCACACTTTTTTGATTGCAAAGTGAATCTTTTCGAACCCAGGACCTTTTGGCTGTGAGGCGACAGTGCTAACCACTACACCACTGTGCCGCCCATTGGTTATCTTTCAGCATTGAAAATTCCAAAGACACCCTTATTTTTGTGTGTTCTGGATCACAGTATCCGGAATTTTGTCTGGATCAGGATCAACCTTTGACACCTCATAAAATTTCAGGTCAATCCGTCTGTTACTTTCTCCGTAAAGTTGCTAACAGACAAACAAACAAACCAACAAACAAACAAACCAACGCTACGAGGTACTAAAATAAAAAACAAAATTTAAAATACTGAAAATTTTGAGAAATAAAACCAACAATGCAAATGGTTAAAAAAGACACAATATAAGAAGAATATAAAAGAATAGTTCACAGGTTAAAAGCCAACTTAAAAAGGTGTGTTTTTAGGAGTGATTTAAAAGTATGGGGGTCTGTACACTGAAGGAAAAATCATAAAACCTTCCAAAAATATTCCAAAAAACATGACGCAAACCATAAAGATGAAAACTTGATCTGCATACTTTGAATAAATTCATCATAATTCGACTCAAAATCCACTTTTATTGGGGTTTAAAGTTTTTTTTTACCTCGGGCAGAAGAGGCAGACGCTAGCACACGCTGAGCTCAGCAAAAATCTAAATCACTGCTCTCACTGCCTTTTAAGTAAATCACCTTCAGGCGGGTAAAAGTCGAACAGGTGTTTTTCCGTAACATGACTGTGACAGGTCTGGACCACTCTGTAACCTTCATGTGTCAAATGCCAGAAATTCTCCTCAAAGTGCTCGTTCGTGAGAATCGGTGCGGTTGTGCAAGTTTTTGTCGGGGAAAGGTGAGAGAAAAGATGAGGAAGTTTGGCCACCTGTCCACAGGTTGAACTTAGACGAGGAGGTGGACCTCAAGACGCTGCGGTACTTCACCATCCCCAACGACAGCGGCGCCCCTTTGGTGTACCCGGTCAGCCAGGAGCTCATCGACCTCCAGAAGAGGGTTGGCGTGCATCCACTCTCAAAAATATTGCACCTCTCTCCTCTTTCTGGGTTTTATTTGAGACTTGAAACCTTTATTTGATGTTTTCCAGGTGGTGGAGCGTCTGGAGGAAGACCTCGGAGTGAAAGTCGAGGAGGTGAATTTCCCCGAGCTTCGCCACAGCGTCCAGATGTGGAACACGTACATGGGACTCCCCGACAAGGATGGAAAGGTGGGCCCTGCAGTCATGACACAGCAGAAAAAAGAGAGTTTCAGTGAGAGAATGAAGATGAACTGGAAGGACAGATAAGAGAGAGGCTCTGTTACTGCGCTGTCGAGGTGATCAGGTCTGACGCGACATGTGAAGGAAATCAGGTCAGTCATGAGTCACGGTAACAGCGCCCATTGTAACAGCTGAGAAGCGCTCCACTAATCCCTTTAGAAGAAGGGAACACAAAACCACTCCACAGCAGACGCTCTCAACACCAGCTGCTGACGAATTATCTAATATTTCCTTATTTAATTCAGAGCTCGGCGAATATCTTCTTTTCCGGACGTTTCAAGGTTAACCGCGCCCATTAAATCTCCTTTACATGTTCAATTTTTAAGCAGAAGCCTGAAGCGACGATAACTCACCCTCAGAACAGCAAAGTGACGGGCTCTATTCAGGTTTAGTGTTACCAGCTCCATATTCATTTCACTGTACAGTGAGGAATCCCATGGCAACAGAAAAGGACCTCAGGACAGAGACTGTCAGTGTTCGTTAAAGACAGTATTGACCTGCTTCTGCTGTGTGACCCGACTGATCCAATCAGAGGTGGACAGCTGCTCGATTATGGCATAAAGTTTTGCTTCTAAGTCTTATGTACTTCTACTGAGAGGGGCCAAGCATCAATTCTTCACATTATCTTAAAAGCTTTTAAATCATTTTGGTGATAAAACTCACTAAAGTAGTAAAGTACTTTTACATAGTGTCCTAAAAAGTGAAGGATTTAAACTCTTTAACCGCTTTTACTTTTTCACAGGCTGTAGATTTTCAAGCTTTCGTATCTCATCCTTCATAACTTTGAGATCTGGGCCTGTATTTTATTACTACACAGGACGATGTCTGACACTTTTATACCTAGCATATGCTAGCAGAAACGTCTGCAAATTATTATAAACTCAGATTAACTCCCGACTGGTGTTTTATTCACATTAGGTGTGATGTAGACTGTGCATTATATTTGGGCCGTACACGGAAATGCAGGACAGGTTGCACCCATAGACTGTATATAGAATGGATGCCGTCTGCCTCTCCCGAGAACAGTGCCCTCTAGTGACGGGCTGCAGTATAGGTCATAAATCCCGCCTCCTCCAGCAATCCCTATGGAGCTGTGGACAAACTTTAGACATTTATTACACAAAAAATAAATTTTTCTCCCCCCTGCTTGTGATGTTGACATGTAGTTATTGTAAGACCGGTTTGTGCTCAAGTCCTTTTTTTTCTGTGCACCTCCATTTTAAAAGTTTTTAGGGGGTTCATGTTTTCTATGATTGACACTTGATACAGCCTATGGAAGTACGAAGATTGCGTAGCTCACCTGGGTGATACGCTGTTTTAGCTGAGCGTCAACACAGCGAGTCTCGGCGACTCTCCCGCTGAATGCGTACAATGCTACTGCGCAATGTTGGTTTCAGGAAGTGGAGAGAAAACGTGGGAGGCAGAACCAAGTTGTCCATAGTATATACAGTCTATGATTGCACCTCTTATTGAGAAAGGAAGAGGGAAAACAAAATCTCATACCTCTCTCCGAACATTCAGTAACTCTGTGTTTTAAATGTGTTTCGTAGCAACCCGAGCCTTTTAACGTGATTTTGGGCGAACCAGGACGACCCGTGAGGCCTATGTGGGAGTTTGTGAAATGGTTGTTTGGAAGATCCACTCACACCTTTGCCTCCATCGGTACGTTCAGTCTTACGTTGTATATTATGAACAGACACTTTATTATTATTGTTATTTATATTATTAGCAGATTGTTTAGAGTCAAAAAGTCTGAAGATGCATTCACTCTTATTAACACACTCTGTGGGGGTTTGTGTGATGTTTCAGGTCTGGCCCTGCAGGAGATGACCTGCGGCAAACCCTCACCGTTCATCATCGAGCAGAAGGAGAAGCTGCAGAAGGATATGGAAGAGCTGCTGGGGACTGACGGTGTTTTCCTGTACCCGACTCATCCCAGGGCGGCTCCGATAACCCACCACCCTCTCTTCAGACCCCTTGACTTTGCCTACACAGGTCAGACCACACGCTGCGAATATTTACTTCCTTTTCTGTGATTTTCTTTAACCTTTTTACCAACCTGAGCGCTGCTTGGTCCTCTCCGTCTTTTCCTCTCCCTCCAGGTGTCATTAACGTCCTCGGTCTCCCGGTTACCCAGTGCCCCCTGGGTCTGAACGATCAGGGTCTCCCCATCGGTGTGCAAGTCGGTGCTGGAAAGCTGCAGGACCGCCTGCCTCTGGCGGTGGCTCTGTACCTGGAGAAGGCGTTCGGAGGCTGGAAGGAGCCTGAAGCCGCCTGAAACACACACACATAAACACACACAGACACACACTCCTGACAGACACGACCAAACCTCCAGACCAGAGCTGAACAGATAGAAGAAAGTCAAGAGCCACGCTGCCTGTCGTAGTCAACCAGAGGTACAACCCGATTGTTGAATGTGAACGCTAAAGAGTTTCTTTTTTTTCAACAATAATTAGAAATTTTATCTTTTTAGGAAATTCTGTGACTGATGCGCCACGAGCACAAGCTTTAAAAACAGATTGTTTTTGTGAAAAACGCTAAACTGCACACTCATCACCAAAGCAAAACAAGACTTTTAGTGCTTTTACATGTTCTTTTTGGGCTTCATCTTAAAAAAAACTTTGTGTTACATAGATCTACTGTTACTTTTTTAACTTTTAAAAGGTCAGACCGCAGAAAGACGAAGCTTTTAAAACGTCCCATATGGGGCTCAGCTGACTCCTTATCCATTAAAGAATCATAAAGGTGTGATCTGATCCTGCACTTACAGGTGAGACTAATCAAGAGGTGACAATCAAGTTGTGGTCAGAAGAACCAAACACCTGTGGAGATGTTTACTGTAAATGTATAGGAGAGGGGGGGAACAGAGATAATAGAGTGAAAAATTGTTTAATCCACTTACAGAAAAGTGCAAAATCTAAGCTGTGTGGTAGCGTGAATGTTGCATAATGGATTTAAATCAACTGTGGTGCCTGTTTTCTGCTGCAAACTGTTGTTTCAGATGATAAATAAAAGGAAACATGTCTAAATCTTGGCTGACAGGCTCTTTCTCCATTTAAAAGAGTAACTTAAAGGACTTTGTTGGACACTCTAATTTTCCTAATTTGAGGTAAAAATTGCTGGAATCCTGCAGAAACTTGTCCCGACCTGTGAATGCGCAGGAATCCGTGAGTAGGAGACCTTTGTCAGAGGGGTAAATGCTCAGAGACCAAAGTGCACGAGGTTACACGAGTAAAAACGATGAAAACCCCCTCCTTGGAATCTGTTGTCACTTTATTTTCTTCCCTTCTTTTGAAAGAGGATGAAAAATTATTCAACATCTACCAGAACAGACAGCAACAGGAACTTTTTTACCGCTCGCTCTCCTCCTCCTCCTTCCTCCCCACGTGAACCCGATTCCTTTCTGAAAGGCCCGAGAGAAGCTGCGACAGTCACATTCATCAGAAAAATACAGACGGCTCGTCTTTTTTCTCCTTTCTAGACGCGCCACATGCTCAGAGTACAAATGTTGAGAAGGTGCCCGCGTCCCGCTCAGACTCGTATGTATAAGTCTCACCTCTCTTGAACAAAGAGTCATTCGGAGGTCGACTTTGAAACAGAAACAATAAAAGGGGAAGAACCAAAGAAAAAGTACAGAAATATTCTTCAGAGTCCAGCGTTTCCAGGAAAAGGGAGGACCTTTCTCTCCTTGAAGATGTGTCACCTGCCCGCTGCTCCGTTTGGCCCAAATGTGTATGCAGATACAAGTATGTGTGTAAACATGTCGATGTTGTTTTCGTTAAGTGGACATGAAACCTCGAGGGCGCGTTTGACCTGGAGTAACGGAGCGCCTCAGGAGGTGTTGGTGATGGGTTTGTATTTCTTGAGGCGGGTCCACTGTCCTGTGGAGTAGTTCATTTCGAACACAGTGTCCACCAGCATGGTGGTGCTGCCCGTACCGTCGGCTTTAGGCAGAACCTCGGTGTGCTCGCTCAGCTTGATCTGGATGATGTCCCCCTGCTCCGGGCACGGGTTCTCTGTGAGACGCAGGAGAGGAGGAAGACCGGTTACAGCGGGTTTGTATGTTAAAGAGTCATAAAGCACAATAAAACCTATCACAACTAATATATATCTTAAGTTATCTCAGACTGATACCTTTGAAAAGCTTTATTAAACTTCATTTTGTTTTAAAGGTGCTTTAAAGCATTCTAGAACCCTTCTCCACTGTTGCCATGCCTAAAATGATGTCATAGACTAAGCCAGTGTCTCATTCTTTGAGGCATTTTAGAACCCTCCTCCACTGTTGCCATGCTTCAGTTGATGTCATAGAATAAGCCTGTCTCTCACTATTCAGCATGAAAATTAAGAACAAGTTTCATTCTGTTCCTGTCTTAAAGGCACTTGAAAGCATTCTAGAACTCCCCTCTAATGTTGCCATGCAACAGTTGATGACATAGACTGAGCCAGTGTCTTCCAATTTAGAACAACAAATTAAGAACAAGTTTCATTTTGCTTCTGTCTTAGAGGCGCTTTTCAGCATTCTAGAACCCTCCTCCACTGTTTCAATGCTTCAGTTGATATCATAGACAAAGCCAGTGTCTCACTCCTAAGGGCATTCTAGAACCCTCCTCCAATGTTGCCATGCTTCAGTTGATGACATAGACTGAGCCAGGATCTTCCAATTTAGAACAACAAATTAAGAACAAGTTTCATTTTGCTTCCGTCTTAGAGGCGCTTTAAGCATTCTGGAACCCTCCTCCACTGTTTCCATGCTTTGGGTGATCTCAAAGACTAAGCCAGTGGCTCATTCTTCAAAGCATTCTAGAACCTTCCTCCACTGTTTCCATGCTTCAGGTAATCTCATAAACTAAGCCTGTGTCTCACTATTCAGAATGACAAATTAAGAACAAGCTTTATTCTGTTCCTGTCTTAAAGACAATTTAAAGTATTTTTGAACCCCCCTCTACTGTTGCCATGCTTCAGATGTCACAAAGTTACCCGGAGTCTCTCTCTAAAATGACAAATTATGTATAAAAAAAACTCCAGACAAGAGCGTTAAATCTGATCTGTGTTTTTTGTTCACCCTCTGCTGGGACAGCTGGGGTTAAAACTTTCATGCTTACATAAAAGCTCTTTGTGCTTCAGGGTTTTCTTTGTTTTTACTGACCTTTTGTAAAAGACTGGTTGGACCGAGTTCAAGAAGACACTGACTTGTCACTCCGACAAGATAAATATTTTTCTAACAGCGTCTCAGTCACTCAACCAGATTTGGGTAAGAGACACAAGATCAGCTGACACACCGAAACCTGACACCATTCTGAACGAGTGTTTGTTTATGATGCAGTGAGATTATCTGTGTACCTCTGGATCCAGCCATGAAGCCCAGGATGAGAGCTTTTTCTGGTCTGGTGACTTTGTTGGCCGTCTTGAACATCTCCTGCGCGGCGTACATTTGATCTCTCTGAGGGGGACACAGCAGATATTTGAACGGCAAGCTTCAACACCAACATTTGAACATCAACCCTGAAAAGTTACAGTCCCCTTTGAGTGAATCTACATCTTACCGTGAGCGACAGGTTCTTTTTGGGCTGTGGCTGCGGAGGTGTGGGTGTGGGTGTCGGGGTGGGGGTCTGAGGTGTTGTGGGAGGCTGGGTAGGGGTCTCTGGTTGGCTGGCGGTTGCAGCTGCAGGGGGCCCGTTGTTGGCGGGGGTGGAGGCCGGCGTGCTGGGGGACGTGGGGGTCGCCGGGTTGGCTGTGTTGCCGGCGTTGTACATCGGCGTCCTCTGTTTGTACTGGCCTGGTAAGGTTGCGTTGGCGCCCGCGCCTGCTGTCGCTGACTCCTCCGGTTGACGAGCGGACTGCAGCGTGTCCCGACCTGAACCACCAGCATTTGCTTTGGAAGAGAAAGAAAATAAAAACGTTGTGAGGAGTTTGGTTGAGTTTCTGTCTGTTTAAAATTATCCTACAGAAATACAGGGAAGAGCTGCAACTGTGGACTGTATAAAACATGGAAGCAGTCTCTGAGACGTCACCCAGTGGTTTCTCCAGGGGTGTTATGAATCCCAAACGTATCATGAATAAAAAGATTTAGACATGCATAAAAGATTTTCACTTATATGTCCATTTCCTTGAATTCAGATAAAGCCATTTCCTGCATACAGATAATTCAACAGACATTAACCTTGAAATCTGACACTTTGCTCATGTTTGGTCCTGACGTCTAACTTTAAATCTTAACAATTATTTTCAAAATGTGAAAAAAGCATGACACCTCCTCTTTAAGCACCATAATCAGGATATTCCCTCATGTGTTTGTGACCGTTTTGAGCTAACCTGGCTGCGCCTCAGAGCTGGGAATGTAAGAGGAAGAAGGGACCATGCTGGGTGTAGCTGGTAGGTAGCTGGTAGATGGAAGAGGATTCTCGTTCAAAGCCCCCAGTTTCTGAAAAATGAGCATAAAGACAGATTTATAGGAGAGGGTTTTATGGGACAAAACCGGAAAATCAAGACTGAGTGGTAGAAATGAGCTTCAAAAGTGCAGTGCTGAGTGCAGTACCTGTGCAGACACGAGGCCGGCAGCGTAGTCTGGTGTTGTGTTTTCCACCACTGCTTCTTCTTTGGCTGCTTTTTCTCCAGCCTCCGTTTCTACCGCAGGAAAAAATAGAACATATTAAAAAAGTCACTTTCTGTGGGCTGATGAAAGAAGATGGTAGATGATAGAGGGCTGGGAATATAACTACCCAAAGTCTTTCTTCTCCTCTTTGCCTCTCTTCCGGCTCCAACCATGTCCAGCTCTGAAATATCTAACAGCTGCATGGATAAAAGACAAAACACAATGATTGTGTTAGAGTCAGTCCTTCAAAACTCAGAGGAATCTAGTAAAATGTGTCATTTTTGAGTTGACAGGTGGTGATTCTGAAATCCCACATTACCTTAACCCCCCTCTCCTTCCTCAAGGGCGTCCGTGGAGGGGCGATGGGTGTGCGGTTACTAGGAGGGCTGAACATACTGGGAGCAGTGGGGCTGCGGAACGGAGCTTTAGGAATCCCCTTAAGAGGAGCTGGGGTGGAAATATTAAAGCATGTGTCAGCAACAAAACGAAAACAAAGCCTGCGCTTCAAGCATGTTGACTATAATCTAGAACATGTTAATGATTTGATGATTAGTGCACATTAAGGCTAATTTGTCAACTTTTTGCAGAGTTTCTTTATTTTCCAAAGTGTTCACATCTTTGAAGTGCTAAATGATGAAATGAAGTAACGGTAGAGCAGGTATTTCAGTGCACTAATTGGTTTAAACCCACTTGTTGTGTCAATCTTTTTAACCAGTCCTCTCCCTTTGGCGTGAAAAGGCACTCCAGCTGTCTTCTTCAGCTGCTGGGCTGTTTCTGTGGCTGGAAATAAGAAAGAGAGAAAAGGGATAAAGATTGATTTTTGTTCGTAATTATTTTAAAGCGACTGTGAGGAACTTTCAGTTTGTGTCAGTTATCATTATCATATCAGTGACTTACATTTCTGGAGCAACTCTGCTCTGAGGGTGGCGCTCTTGGGCTTCCTCTTCAGCTGGAAATGTTTGACTGGAGGTGTGAGGGGCCCCACCAGGGTGGTGAGCGCACTCTTGTTTAGGTACTGGCACTCCAGAGGGAGCATGGCAGACGCCTCGCACTCGCCCACTGAGAGGGGGAAGAGAGAGGAGATGAACCAAGAATTCACCTCAGCACTGATACTTATTAAACTACGTCTCCTGATGTAAACAGTTTTAACACTTTAGCAGCTGGCTGTGTGAAACCGAAACTTGTGACACTGAAAAACAGTCAAGGATGGAGACATTTGACTTCAGTGATCGGCAGAGCAGTTTGAGCACAGAGATCCATCACACACACTTCGCACCTTTCTCTCTGAGCTCCCCGAGGATATCCTGCACATTTGGGTTCTGTTCCTCCAAGTCCAGATTCAGAGATCCGGTCTCAGGGAAAGACTTGAGGATGTCTGCAACCATCAGGACCCAGGGCTCAGAGTCCACCGTGGCCAGCTGAATTATCTCTGACAGAGCCTCCTTCATCTGCAGAGAGAAGAGGAGGAGGATGATAATGAAACCACTTCAATCAACAAAAGATGAACTGGGAAAAAAATTGGTTGTGTCCAATAGAAGAAAAATTAAAATCAACATTTATACAGAAGTTATATTTGGGAGGTGTTTTTTCTCTGAGTGATATCTGACTCTCACGGCCCTGTGTGACTACAGGAATGAACCCATTTGAATACACATGTTACGACAGGAAAGAGGAGTCACTTCTTAACACCCCTCTGGCGCTGACTTTTTCAGAAGTACAAAAGAGCCACCTGCTGACTGTTGAACAAACCATTTTCTTTACATACAGGGAAAAATGTTCTTGTCACAACATACATAGACCTGCATCTTACTATCCTCTATGTTTTAATCATCCATACTGCTGGTTACTAAACACCTCAGCAATAGAATAGAAAAAATAAATATACTTAACAATGTGATAGTGTTATAATAAAGTAGAATAACTGTTACTGGTTGACCACTATCCACTATTTAATATGTATGTCCTCATCTAGAGGACATACAAGACTAAATAAAATCAGATTTTACTAATGTAAATGGCTACCAAAGAAACATTTTAATGAAACCCTGACATGACTGAATTAAAGTTAATAATTATGATGTGACGCAATGGTATGTTGCTTGACACAGTTTGTAGAAACATGAACATATTCTGTTACATTCATTAGGTGTCTTCTTTGACATGTTTGTTGTATTTAGAGTTGGTGTGCTCGGAGTGCATGTTAAAAGGGATATTCTGGTGTAAAATAAATTTATGGTCAAACACACTGTAACACAGAGTTAGACACCCCCTCGAGAGATGAATGTTGCCGACTGCTTACTTCTCTAGTTATACCAACTTTAGTAACGACCGCAGGATAGCAATACACAGCGGTCTGAGGAGCCATAAACAAACCTCAACCAAAACGCTACGCTATTTAAAAAAAAAGCCATTTAAAAGTACGCTATTTCTTTTGGTGGGATATAGACCCCTGGAAGAGAAGCTATTGCAGATGATGGGCCTTTCCTTTTCGGGAAAATACGATTGAGGGATAACAACAGTGGAAATAGATAGCTACACACTGACATACAAAAGTGACAATAAACACATGAATATGAAAAATACAAAATAGACTGAAATGACCTAAATGTTTTGATAGTTGAAGTGGTGAGAACATGTAATGTAATGCATGTAATACGGGGGTTTAGGTGGTTTTAGGAGACAAACTGATGACGGTTTCAAACGCTCGAGCATCTCAGCAGGTGATATGTCGGAGCGCGCGTGCTGGTACCGCCCTCCCGCTCCCCGTTAGCTGTCTCGTGCCCATCCCACCATAATGTCTGTCTGCGCGAGGACAGACGGGCTAACTTTAACCGCAGCGGCGAGAAAACGGCTAAAAACGCTAGTTTGAGTTGGCGTTAGAGTAGCAATGTAGCTGCGGCGCATTAATGATATTTCGTGCGTGTGCTATTATTTAAAAAAAGGAGGTAGAAAGCGTCGGGTTAAGTCGCGAAGTAACCGTTTAGTGACAGGTAGTGTCGTCCCTGACAGCAAGCTAACTTCAGCTAACGGCTCGATATCGCTGTTTGGAAACTCTTCTGGTGGATTTTAACACTCGTAGGAAGGGTGTGCCACTATTTAGAGTAACACCCGGGATATCTGACTCATCTCTAAGCTGTTTCTCTTTGTTTGTACCTTCCCGTACCTGCAGGGCTAACAGCGAGCTAACGGGTAGCTACCCACCTCGTCAACTGTCCGCCGGGGGAGATGCAGCATCCCGAGCAGCAGTTTAAGCTTCACCGGCGGCGATAAGCTCGAAAAGCAGAGCCGTATGTTGTCAATCACGGACACGGTGAGCAGAGAAGCGATGCTCGGGGGCGTCCAGAGCTCGTCTGTTGATCCCAGTTTGTTGTGAAGCCACAGGCCGGTGTCGCTGTCCTTCATCGACGCCATCTTGGAAAAAGAAGTGTTTTGAGTTCGGGCATTTTAACGGGCTACCTAAGAAAACAGTCAGGACCCCGCCCACGCTGAGGAGGGGAGCATTTTTCAACTCTTGAGTATAAAACTCGACAGGACTAAACAGGTGAAGCTCATGGGTGTGAAGAGCTACAATAGATCGAGAATCGAGAATAAACATGTTAAAAATAAAATCAAGGAAACTGAAGTCGTGATATCTGGACAATAGCGCCGTGCACTTACTTTTCCTTAAGTCACAACCTGGTTTATCGACCCGAAGATACCTGTATACCTGGAATTAAAGTTAACCGTTTCTAAAATTAAGCCTTTAACATTCACGTCACCGTCCAGGGGCTCATTTACAGAGCTTGCTTACGCACAAAACGCGGGTTGAAACTGGCGTACACCACTTCCCACGCGAAGGTTGTGATTTATCAAAACAAACTTGGCGGGAGAATTATGCGTACCGGTTCGTCAACTTTGATGATTGCGCACGAACATTTAGGGGACATGGGAAACTGGCGGTGCAGATGGTGAGGTGGTAAATTGAATCTAGATGCATCTTATACATTTAATGTTATCACATATTAGACTTATAGACCTGCTTAAACATAAGTCTGTAGTGTCATAGGTGTGTTCCTTCAGTGAGCCATGAGGCCCGCTACTGAATGCACAATATTCATTAGTGCTGGGAAGATATGCTTTTCTCCCAAATCGATTTTTCTATTTTTTTTTTGGGTGTCGATTCGATTTAAATTGCGATTCTATGATATTGCCGATTTTCTCGATTTTTAGTCTGCATTTCTAACACCAATGAAACAGTTGAATGATTATGATTGTCTACTGACTATTCCAGGAGCCATATTTCCAAAAAATTAAACATCAAATGTAAGTCAGTTTTCAAGATGTATTCTTACATATGAAAAAAATCGATTTAAAATTGTAAAACAAAATTTGCGATTCGTATGTGAATCAATTTTTTTCCTCCCACCCCTAATATTCATATATCATACTTCCATCCTCAAATGTTATAGAGTGGTGGATGGCAATGATTGGTTAGTATTAATTGTGACTAGATCTATAACAATCAGTGTAATTAAATAAAGCATGTAAATAGTGACACTCGTGCGTAATGCTGCTCAATGAATGTGTTTACACTGCCGGAGTATCACACAAATGGTAGGATCAGGATGGAGAGACTCTAAAGGGACCACAAAGATTTCCTTGCCCATGATAATACTGGCTAATAAGTCAGTTAAGGTTCACTAGAGCAGTGCAGTGCTCTTGGATATATGTGCTGAACACCTACGGATCTGACCACTTCTTTTTCACCTCTGCCACTCTCACTATTACACTACACTTGTCTTTTAATAGTGATGCCCTCTCTGTGACCACCAAATAAAATATTTTTTCTGTTCCCCACTTCACTCACAAGCACCCCTATTTCAGTCACTGTGAAATTCCTTTTCCTGGTCTACTCTGCCATGATTGAGCATAAAATACCATTGAACAACAGGTTTATTTTATATGCAAATAAATTCATGAGGTACTTTACATTGACCATTTATGGTAAATGTGGGTGTGTAAAGGGTGGGATGTGAGATAAATCTACCTGCGCAGTCTTCCAGGTGGACTGTGATTTATAAAGGATAGAGTGCTTGTAAGTGTGCATAGTACTAAATCGGATTAAAATCCAGCGTTTATGTTATCGTATAAAGGGCATAAATACAGAACAGTGGACACAAAGTGATGTATCTGAGTGTTATTCTACCTCGAAAATAGGAGCAGAAAACAATGAACGAACTCTATAAACTACAAACGCCACAGTGTTATTTAAAGTATTACAAATAAGCATAGATTTTTGCTCCAGTACAAGCTGTTTAAAAAAGTTTGAATTAAATATTTTCTGTACAGGCTTGTTGGGACTTTTATTTTGAAAAAAAAATCCACAGGAAGTCTTGATTTTGGTCCCCCAAAGCAAAATCTCTGATGAGCTATACGCATGCGCAGTCCTTTATTCGACATAAAACAATCCTTGGTGGGCATCTTGCGCTGTTCTGGTGTGCAGGGTATTATCGATATATTCACGGTAGGTTAACATACTGTTTGATATATGAATATTTCGTCCTAACTGTTAAATCTTTTATGAAATAAAACCTGATATTTACCGATGGAAACAGGACTATTTTATCAACAAAGCCGATGAGAATTTTGTTATTCTGCTCACTGGGGGTCGTATTGAACAATTTAACGTTTCTGTGTTTGTTGAAATGACTGAAAACCACGAACTTTAACCTTTATTTCTGATTTTAAAGGTTATTGAACATATCATCACTATGGCATCCAGTGGGTATCTGCAGGCAGCTGTGCTCCTGCTTGCGGTCCAGCTCCTCTGTCTCGGTGCAGCTGATGCGGATCAAGAGACTGGGACTGTCATCCCTGCCGAAAGTAGGTGGATTTAAAGATGACATTTAGCTTTGGCAGCCTGTTTGGTGAAGGGATTTGTTAATATCTGTAAAATGGATATTTGTCTGCCACTATCAGGCTTCTGCAGGTCACATAATAGCAGGTCCCCATAGGGGTTTCTCAGTGGGAATAGTAGGTCATGCTAATTAGTGTATACACCACAGCATGAAAAATGCGCCCGCACAGCTATTTAAAGCCTCATTTAATCATTTCTACAAGGTGCAAAAAATGTAGAGGTAGAGGTTTCTTTTACAGACAACATTGGCTGTAATTTTAAATTTGACCCATGGGAATAAGCCTCATGTTTATTCCCTTTTATCAAGGTTAGAGATGTTTAGTTTGCCAGTGGTGGAGCCAGATGTTGTTGAGTGGGGTGGCCAAGGTGGGGCACAGACTTTTGCACGGGCTTACCCTAAACTATAGAGGATTTTCTTCCATTGATGGCATTTAACTTTTAATACTAACACATGACGTATTCTTGTGTATGATTTTTAACTTTGAAGGTAAATCAACAGTGTCAACAGGTAAATATGTTGACTCAAAAAGGAGATGTCTGACCAAAGTCAACATTCAATATGCCAATCAAAGAACTCGATCAACATAACAAAGCAATAACAAAGGCTACGTTCACACTAAAGGTTATGATGCACAATTTGGATTTTTTCTTAAATCCGTTCTTTTTGTGCGGTTGTTCACATTACAACAACGAATGCGGGATGTAATGTGAACGGAATGCATCCGTGAAGTGACCCACATGCGCACAAAGCACAAATTGCTTTCCGCGCCTGTTTGTGTTGTCGAACAATGATGACGTTTAGGTCGGATGAACGCGATCTGAGCGTCCACACTGCAGTCACATCGGATACATATCCGATTTATACCCACATACAAAAGAGGCCTGGGTCGGATTTTAAAAAAAATCTGAATTGCACTGTTCACACCTACATGAAAAAATCGGATATGTGTCACATATGGTTAAAAAATCGGAATTGACCTGCAGTGTGAACATAGCCTAAGTCACTGGGGTGACCAGTCCCATTTTAGGGGTGGTTAAGTCCCCCCTTGCCATCCCCTGACTCCACCCTTGTCAAAGTATGTCCAGTACCTGAATTTGCAAGCTAATACCGCGCCATGTTTTCTGCTTCTTTCTTCTCATTTCCAGGTCGTCCATGTGTGGACTGTCATGCGTTCGAGTTCATGCAGAGGGCACTGCAAGACTTAAAGAAGACTGCTTTTAACCTGGACGCCAGGGTTGGTGAAGGACTCTGAAATCTTGTTTTCTAGTTAGAGGCTTTTGTTTGAGGAATTTTCTCCTCCTGTGCTGTCAGAGTGTTAAGCGCTCGTGAATCAGCAGATGATGAGTCGCTCTTAGAACAATTTGATAATGATGATGAGTTTGTGTCTGAACAGAAAGTACTGGAGTGGATGATGATGATGATGATGATGATGATGGCTGGACTGATTCACTGGGCAGATTCATTTTACATGCGATGTGTAGAATGAACAGACACTTTAAATAATGTCTTATTTATCTTCGTCTCATTGTTACTGCATTTAGGTGTTTATGTTTTTGGTTGATGTCTAAAATAAGTGCGACCAATAATTTCAGAGGTTGAAAAAAATTTGTTGTGGTGATATCTTAGTCTTGTTTAAATATATCTAATGAAATATTCACTCAAGTTTGACAATACTTTTCCCCTTTTTTAAAAATTCTGCTTTATTGTTGTATCTTGAACAGGAACAATGTGATACAAGCTCATATATTGGTCACTGATTGACCCAGTATCGGTATCAGTATCGGCTAATTAAAGAATGATATCAGTCAACCACTAGTTATATGGTTTTGAAATTTAAAGTATTGTATTGTGAGGGTGTTTAGTGATCTTTAATGAATAAGAATGATAAAAAGCCGAAAGCAAAATCCCACAAGTCTGACTAATGTTTATGTTTTGTGTGTTTTTTTCCATCTCAGACAGAAACGCTGGTGCTGAGGGCAGAAAGGAGGGCTCTGTGCGACTGCATGCCCACCAACTCACTGCGCTGAACCCTGCTCTCCACCCTGCGGTCACACACACACTGAAAACAACCCTGCTCTAAACCTCTACTCATCTAACCTATTCACATGATGGGCACTTTATTTATTTGAACCACGTCGGTGTCGAGTCAAACTTTGATTTCTTACTCATGCGTCATGGGGCCTGTCGTTGTTTTGCCTTATTTAGGACGACTTTTATACCACTGATGTTTTCACTCATGTTTGAAGTCAGTCTGATTGGACTCATCACTCATGTGTCTCTTATGGAGCTTGAACTATTTTTTGTACTTTTTAGTATTTGACTGTATAATGTAGATACAGTAGGATGCATCTGTGAATTTACATGTTGAGTGTCTTGTGTGAAATTAATGTTTACAACGATTTTACACATCAAACTGTAGCATCATGTGACGTTTATTTAACAGCTCAAGTACTCCAATAACACTTAGAATTTGCTCAGCTACTTTTGGACTGAAAAATGGGTAACTTAAGAAGAAAGCTATTTTACTTTTAACGTACAAAGAAACAGTCTGCAGAGGAAAAGTTCAAGAAATGATATCAGCATTTTTTTTTTCTGTTTTGGCCACAAAAGTTCTTTTGAGTCCTGATTTAGCACAGCACTGTAGCATGAATTTACAGCACTTTTTGTTAACCTACTGTTAATATAGATTGTATGTATAGATTATGTATATGTACACGGGTACATGTAATGACAGACTTTGTTCTTTGTCTGACAAATGTGTATGCAAGTGACGAAGTATCAGATGAACTGCAATATAAGCAGGTGAAGGGAGGGAGGCTGGCGACAGAAGAGGACGTTTAGATAGAACTTTAATTTGTCTTATTGTTGCTTGTTCATAAACTCTGTACTTTAGAAACATTATGTCACAAAATGCCCCATTTACTGTCTAAATGTTGTACCTATCAATAAAAACAATGAACGATATTTGCTGCTGGTCTTGCTGTTTTTTTTTTGTTCCGGCTGTGACTTTAATCACAGATTGTCCATGACCTTAAAACCGACTCACATCCATTCATTCATTTCCTTATCCAGTCATCGTTCTCTCTGTTCGGTCTCACAGCTCGGCTGTAGGTGTAGTACTGTGATGACAATGTGCAACAAATGTGTAAAAGTATTTCCACTCCCACAGTGGGCCTCTACGGATGGAGCTACCGATCATTGTATCACAGAATTATGGACCTGATTTTTTCTTGAGCTGCTTACTAATCCTGTTCGTTTTCTAGATGTTACTGATGAGACTGCCAACTCCAGAAGTTATGAACCAACAAACTAAAACATAAATCAGTGTTTGATGCATTGGTCTTTGATTGTTTGTAATCTATAAATCTACTTGCATGAAAACGCCCTCAATAGTATTTTAGAAACCACATATATCAGGTAGTACAATCACATATTTTAGTGTCTGTTTGAGTTGCAGATAAAAAATAAACACTTTTGAGTTTCTCTCATGACTATTTTTAAAAAGTGACTTCAAGCTGAATCGCTTTTGTTTATAAATGAGATCTTTAAAGCTTCAGTGAGGAACTTTTCGTTTGTGTCTTCTTTGGCGCCCCCCTGTGGACAAAGCAGTCTTAAGGTCCTTACACACCGGGAGCGTTTTTTTTCCCCCGTGCAATTATTTTAGACGCTAATATTTTTTTTCGAACCCGTATCCTGTCAATAGAAACGTTCACATCAGCGACGTTTTTCCGTCCTGCGATATTGCGGCATTTATTTTTTCCTTTTACAGTCAATATTTCCAAAGTTTTGCATACTGTGTGTCCACTTCTGACCAATCAGATTTTGCAATGTCAGATTCACCGGTATATCCAACATGGCCGACCGGCGGATTGTTTACGAGTCGGAGAACAGAGTGATTTTTGATAAAAGACACAAATATTACAAAGACAACGACCTGAAGGACAACTTGTGGAGATTCATAGCATTGGATTTCTCATATGACGATGGTTTGTGTGCTTTAACAGTTTGCTAAACGTCTTTGTTTTAACTTTCATCTGTGCTAAGTAACTTTAGCTCGTAAGCTAACCTGTTCAGATATATCATGACAGACAGACATCTCAACACTAGTGTCTAATCAGAACTGAAGAAAACTCAGTCTGCTGTTGTGTCAGTCTTCTCGCTTCCAACCGGGGATGTGTCTTTTTTTCCCCCCGGAAAGTCGCAAAATCGCGCTTGATATGAATAGTCAGGCGTGTCAACATTCGCCTCCGGATAATTCGTAATTTCACGTTCTATATTTGCGTCGTTCCCGGTGTGTAAGGACCTTTATTCTATCTTGCCATCCACATACTTGAGTAGTGTTTTTTTAACCAAACCCGGCTCACTTTTGACAACGTTTAAGTTGAATATGAATATTTGTTATGTGAAAACTGTAAAAGCGGGGCTGACACCTTACCCCTAACCCCTCGCACCGATCTCAGGCGTTAAAAATTGCAATATAAACACTGTCAGTCTTATTGTTATTGGTCTTGTTTGCTTCTTTATGTGATGAAAAGGCATCAGGATTAATTTCATTGTATTTCATAAATGTCAAAAATCTCCTCACAGGAGCTTTAACATGAAAACCAACAACAACAACCAGAAAATAAAACAGTCCCCAAAATACTAAAAAACGGTGGGTGGTTAAATTAAATTATAATTATTACTTTTTGAATAATTTGGGGTTTGAACTTAAGTAGTGAAGTGTTTTTTTTTTTTTATATACAATAGATATTATTTTTACAAATATGTCTAACACTGTATAGGAGCTGCTCCCTTTAATCTAACACCTTGTCTATAAAGCCAGAGTGTCAGTCTTAAGAGTGGTGCTATGTTAGAGTCCTGCTGTTTGAGCTGACCTCATCCTCTCCCACATAGACACACCTCAGTCTCTTTTACAGCAGGGATTACAGCATTGAAATAAAAAAAACGCTGCAATACCCAAATCTGCACCAGCAGGGGGAGCTCTGAGTAAAGGCAAGCTGCCAGCTGTGTCGCAGCGATGCAGCACTCTCCACAGGCTCCTCTCCCTCTATGGCAGTTCAAGCAGACCGGATGAAATAACATAAATGGAAAGATTTTAAAGCGCCTGCAGGGATCTAACAGGAATGTCGGACCACAAAAACCTCCATAGAATACATGCAACCTTATTACACAGGATATCCCATTTCTGCGGTTAAGGCAGCTGTAACCCTCCAGGCTTTTACTGACTGAGAGGTTTTGGGTTTGCAGGGAAACTAAACATTCGCTGAATCACTCTGAAAAATCCTTGTCGTCAAGCAGCCTCTCCTTTCTTTCTCCCCGTGTCTCCCGCTCACCCACCGGCTTCCTCTCTCCACAGAGACCCTTTCAACTTTTCTTTCATCTCGCTCCCACAAAAGCTGACTGAATCGTTCCAGCTGTTTGAAATTCTCCTGCAGGGGGGCAAAGCAGCCATAATCCTCGATATTTTCTTCCCTTTTCAACCTTCAATCTTCCCCAGGCATCGATTTGACCTTGGCACTAAAGTTTGCTCGCTGCACAAGTGTGGGAGTGTTGTTTCTTTTCGACATACCAGAGAGAAACTCAGTCAGGTGTTTCTGAATAATTCAGCAAAGACTGCATGTAGATGTAGAAACTCTATTTCGAGAAAACTCAAACTATTTTAATCTGTCAGGTAAAGTTGAGAATTCTTATCATCGGCAATGAAGATAAAAATTGTTCACACTAACTCTGGATACCATGAAGAGACACGGTCAAGTTATTAGTTACTGACTCAAACGGAAGCTTTTTATTGGTTCATGACTTTAGGGACAATAAATCAATATATCGTTGATTTTGAGCGACATATCTCTTTATGCAAACTGTTGAAACTAGGATGCTCACTAGGGCTGGGACGATATGCTTTTCTCACGATTCGATTCTTCTACGATTTTTTGGATGCCGATTTGATTTAAATTGCGATTCTACGATATAGTCGATTTTCTCGATTTTCCTAACACCAATGAAAGAGTTGAATGATTATAATTGTCTTCTGACTATTCCAGGAACTATGTTTCCCCCCAAAATACACATCACATGTAAGTCAGTTTTTAAGCTTTATTCTTAAATTTGAAAAGTAAAATCGATTTTTGGACATAAAAATCAACTTGAAAATTGTAAAACAAAAAATCGTGATACTTATGTGAATACATTTTTTCTCCCACCCCTAATGCTTACATTACACAAATGAACTACTGATCCTCCAAGTGAACCTTTTGTGATAGTTGTTAGCGTAAACTGAAACTTTTCGCTGTTTTTGTTAACGTTAAAAAAAATTAGTGTTTCAGGATCCTCCGATTTTAATTAGCTAATCCTAGTTAAAAATTTTCAGGTTGTTTTTGCCTGAATTTTTTCAATCTAAGTTTCTCTGTCTCACTCCGCTACAGGTCAGGAATATTTAAAAGATTTTTTGTACCCACAGCAATCAAACTGTTTAATTTTTGTGTAAATCGCAAATCAAATGAGACTCCAGAACACCGAATTTCCCTTTGAGGATCAATAAAAGTCTTCTTATCTGATTACTTTGGCTAAAATAATATTTAAACTGTTATCTAGATATTTGGACTGTTGTTTCAGAGCAACTTTAGTCTGACTTGAGCTTCTCATCAAACACCTTCAGAGAGGATTTGAATTTTCAGCTTTTTGCTTGTTCGTTGATTTCTTTTGATCGGTCTCAATCATGCAAATTCCAGCAGACTTCATCGATGACACATGGTCATCAAAAGAAAACCAAAACCAGATTTTTGAGAAAACAGATCAACAGCTGGTGCGAAAATGATCTGTGAAAAAATAAAGCTGCTCAGCAGCTTGTGACGCCTTTTCCAAATAGGAATGAAATCTGAATTAACTGTCGCAACAAGACGAAAAAGTGAGCGTGACGCGGAACAGGAGTGGATAAACCTCCATCTGTTCAGTTTGCTTCTGTTACTTCATATTATACAGGTACATTATATAAGTTACATAAGACTGTGATGAAGATTTGAAGATGTTTTTTTAAAGGTAAAATGTCTGAGCAGTGAGTTCAGGTTTGTTGAACTCTTTGTGATGTTTGACTGTTTGTTTTAGCTCCTCCGGTGAATGATCACGCAGTCGCAGTTTAGCATAAACTAGACGACTTTGTTTATTCTTCCTCTGCCTCGAGGAGCTGAAAACTGTCTCTTTTTGTCACAGACAGAAAAAGCCAAATATTGTATTTGCATTGTATGTTCTTGTCATGAAAGCTTTGTCTCTTTAAAAGTTATATTGACTTGTATAATTCAGAAATAATGTATCTGCAGGCCAAAGCAATAGCAGGAGTCTGGAGAATTTGCCAGTGTTAGCAGGACACCATGAATAAGTCATATGCATGATAATACATTAATTATATATGTGTATATTTCAGCCGGGCCACCATAAATTACTCATTACGGGACAATCTTGGAAAATGCTTGACCAGAGCAATAGAAACAACAGAAACAGAGAAGAGGAGTCGTACTAAAAAAGAAAAGATGAAGTTGTTTTAAATGATCGGTAAAAGCAGAAAAACAGATGCACCAGAGCTGCATTTGTCTGAAATATGTTAAAGTCAAAATAGAAATGGGCTGAAATACAGTTTCCAACCAAAATTAGGATCAAAATACGCAAACTGTATTATTGTCCACAACAACAGTGACTCAAAAACTGCTTTCTTCTCCAATGTCTCTGGATAGACCTGCCCTTGTTGACATATCCCGGAGTATTGACTCTGTGAGTTTGTTCACTGTGTGGAGAATCAACATATTTAAATGTTCAGAGCAAATACGCTCTGAGTTACAAGTCCAAATAATCAATATAAGAATGAGAATAACACTAGATACCCCAAGTGTGCCACTTCTAGCTTTCCAAAAGTGTGGTGGATTGAGGGATGGAAGTGTCTTTATTAGTATAAAATCGTTTTGCCAATTGGTTTTAAAGCAGATTTCACTAAATTTAAACAGGGAACTGAAACGGGTCTGATCAAAGAGCTGAATCTTTATGGGTTTTTCTTTCAAATTAGAAAACATTTAAAGTAAAAAGCACAAAAAAACTGAAGCTGAGACAAAATTTTTTATTTCATGTCAAAGGCTTTTCCGTCTCATTATCGTAAGACAACGCCTCAGTTACGTGTACATAGTCATGATTATCACTCCAGAGAGGAGGTGCGCTGAATAAAGAGACGTAAAATCACCAGAAGATATACAAATAGAAATGTTCTTTTTAATGAATCTCGTGGTTTGCAGTTTCATGTACAGGTGTGTCAGAAATATTCTCCGAGCAGGACGAGAAAAAGTTGTGCATTCATGTGAAATACCATCAGGTTTTTGTTTTTTTTTTAACGGGAATTTAGCTACCCCAACATCTTAAAAGGCTTTTAATCGTCAAACATCAGGATCACTTACTCTGTTTTCCTTTCAGGTCAAATAAATTCTAATCTTTTTTCATGAACTTCTCATCATTAGCAGGGTCCTGCATGAGAACGTCATCATTGAAGGAATCCTGCATGAATATGTCATCTTCCATAGTATAGAGTTGGGCTCTGAGTGGATCATTTTCAAGGGCGTCTTGCATGAGGGTATCGTCGTTCAGCGCGTCCTGCATGAAGCTGTCATCTTCCATAACGTACGCCTTGGGTTCATCATGAGCTGGGGCCTCTTTGGCAGCATCGAGCTGGGGCTTCTCGGCTGCAACAGCATCAAGTTGAGGTTTTGCAACTGCAGCTGCATCAAGTTGAGGTTTCTCAGCAGCAGCAGCATCAAGCTGGGGTTTTGCAACTGCAGCTGTATCTTGCTGTGGATTCTCAGCAGCAACAGCATCGAGCTTGGGCTTCTCGGCGGCAGCGGCATCAAGCTTGGGTTTCTCGGCAGCAGCAGCATCAAGCTGGGGTTTTGCAACTGCAGCAGCATCTAGCTGAGAACTTGCAACAGCAGCATCAAGCTGAGGCTTCTCAGCAGCAGCAGCAACATCAAGCTGGGGTTTTGCAAATGCAGCAGCATCGAGCTGGGGCTTCTCATCTGCAGCCGTGTCTTGCTGTGGCTTTGCAACTGCAGCAGCATCTGCTTCTGGCTCCTCAGCAGCATCATCATCTGCTTCTGGCTCTTCGGCAGCATCATCATCTGACTCTGGCATATTAATCTCATCATCATCTGCCTCTGCCATTTCAGCGAAAGCAGCGTCTAGCTCTGCTTCATCTGCCATGAATTCATCGTGTTGGGGCGAATCAGAATCTGAGGAAATAAAATAATTTTAGAAGATTTATCAGTGAAGTTTTCTAGAATTTGTTCTTTGGATAAATACAATAAAACATGTACAACAGAATAATCAAGAATCCATTTTCTTACATGGGTGGACTGAATGCAAGGTGACATGCGTTGCGACAGGTGCTACAGAAGAATGGAGCGGTGCTGCGCTGGTTACAGCCACAAAAGCGGCGACCAGCAGCAATATTTGGATCCTCATTTTCTGAAAGAAATAAAAGGAAACAATTCAATTTTTTAAAAAGTGAAGATTTCATGGAGATTATCTGTAAACTGTGTTTTAAAGCCCAATAAAGGTGTTTAGCTTACCTGTGGATTGCGGCAGCTCTGGGTACAAAGAGCTTCAGCACTGTTCAGGGAAATTCTGTCTTTCAGAGAGATGAACTTTAAATATGCGTCGTTTTAAGTTAAACATGTTTGTTCAGAGACAAACTGTGACTAAAAACCAGAGATCATCCAATGGAAAGACACCAAATGTTTGTGCTCGCAGGAGACAAACAATGCTCCGAGGCGTTCGCTGTGATGCACGGAAACTTCCTTCTGAGTGGAATCATTAGACATCAAAGATCACGTCACTGCTCCTGGTTTATTTAACTGTCATTCAGTTATATTAAATAATGACCTGGTGTGCAGTACAGTCACTTTTAATTCCTAGAGTGAAACATTATCATTTATTTTCACATTTATTTTATTCACATTAGGAGAACTGTTTATGTGAAAATTTTCAATGGTATGAACACTAAAAAGTTTTATACACTCATTATGTTTGTGAGTCGGTCATCACGTGGTTTTGGCATTAAAGAAAATAACCTGAACTAACCAAGATAAACTTCTTTAGACATCTTTAATTATACTCCAGCATGTGGTTGAACTCCAGTCACCACAGAAATGAGCATACAGCCTTTGAGACAGCTGAAAATGTTTGTTTTTGTTGTTAAATATTGGATTTTCTTACTCTCACCTGTTTTTAGTCATTTTCCTTCAAGCATATAGTGAGTCTAGTGATTAATATATGAGCTAGAAAGGCTTGTTCTAAAAAATACATGAAAACTACAAAGCTCAAAGGTTATTTTATTTAAGGAAATCCTCTTTAGATTGGCTTAATTTCAATATTTATCCTAAATATGCTTTTTTTTTTCCTGGTTACTTGAGGAAAAGACTAACAGACACAGACAGAATCACACTTATATTTAATCAGTATCTAATATAGGGAATAAACTTGTGGCCTGAAATCTAAAATATGTCAATTCTCTTCTAAATGAAGGTTTTAATACATTTTAAACAACTGTTAACATTATGCTAATTTTAGGGACATGCCTGCAGCTGTGTTTGAAGGTTTTTTAACATTTAAATGACACCTGATATTTGCCTTAAACAGGAAGCTTCAGTTCTGCATGAAACTTTAGCTTAATTCATCTCTTTTAACGGCGTACACCTTTAAAAGTAAAACCCAAATCCTAAAGTGTCTTATATAAAATTAAGAGCTGTGGTTCTCTGTTTTTTTCTGTCTTTTTTTGGAGATTAATTTGCTCAGATAACTATTCTAAGTGAATTACACTTCTCTCAAAACTCCCTGGAAACAATACTCTCAACGTGGTAATTTTCCTGACTCACCCAGCCCACTTTTCCGTTCTGTTTTCACTTGTTTGTTTTTGAAACTGTCTGTTCTTCTGGAGCCCGGAGGGTCCAACTGAATGACTGATTATGTGTCTCCGAGAGAGCAGAAATAAACATTTAGTCTCTTTATTTGGTAATGTATGTTTGTGGATGCGGTATGTAACCTGTTTGCAAATCAGTCAGACGACCCTAAGGACTTAAAATAAACTATGAACGTTATAGATTGTTGGATTTTGATCTTAAGAGAGAAGTGTAGAAGCTTTTCTTAAAGTAAAAATATATATAAGAGATAAACAAAAAAAAAAACATCTGGTTCTTCCACTGAGTTTTAATATTGCTAACAAAGTTTACTCGACTCGTTTTGACTTGAAAAATCGATGTTTTATCAGGTTAACTCACCAGATTATCATTAAAATTTATGAATGTCTCCTTTATAAGACTAAATCTGGTCCTTTAAGTCTTCAAATCCAGGGTCAAAAACAGCCGCTGAAAATAATCCCTACAAATCTGAAATCTACTGACAAAAGAGAGACAATCCGTCCTCATTAAAAAGAACAAAAGGCTCTGAGGCGAACAAAAACAGACGAACCAGTTTGACCAGACGAACGCAGCCTCTGAAAAAACCACATCCAGGTTTTTAAAAGCGCCCTCCAGCTTCAGTTTGGGTTTTTGTGCCTCTGACCTGTGGCCACAAGAGGGAGACAAGCCTCAGGAAGTGAGTCAGGGTTTACGCTGAAACACACATGTGGGTCCTGAGTGTCTGATTATCACAGCTAAATAAAAAAAAGATGGCATCCTGGTGATGATTTGCAAATCTACATTTAAAGAACTTTCTCTGGCAGGATTTTTGGGGTCTCCTGAAAACTGTCTGAACCCTGAACCCTCACACTTCACAGGAGCCGTCCTGCCAGTCCGCCAAGTCATTGAAAAGCAACAGGGGTCACGGCAGGATCAGGAGCGAGAGAGCCAGCCGTGACCCTTAGGGCAGCACAGGGGGTCAGAGGTCAAATCCAAGACTATTGGAACAATATGTGGGTCTGTGTGTGGATTTCCAAGTGTCTGCAGTTCGTAGTCAAAAGTGGAAGGAGGGAAAAACCTCCATTACAAGTTTAAATCCTGCACCAAAAATGACGAGTCTTAATATGGAGTTTTTCTGCTTATTCTGCTCCACAACTGTTTTGTATGTAAATCATCTGCCAACAGGAATCACAAACGCCCACAGCCACCCAGAACGCCAAATGATAACATTAAATTAATCGTTGTCTTGGCTTAATAACGCCACCAAACTCTGATTTACTGAAAACAAATAAAACAGGTTGATAAACTGCATGAAAGGCTCCTGATTCGATAAGATGAAACTATTAAAAACAGGCTATGATGCATGAAACTCGACCAAAACAGACAACCTGATAGTTTTGTAAAGTAACTAAAAGCTTTTAGGGTCCATGACACCATGACGGGAAAAGAACTGACATATCGGTGATGGTCTTTTGTCTTTCAGTAGATTTCTATGTTTTGTAAAGTTGTGACTCTTTGTGGTCACTTTGTCGTTGTATCTTTGTCGCTTGTCTGTGTGTCTTGTTGCTTCTTTGTGGCCATTTCTGTCTCTGTGTGGTGCTTTTGTGAGATTCCTGTGTGTTTCTTATTTGTGTCTTTATCATTACTCGCTTCTCGAACCTTGACCACCAAAAGTAACTTGTTTTAGTTTTCTGTTGTCATGGTTTGTCGTTGTGTTTGTGTTTTTTATTGATCCCCAAAGGATCAAGTGCAAAAAGTTTTAGACATATTTTCCCGAGAGTACCTGACTGAGCGGCATTTGGATCTTGTGAAAGTCATTCTTGTTTTTACACGAACTTCGACAGTAAAAAGTCGAGTGACTTTAAGAGTTTGACACTGAAACTTGTGGTTCAGAATCAATCCTTATAGTTGCATTGCATGGTTTTGCACGTACACAGGTACTGTGGCAAGGACACTCTGAGACGACTGCCCACTTCTGCTGTGTCACTTGTTGTCTTTAATTCAGCCAGGCAAAAGTTTCAACAAAACAAACCCTCTAAATATGAGTACTGATGTTTTATTATTCCACTGAAAAGGTCAGGTCCTTTTCACTGTTCTTGTCTCACTTTGAAGGTACTTAAATTGGAATTTTGTGTTTGGTTTTGTGACTGTCTTTTTCCACTCTTTGTAGTTGCTTTAATCTTAACTACCACATATATCACTTTGATATCTCTTCGAATTTATGATCATCAGAGGAATATTAACGTAAACTCGTCTTTATTTTGTAACGTTGCTGTGTTTTTATGTGCTCATTTGACAACATGAAAACCAACCGACGGCACTTGAAAGCAGCAGCGCCTGGAAGCAACCAAAGGGCAGTACTGCGCATGCTCAGAGCATCCTCAGGCCCGGTCGGCATGGTGAGAACGCTGCAGGGCAGGTGCTGACGCGTAGACAACCATCTTTCTGCTGCAGTTTCCATGTCGAGAGAATATCCGAGCTGAGCAGAGAGTGTGTGAGCGCATTTTTGACTCTGCAGGTTATCCACCTCCCCCCTCCATCTCCTCCTCCTCATGCCTCTCCTTCCCTCTGTGGCCCTATGGTGGGAGGAGGGGGGGAGGGGATACCTTAAGGAAGAGGGAGGGAGTGGGGGTGGGTGCAGCCTTATCAATAGCAGGTTGCCCCTAATGATCCAGTTCAAACTAGTTTTGCTTTTTTCAGCGACTGGTTCGAGATTAGACACATCCACAGAGGGCTGCAGCTCCGACATCTCCTCACAGGAAACGAAAACTACATTTTTTAGAGTTTGGGGGTGCAGGGGGAGCATCGTGGTTTTTAAAAATAGGCACTGGAATGAGACCAAGATGTCAGTGATGGTGTTTGGGGATATTTTAATGATGATACTCCTAACAAATGTCTAAAACTACAACTATCAATCTTTTTTTTCTACCAATTGCTGCATAAAAGATGTCAAAATAAAAGCACACGGGAGACGTGGCAGCTTTTCGGCTCATACAAGCGTGGCTCAGTAATTATAGTCATGGTTAATTAAAGGGAGTGTCGGGGGACAACAAAGAGCCGTTTGAAGCATCACCACCAGCCCCTCCACACTCCTGCGTAAAAAGCCGGTGTTCTCGTCACTCGGTGCACGGTGCAAGTCCCCGACAGACAGGGGCTAAATGGGAGGAACCGGCGCGCAGTAGAGCGAGATATAATCGCCGTGTGAGGACTGATGTATGGCAGGAGCAGGGGCGACAAAAGCGGAGGGAAGCCGCGGAGGAATCACTGCAGTGCAGCAGAGCTGTCAGTCAACAGGCAGAGGAGGCTGCACTGCACTCAGCCCACTGCCAGTGCGCACACACAAAAGCTGGATTTGAAGCTTTATATGATCCTTTTAAGAGTAAATCTCTTTTAAGGTACTTTAAGGATCTTTTCCAGCCCTTTACTATCATCCCAGCCTCTAAAAAACTGCGCAACAACAGAAAAATGCGCACATATGACGCATTTAAGATCTCTAACAGCCTCCAGCGGTGCAGCTATCCTTTCCATCTTTAATTTAACAACATCAGCACATCACCGATTTAAAACGGTGAATCCAGTTTATCATTAACAGTGTTTTCTTAGCTGCACTCGCCCCGCTACTGCACGGGATTTCCTCCAGTTTGACGCATCGCCCCCGCTTTACCTTGCGCCCCAGTGCGGGCGGCGTATCGCATCCTTTACAGCCAAAGGTATCTCAACAAAGCGGGGATCCTCCTCATTGAAAGAGTGAAAGAATGAAGAGAGATCTGTCCAGAAACAACCTCTCTACGCAATCTCGCCATCACACCCCCTCCTCATGGATCCACATCCTCAGAAGTACACACACATACACACGCCTGATGAGATGCAGGGAGAAGGACTGAGTCTGACTCTCTTCCTCCTCCTCCTCCCCCCTCGGTCCATCCATCAGCGTTTAACGGCGCAGCGCCTCCACCAATCTGTGCATCGCGAGGACCACCCCAACCCCTGAACCTGAATCTACCCGCCCTGCGCGTTTATAAATACAGCTCCAAACACACCGGCAAGTCTTGGTCGTCAGAAACGCTCAGGGTTGCAGCAGAACATCCCCCTTTCGTCTCCTCCCCTTCATCTTTTCTCTGTTTTTTAACGAAACCTCACGCATCACCCATTTTTCACGCTCATTCTTCCCTCTTTTTTCCCGAACTGTAGTTTTCCCTGCGGCCAGTTGCATGCATTGTTCGTCTCCCAAAATGGTTTGCGAGACTAAAATTGTTGCGGACGAACACGATGCTATACCTGGGACCAAAAAAGAGTCGATCATGTGGAGCTCTCCTCCGTCCAGCGCGGCTCTGAACCCGGCCGAGGCAAAGGATGTGAGGAAAGATGCGGTTTTCATCCGCGAGTTCGAGCGCGGGGATCAGGAGGAGGTGCGGCGCATTTTTTACGAGGGCATTATGGAGAGGATACCCAACACGGCGTTCAGGGGGCTCAGGCAGCAGCCCAAGACTCAGTTTTTATATGCTCTTCTGACAGGTAAGTTCCTCGTTACCTTGCATCATGTGGGCTTCGGACCCACTTCTAGGCTACAGAAAACTTCTGCGCAATGCCAAACATTAAATATGTATGAAGCAGTTTTGACTTTTAACGCCTCTGTTGCGCTTCTTTTGATGTTTGCACTCAAAGGTGATTTATTTGAGGTACTTCTTCTACATCCAGCACTAATGTCAGGTTTTCCTGCACTATCCGGCCCTTGTAGGCGTTGTACAGCTAAGTTGAAATCTGTTGCAACGCCACACTGAGCCCTCCCGGCTCCCTTACCACCGGCACTTACCGGCATGTTGCCCATCATGCAACAAAAGGCATGGCCGGGCGCATGGTGCACGTGTAGAACCGGCGGGCCTTGCTGCTGATGTGATGACATGCCGGTGCCGTGAATGAATGAGTGAATGAATTTGAGGATTGGCTCACAGGGTGCGCGCACGTACTCATAAAAAAGAGAGAGAGAGAGAGAGAAAAAATCCTACCCCACACACTCCCACGCAGTGTGCACACGCTTCCCCCCCTCCGCCTCTGCACAGGCAGTTTCTGCGCCAGATTTGCGCCGAGCTTCGTCCGGCTTTTGTTTATGTTCGCGGCGCAGATTCGCCGCCTCGTGAATTATGACGCACTTTAAATTCGAACCAACCGCCGCACGTTCCAAAAGCTTCACAGTTTGAGCGGGAAAAAAATGTGAATTTGACCTTATTTGACTCATAAAAAGTCACGACACATGACAGCCCTGACTGTGAAACTCCCCCGAAATGAAGCATGGGATGTTTGTGTGACTGATGCGGATTAAACCTTTAAATTCTCTTTAAAAACAGACACTCACGTCGCCTCCATGTCAGCCCTACGGCACTGGGGTGTAATGGAGTAAACTAACTACTAGTTAATTGCATGGCACACTACAACATGCTATGCAGCACCCAGCCTGCTTGTTTATGTTCCCATTTGCGCCCCCTAGCGTTACATCCAACTAATTACTCCAACATACACTGAAGTGCCATCTCTGAAGTTAATGTGCCTTATTTCACAGTGTGATGATGTAACTTTACTGCCATGTGTGAAACTAATCCTGATCTCTCTCCATCAAAATTCTCCTCATGTTGCACCTGTTAATGTTTGAAAATGTCAAATTGTTTCTGCTGTTTTTGTGTTTTTTTCTTTCTTCTGTGTCTGTTTGAGGTCAAATTCCGCCAAAATCAAACATGTGATTCTCTCTTCTGACAGGTTTCGTTTATTTTTCTTCCATTTCTCCATAGTAATGTGCTTTTACGTGACCAAATCCGTCACGCTGACCTGCTGCGCGCCTCTCTTTCTCATGGGTGCGCGCTACTACTACAGCAGGAAAGTTATCCAGAGTTATCTGGACTGTGCTCTGCACACGGACATGGCGGACATAGAGGCTTATTACATGACGCCCACAGGTAAGACGAGAGAGAAACGCCACTTTTTCACGCTGTAGATGTTGTGTTGATTGTTGGCAGGCAATGCTCCATCACCAGTGCTGATGTTAAAGGGAATCTCACAAAAACACATGGTCGCTACTTTAAGAAGTCAGGGATGAAATCGTCAGACTCAAGAATGTCCAGAGGCACCTCATCAAATATTCAGCTCTTCCTTCCCCTCATCTTTCTCCACTCCTTCCCCCCGCTCGCTTCCTCGTGGTCTTAGGAAAGAAGGGAGTGAGACAGGAAGGGGTTCAAGCATTGCATCACAGTGCTATCGATCGCGTAGAGAAAAATGCTGATACACTTTCTGCAAGAACGCTCGGTGTCGGCAAGGCTCATTTCCTCTGCTGGAGCTTCTAATTGGAAAAATCAATCGAACCCTTGCGTCGTGTCGATTGTGTTATTCTATCAAGTTCAGGGCCTCAAATGCGTCACATTTTTTTAACACATTCCTCCTGCGCTGAAATTTCTTGGACACATCCAACCCCAACAAACTGGTCGGTAGAACAAGCAGCCCCTACTTTGCTTCCTATTGTCTCCTCTCTTCTGACACTGTGCCCCCTGGCCGGGTAATCCAGTGTATACACAGTTGGAATTTAGCATTCCCATTATTGCCATGTCCATGATGCTTTAGAGGGGTCAGGCCCTGCTGCTCCAGGACAATGCTAATGATTATATCCATGCAAACTGAATGGGCCCAGAGGGAGGAGGGGGATAACACCTGGGTACCGACATGAATCCCAGCAGAAAGCCACCTCATATGTCATTGTCATTTGTTATGGTGCGAGTGTGTTACATAACAGATAAACAAGATTGCATGAAAATTAGGAGTGTGTAATCACAAGAATGCATCGATCCACAGCAGAAAAATTATGTAACTCAAAAGGACCTCACAAAAGAAGTGATTCGCTCTGTAAACAAACTCAAAAAAGAGATTTTTGGAGTGTAGAGTAAAAGCTTTTCCTGACTATAAATAAGAAACAAGACAAATTCAGCACTTTGTATCCCACACGGCTCAACAGTAGCTGTAGTAGTAGAGTCTGCAAGAGTGTGGCTTCAGTTAGCAGAGCTAGCACCACCAGCCTTCGGTCCACAAGCCTGTGCTGTGTTGCACAGATTGACTGTTTATATCGCTAATAATCTGTATTTTCGAAATCCAAACACTGCCAAACCACAATGTCCTGCAAGATGCGAGGTTTGTTTACATCCAACATGTAACATGTAACATACATAAAAACATGAATACCTATTTAACTAGTTCATTACTCTGATGCCTACTAGCGAGGGTGACCATGTCCACATTTATTAAACCACATCTTATCGGTTTAATCTGATTTAGCCTGAGTGGAAACCGGTCTACTAGTGACACCTGGTCATATAAATGATATTCAAGGAGTTTATCTGCATCTGAAGGATGTTAGCTCAGTGTGTTTCTGGTCTGCTGTCTAGTTTTCTCTCCGGCAAGTAGGTAACTTGGCACAGCGTCCATGATAAATAGCGAGTAGGTGTAGAGAGGGAATGAGCCAAACAGGCTGGAAATAAACTTGTATTGTTGACTGAGATGTCAATATGGCGACTCTCTAATGCTGATTCAAGGTGTGTGTATGTGTGTGAGGGGATGTTTGAGATAGTGTGAGGAGGACTGGGAATTCTGAAAACCCGCAAATACGACCTTGTTTGTTCGTCTTTGGGGGTGTTAAAACGTGCGATTTGTCATTTTTACGAGTTCGAACAGAGATAAATCAGCGTTTTATTACTGAAGTGTGGAGGTGTGAAGAGAATAGTTGTTAATTTTGGCGTATTCTGAATTAAATTAAGTTTAACAAGTGAGCGCTAAGGCAATAGAGAGAGATTTAACCGGAGCCACATGTTCCTGCACACATGGAGCGACTACACCGATCAATACTCGTATCTCCTCCGTGTGTGCTGTGATCACTCACTCTGCTGTCTCCTAAGACCAGCTGTCACCTCTTTCATCTGACACATAATAAAGAGAGTGTGTGTGTGTGTGTGTGTGTGTGTGCGTGTGTGGGCAGAGAGGTTGTAAAGCAAAGAGAAAGAGCAGTGATTGGAGGTTTAAATGGAAATAGCTCAGACCCAAAAATGAATTGATCCACCGTGAAATACTCACTGATATTGATTCAGATTAACCTGAAATGATCATATTTATGATCCTCAGTTTGTTTCCAGAAGCTATGCTGAGATTGTGTACAGCTCTTAATTACTAAAAATCCATTATTCAAATGTAAAAGTCCAATAAAGGTTTGACGGATTAATATTGATCCACTTGAAATACAACATCTGCTAGAAGGAGTTTCTTTGTTCACTTGGACTCCTCCTCTTTCCATCCATCTCTCTCCACGTCCTTCAGTGGAAGCGATAAACCAATAATGAGTCAATCTGGCGATCAATATATCCGCCAATGGTGTGTTAACAGCTACAGTGCGCTCGCTGAAAGACACTGTAAATGAAGACGTGAAACTAAAATGAGGGTTAATTCTAATGACGATTCCTGAGTAAAATTAGTAAATCTGAAAAATACTGACTTTTAGTGATGTGTGGATGTGTTAACAAACTAAAAATAGACTTGTGACTTCCTCCTAGTGAAACAAATTTTAATTTCCTTTGAGTCACACTAAAAACCACTAGTACTGTCATGTTTAATCCAGCAGTGGCAGACAGTCGTTTTTTAGATCTTTCTTTCTTTTGTTTCTTTGTTTTTAGTATGTGCCAAACTTGACCCCTGCTGGTGAATTGTCTAATATATTTCTGTGGTAAAGCAACAAAAATTCATGTTATCAGATACTTCGAATAATAATCCTTCTTACTGTGACTTTTCAGCCAGAAAACACTGACTTAAAAGACTTTAAAGCTCCTATGAGGATTTTTCTTTTGTTTATGAAATTCACTGAATTCACCTTGATGCCTTTTAATATAGAAAAAAAGAAAAAAGACCATCAGGGGTGGGATTGAATTGAACTGAAAGTCCCTGATAGGAGCTTTAAGATAGACTTTAAAGTGTGCTGTACAATTGTTATTGCAATATGAGTTTCTTGAATGAACTTATCCCAGCAGACTGAATTGAAAAACTTAATAAAAAAAGATTTTTGTAAACAACCGTTTTCTATCTAAGCAAAAGTAATAGTTTCATTCTATTTTGATGCAGCTGAGATAGCTTTAAGACTCAATATCCTTACACACCGGGAACGACATATGGTATGTTGTATCTGAACAGGTTAGCTTACGAGCTAAAGTTACTTAGCACAAATGAAAGTTAAAACAAAGACGTTTAGCAAACTGTTCGTCATATGAGAAATCAGACGCTATGACTCTCCACAAGTTGTCCTTCAGGTCATTATCTTTGTAATATTTGTGTTTTTTATCAAAAATCACTCTGTTCTCCGACACGTAAACAATCAGCCGGTCGGCCATGTTGGATATACCGGTGAATCTGACACTGCAACAACACGCAATCTGATTGGTCAGAAGTGGACACACAGTATGCGAAACTTTAGAAAAATCGACCGTGTTGCGAAAAAATAAATGCTGCAATATCGCAGAACGGGAAAACGTCGCTGATGTGAACGCTTGTATTGACAGGATACGGGTTCGAAAGAAATTATGACATCCGAAATAATCGCACGAAAAAAATGCTCCCAATGTGTAACGACCTTAAGTGATTGAAATAAAAGATTGTGAAATAAAGTCAAAGCTAAAACACAGTCTCAAATTTCGGTTTATTTAAATGATGTAATTGCACTTCGCTTATTTTTACCATACTGTGATGGCCGACTTTACTGTTGGATTTATTGGCTTCTTTTCCCCCTGTCAGCACCTATCTTATCAAATGAGTGCTTCTGCTAATTTTCTGTCCCCTCGTATAAAATAAACGTCTGAGTTATGACTTCTCTGACCTGCCGTTACTTAATCCTACAGGGCTGAGAGAGAAAGACAAATATCAGAGGTTTGCTGAAAGAGAAACCAACTGTAGATACAGAAGGAGGAAGACTCCCCCTCCTCCTCTTCCTCTTCTGCTCCGTCATTGCTCCATCTCTTCAGGTCACTCAGGAGCAGCTCAGTGCCCAAAAAGTGAAACTAATTTAATGAGGGCGGTATTAGACAGCGAGCTAAATCCTCCTGGCTGGAAGTGATACCCACTCAGACATACAGACTGTTTAATGAGGTGTTATGACCACTGCAGGGTCTCACAATGCAGAGGGTATTAAAACACCTGCTGCTCACTGTAGCTCTTTATATACGTGAGGAAATCCGTGTGTGTGTTTATAACATGATAGGAAAGAGCTTCCTCCTCTGTACCTGCTGTGCTTATTTTAGCTCTGACTGAGAGTGAAAGAGAAACCGTGTGAGGTGACAGAGCGCTGGAGAGAAAATGGGGGCATCTGAGGGAGGGGGGTGCTCCTCAGCTATGAGACATACTTCAGGTGTGAGTGAGAGAATAAGAGAAACAAACAGCTTTGTGGTGAGCACAAAGACAAAAGAATCTCCTGGGTGTGTTTCTGCCGCGTCGGCTGAGCTCTTCACATTAATAAGGCTCCTTCTTTCTATCATCTCCTCTTTTATCCCTCCCTCCTGTTGCAGTTAAAGACACAGTGTCTCTCCTACCTGTGTTGCTCCTCCTCCTCTTCCTCATCTCTGTGAGGGTGCAGTAGAGGTGCTGCAGGGACTCATCTGGGTTATCCATCATCCAGGCAGGGAGGAAGTGAAGTTTCCTCCCAACCAGGGAGGCAGACTCAGCCTCTGAAATATGTAGATAGAGAAGCATAATTTAATGGTCGTCCATTTGCAGTTAGCAGTGAAATATAATATTCAATCATAATCCAGCTTTTTTATGCCCCTGGTTCACACAGATATATAAAGGAATAAAGCACAATTCGTTTGATTTAACGGGCTAAAACAAATATTTGATCAATCCCTGACAAGATCTACTTATTTGATATAACTATAGAAAAACTGCAACGTATATTTATTAATAAATGCTTTCAGCTTTAAAAATGTGAGAATATACAGATAATTTTACTGCAAAACTGAGCATTTTAGATTTTGGCCTTTTGGGTTTTTTTTGTAGACTTTGCATCGAACTTAAATAAAACACTGAAAAGCAAATATTTCCCCCGAAAGTTGTTATAAAATATCAATATGGCCATTTATCCTTGACTTGGCTAGCACCAAATAACTGTACATAGTTTGCAGTCATCACACAATTGCTTTATAATGAAATCTTTGGAATTGTATTGGTAACGTATCGGATCATCATCATATATCAGTATAATACATCTGTGTCATTTTGTATCACTATTGTATCAGTTACATGGTGTATCGGTATAAGTGTTGTATCAGTATCATATCAAAACGTATCAGTATTTTGTTTATATAAATATAGATTCCATATATTATCAGTATAGAGTCATTGCCAGTATCAGTATTACATTATACTGAATTAGTATCTTGTTGGTATCAGTATTGTATCATATCTTATAAAATCAAAACATATCCTGTTGTGTCGATCTCAGTACGTCAATGTTCAGTATTGTTGAGTTACCCTCTTATTTTTATCTGTATGGATATCGGTATCTATATCAGTTTTGTAGCACTATCATATAATACCAGTATTGTGCTGGTGTTAGTATTATATCATATTGTTTTATTTTGGTAACAGTATGGTATCGTATTATATCCTGTCGTATCGATATTGGTGTGGTGTATCATGTCAGGAGTTACACATTCATTGGTATTCAGTTTATCTGTATCAGTTTTATATTGGCATCGAGTTGGTATTAGTATCGTATCAAATAACGTCCTGTTGTACTAGTATTGGTACTCCAGTCGGTATCAGTATTGTGACAAATTTAATCTTGCTGTCTTGATATATAGGTATTTATTTTATCTGTATCATCCATTTTTGGTGACTGAATTCTTCTAACAAGTTGCAACCTTGGGAGAAAGACAGTTCTAAAAAAAGCTGCTTGGCATTGAGGGATTGATGCTTTGTCGTTAAGTGGAGATAAGCTTCTGTGATGGTCATCTTCCTTTTCATGTTTAGACTAAAGCCGACGGCTAAAGCTTAACTAGTAAAAGCGTGTCTGGTGTGGAGTAACAATAAGTCACCACTCTGAATACAAACCTGATTTATGATTATAAGTGATTTAAACATTGAAAACACACACTTTTGAGCAGACCTCAAGGACACAGTGATTCTCATAGTCCAGTCACATTATTTTACACAGTCTGCACGGGTCTACATGCTCGATCATAATCTACACACGCTGAGAAACTGAAGCACGAGTCTGTTAGTGAAGCCGTATGCTGAATCTGCTTTAACATGCGCATCATTTGTTTTACACTCTGCTTAAATCAATACTGAACAAAGAGAGACTCAATGGCAAGAGTAGAGGAGGTGTGAACAGCAGGATGGTCTATTTACTCATTTTTTTTACTGTAGCGATTAATCATAATTATTGATATGGAAAGATCAGCACTTGTGAGTGGTTACCTTTTTGCTTCATAGATTATACGTGAATGGTTTTATGTATTGAAAGACCATTTACAAAGGTAGTAAGGGGGCTGGGCTTCCATTGCAGTAGCAGCACTGATAACTATGGCGTGCACATAGCAGACTGTGCACAATCATACAAACAGACAGCATGCTTTTACAGGCAGGAAAGCAGTAAAACTAACAGTAAAAATCCAAGTACAGAGTTTATCTCTGCGAACACAGGTCAGTACATGCATCTCCTCTGCATATTAAGTTTGGCTTAAAGGCTAAGTTGATGCCAAAGGTTTCCTCCAGCCTTCGATTCACATGAATCTTTAATTTTCTGCGACTGCACGGTTGTGTGTTTGTGTTCACATCTGGACACTGCGTCCTGTGTCTGACCGTCACCTCCCCTCCCACCCTCATTTGTCCGTGACAGAGGAGGAAACTGCTGAGGCATGAGTTATACATGACAGGCCAATCAATACTCCCAGCATGCACTCTGACCTGGAGAGGAGGGTGTGTCTCTGAATGCATGTAGTTTGCGGAAGGGCATATGATAGGGAGTGTGCTGTATAGGACCAAAGTCATTTTCTAAAGCACATCAACCTTTTCTTCTACATATTAGCTGCACAAATGTTTAATTTTATATCAGAATTATAGTTAACATCTTTTAGAGCTGTTTGTTTTTACGTCTCGGTACATTTATCTTTGTTTTTTGCGTTGCTACCATCCTATTATCTCAGACAGACTTTGGTTTTGTCCAAGGTTTCTACCTGTTTGCTAAATTTGTCCGAACTTGCTGCTATTTGATGATGTGTTTCTCTAAATAATAAAAATAATCTACGCCTACTCTTGAAATGGTAGGAAAAGTCAAATAGCAGCCGCATTTTTCACACGTCAGAATCTTTGTGATATCTAAAGGACGCTTACAAAAAATAATGGGAAACTCTATGTTTGGGCTGATTTTGGCATCCCTTGTAACCAAAGCGGAACTTCCTAGCCATGCACTATTTTAACACTAAACTTTATCTCTAATTTGAAATGCATAGGCTGTTTCCTAGAGCTCCTAGCTTAACTTCTGCCCACTCCACAAGCAGTTTTAGACATTATTAGTAATTCTTTTTTTGAGTATTTAATGTAAAAAAGGGCTTTTCTTCAATTGCACCTACCCCCTCGTACTAGTTTCAGACATTAAAATGACAGAATAAAGACCATCTATCTTGTCGCTGATGGTTTTGTGTATCATAAAATGAATTTCTGTCTCTTTTGTTAATGTCTAAAAATCCCTCGTAGGAGCTTTAATTTCTGCCTGTAATTAAATCCCCTCCCAGCAGCTTTAAAACAAATTGTATCAATACCGACATGCAAGTGTCAAACCTCTTATTGGCTTTTCTCAGAGCTTACACCCACAGAGTGCCCGGGACAGCGATGTGAAGCCCCGCCTAGACCGACTTCTTATCAACTAGATTAGCGCTTTAGGTTTTATCCAATGAAAACCCCCCACTAATCTTGTTAGGCAGCCTTAAAAACCCTGTGTCTAAGCATGAGCGCGTTTTTTAATGTTTCTACTGTGGGTTCATAAAAAGCTTTATTTAACACTCCCACCCATGAGCACACGGGCCTATTAATATCCCTGAAAAGTGGTAAAAGAAATTTGATGCGCCACATTAAGACTACAGTAATCGGATTCTTGCACATGTGAGAATCATTTTGAATGATTTGTAGCGCTCTTCCTCTCTTTCACTCTCTGCCATGATTTATTTCTCATCCTGAGATCTCATCTGTATTCTTCAGGTCCCCCTCCCCCCTCTGTAATAATGATAGATCTTCTCCTCCTTCCTCCCCCCACCCTGTTCGTATGCCCTCGCAGCAATAATGGATCCTTTCAGGCTCATTGCTATTACTGTTAACGCAGATGCCTCACTTCCCTCCTCCTCCTCGAGTCACACTTTTTTCTTTCAGAGCGGACACATGAATGATCTTCTTCATTGTACCTCTAGCCTGACTCCTCTTTCTAAGTGAGTGAGCTCATTTATTCGACTTCCCGGCTTCAGTAACACACTATAACATGGTCTGTGCACTGTATTAATACTTCATTAAGCTTTAGCCTTTGGCAACAAGCGGCTGGAATAAAGCAACAGGGGTTTAGTGACTTCTTTAAAGGCAGGCGGGAAAATGTTTGCCTTTGCCTTTTGTTATCTGTTAAGTCTTTTTCAAAATACTGCTGTACTTATTCAGTCGATCTCAGGTCTCAGACCAAAAAGACAAAAACTAGGTCATCATACCTCCTGTTGCTCCATTGCAGCAACTAATTGCTAAGAGTAAAGCTAATAACAAGCTATAAACATTTAAACAACACACAGACTGCTATTTTCTTTTCACCCCCAAAACTGTCAGACATAATAGTGTCTCCATCCGTTGTTTATTCTCATTACAACCTGCCAAAATCCTCTCACAGACACCCAATCTACAACGGATAAATCTTGGCGGTCTTCAGAGGAAAATCTGCTCTCCCACTGTGAATCATTTAACACAGCCTCCTTCCTTCAATCTGCCAAACAGAGAGAGTAACAGCGCAAGAAAGACGACATTCTCAATAATTCCAGCAGACAAAAGCTGTCTGATCTGGGGCGGTGATCCACTGTATTCCTCTAATTTGGCCACTTGCACACCTTGGCTTTAATGGTTGCTTCTTGGGGCAAACTCCAGTATTTTAAGTCTCAATAGCTAACTTCTAAACTAGAAACAACTGGACAGGGTTGTACTTCTTTTATAATTCATCTGTTTTGAAGATAGGAAGGCTAAGAACTGTTTATAATTACCTAATTATTAGGTAACCAGGCTGTGTTCTCAGCTCCAAGTCTTCACCACTTTCTTCTTTGGAAAACATTTCGTCAAAGCCAGTATTGCCAACATGGCCACCAACATGCCTGTTGAGAAAGAAACCAATAGGTTTTTGCTGTCAGTGGGGTCTTTGCTACAATAAATCTTTATGTGTATATAAGTGTATTCAGTCGTTCTGGCATCACCTTATGCTAACTGCTAATCCAAATATGCAAGTTGATGTTGATAACCCAGATTTTAGCTAATACAATGTTAACTTTGTTCACAAGCTTAGTTAATCATGCTAACGCCAAATTTCAATCAAAGAAGTTGATTTTTTTCCCTTGTTACTCCAACCAATTATTATTTAGACCTTGAGTATTGGACTATGGCTCAAACGTATTTTGGGACTTTGAATGCAACCACTGCAATAGTTGATGTGAAAATTCAGTTTGTACTCAAGTGTTGAGTGAAAAATTCCTCCACTACGAAGTCCAGACACCAAACTTCAGCTTCATTTGAGTGTCAAAAAAGTTCAGAAAAAAGGATCTGTTTTAAGGGGTCCTCGTCTTTTAGAAATTGCTCTTAAGATGGCGATTCTTGGGATCACTTCTGATTACTAAGCATCGTCCAGGACCGTATGCTTCGGTGCACCTTTACTTAAGCAAATCCAGAGCATCTTAATCCCGCAGAAACAGCCTTTTAAAGCACAATGTCATGCCTCCTCCTTGAACCTTCTCTTCATCCATTTTTATTTTTTTCAGTCTGTCTCTCTTCATCCATCCATCTCCAAGAAGTGCAGTTCCAAGCAGAAACAATGACCGCTCATTTAATCCAAGCTGTTTAAAGTGCCACATGCAGCAGATGTGAAGTTCCTGGAGTTGTTATGTCAGGAGGATTAGAGGTCAATATACCCTGCTCAGCTTTCACAAGAAAGGCAGAGTCAGACCGAGAGGAAGGGCAAAAGATGTAAAACAACCTTTTTTTCCTCTCATTGTAAATCAAGTGATTTTAAACGAGACGCAGCGTTAAGTAATACAGACAGTCTGATAGACAGATTGGTGGTTGGCTTGCTTGCCTTCCTGTGCTGTCCTCATTCCTGGCACAGGCTCAGTTCAGACAGATGGTCAGAAGGGCTTTATGGAAGTATAACCTCCCGCCCTACGCCATGCACCAGCATAATAATGCCAGCAGAGTACCACATGAGTTGACACCGCAGCCCTGACATCTGTCTATAATGAAACATCCATAGTATTAGTGACAGCCGCCAGATACTTAACTACTTACAACTTGTGTACAAACAGTCTCCTAGATATGTGCTCTGCATATGTGACGTCACACTGGTGTCCCTAAATGACATCAATAAAAGACTGTTCAGCTGCTTTTTGGGTGAATAAATGACTTTGAGAGTCTGTAAATGTAACAGTAATAATCTGCAGAGTCATTTGACCTACATTTCTGTGTAGCCAGTGAACATAAAAAAGTTTTTGATCACTTTCTTTCTCTTCAGTAACTTCAATACTTAAACTGTCCAGATAGATCCAGGTCTGATCTTTGGGAGCAAGTTGCTTTCGTGTGTTTCTTTTCAGTTTCAGCACTTCAAAGAGCAGCAGATTTCCCCTGAAGTTGATGAAAATTTCAGCAGATTAGTGAATCACCAGTTGCACAAAGTTTCCACTGATGCCTAGCTCTGGTTTTCCTGTTGCAGCTGCAGCCTACAATGATGACTACAGTTGTTTGATTCAGAAACAGAAGCCTCTGAATCAGCTTAACTCCGACCTGCAGGGGCATCAAATCCCTCCAAGCACACGGTGCTTGATGCTAATAGCACCGCCTGTTTTCTGTGTGTTTGTGTAATAGTTAGAGATTTAACAGAAATGAAGGGGAGGAGGAAAGGAGACAAGGACGGAGAGAGCAAGCACACAAAGACAGAGAGCTCACGATGGGACGGATTTTTACTGTCCACAGGTCAACATCTGCCAGTCACGGAAAAGTCAGATTAACTTCATCTATAACAAACAGATGGTATTTTGAGAAACCACTGCCAACTGATGTCGTAAATACAGCTGACATTGATGGAAAAGGCTGTTTTGACGAGGGTTATGTAATGTAAAACACGACTGCAAAAAATTAAGCAAAGATACCTACCTGCTCACCATGTGCCTAAAAGAGATGAGTCGAAGATGAATGATGACGCGAAACGTTTACTCTACACATCGAGTATTAAACAGCCTGTTAACTCAGGGTTTAAAAGTGAGGATTGCGGCGGTTTATAAATCGTCCCACAGACCTAAAATAGTACAAACCGCTATTTCAAAGGAGAGAAGTTTGGTTACAGAGGCGGGGATATGGATTAGGAGGGTAATGAAGGTACTTTGGTGGAGCATTGTCTGTTAACATCTGTATATTGGTATTGTAAAGTTCTTATTCTTATGCAAATGTATTCTCTGTCTTTGTGATTCAATAAGAAAGTTTCATTCCTGCAACACAAACCTGAAAAAATTTGGAAATATTCCAAATGAATTTGCCAAAACATTTTCTGCTCATCATGTTAGAGTCTCTGCTCCACTGTGAGCCCAGAGTGACCACTTCGTCATGCCTGCGCTTTTAATCAGCAGTGTTTCCCTGAGTGGCTAATGCCATTAAGCTGCAGTCAGACGCTGGTCTCTGCCCTCCTCGTTCATCTCCACCCTGCGTCTTCTATTCTGTTCCCCCTCCTCTCAGAGGATGTGGCCATTAGGACATGATGCAACACGCTGCTAATGGAAAGACAGGCTGTTCATTTCGGTTTGAACTTACTGGAGCCAAACATCCTCATTCACCCACTGCTGTCCTTCAGATTTTCCTTTTAATTATTTATCTACATCAGCGTCTTTTAAAGACCAGATCTTGTTAAATAAGATCTTTATAGTTCATGGTTTTGGTCATCTTTTTTATTGATTTCACAAAGACGGAGAGTATTTTTGGATAGTATCCCAGTATGTCACTTCTGTTTCGTAATTCTGCAGCTACTAGTGTGAACAGATCAGCTTAACTTTGCACTGAGTGGAAACAGGAAACAGCTAGCCGGGCCTCATAATTCACATACCAACATCTCTGCAGCCCTAATGTACAAAATAAGACCTGAAGTTAAACAACACTTTATCTTCTAAGGATTTAAAAGGGATGTATGTCGTCGCCTAGGCTTGCTGTTTTCCATTATTTCCAGTCTTTATACTACGCTATATGCTAACTGGCCTTCAGATCTGTTGAAGAATTCATGTCTCATACTTCTGAAAATGTTCTGACTTTAATTCATGGATTTCTTCACTCTTGTTTCTGTTAGGCTCTTGTTTCTGGGTGGCAGTGCTGGACGGACGCGTGGTGGGGATTGTGGCAGCGCAGGGTCGTGAGGATGACAACACGGTTGAGTTACGGCGCATGTCAGTTGACTCCCACTACCGCGGAAAAGGCATCGCAAAGGCCCTGGGTCGTCGTGTTCTGGAGTTCGCCGTGCGCAACAACTACGCAGCCGTGGTCCTTGGCACGACGGCCGTCAAGCTGGCAGCCCACAAGCTGTACGAGTCGCTGGGTTTCCGTCGAACGGGCCAGAGCGAAGACTACAGGCTCCCCGGGATGAGTCGCTCGCCACTAGAGAGGCTCTTCTTCCAGATCCGCTACAGCCGCTACCGCCTGCAGCTCCGTGAGGAGTGAGAGGCTTACAGAGAGAGGGAGAGAGAGAGATGGAGAGGGGGAGATGGAGAAAGAGAGGGACAGAGAGAGAGAGCAACGACCCTCCTTCACCTGAGAGCCCCGACCGCATCCTCTCCTGTGACAGCTTTTATTTATTTTGTGTCATTAGCGATAACTTCCAGTACTTAACACTTCTACTACTTCATCTTTAAAGTCACTAACGTTTCATTACTATTATGCTTCTGTTGCTGTTGTTTTTGTACTATACTTTTACATTTAAAATAAGACTTTGTTTTTTTTTTATCTCAATTTCTTTAAGCTATTTCGGGTACCACTACCCCTCCCTTTTCATTGTGGGAGTAAATTAAATTGGCTTTCATAAACGACATCCAACCAGCACCCAGTCTAGGCACTCACCCAGGCCCCTTTGGTTTCAAGATCATGACACTCTGATCAATACCCCCCTTCATTACAACACCCCAACGTCCTCTTTGCCCCTCCCCCCATTACCTCAAGCCTTCCTCTCCCTCCCACATTCTTCTAATTTCCCCACAGCTAGAATTCAATAGGCGGGTTTGGATGCAGCTCAACGAGACATTTGCATCTTGTTTCAGTGGGGGTGGACGGAGCAATGGACTGGCAGGGAGGGGTAAATATGGCGTCCTTTAGAGCAAAAGTGCGTTGGGAAAGGTTGTGATACACTCTCTCGTTTAGAGCGGCGCTGCAGTGTTGCATTTTTGTTCATGAATTGTGGACTGAACTTGGTCACACACACAAAAAAAATACATGTCATCTGGCTGTTAGCCACTCCCTCAAGACACCATATTGAAGCACAGCGAGAGTGTGTTACTGACCCCCACAGCGAGAGAGAAGGATGGCAGGATGGTGACCGGAATATGCGCTGTGTTTCCTGCATCCTGGATGGACTTGTATCAACACAGAGCATCTTCCTATCGCTCCCTGCCCTTTTTTTCCCTCGCTCATTATAACTCTTCGGAGCCCTCCCTTCCTTTCTATTGTTGCGCGCCCTCAGTTTATCGCTGCTCTTGAACGCCAGGGAGAGGGTCCCTGATTGGTTGAGGTGACAGGAGGGAAGAACTTTCTCATCGACAGATCTTGAGAAACAATATAGCTGCATGTCAGAGCTTGACTGCGTGTGAGAGGGCTTGTGTGCGTGTGATTGTTCAGAGTGAGTGACTTTGTGTTAGATGTATGAGTGTGTGTGTATGTATGGTGAGGCCATGGTCCAACTTAAGACCGTGACTTATCAGAATAATTGCTGTTTTTTATTTTGTGTGAAAAGACGCACACTTTCTTGCTATGGGTCAAGTATTATCTAATGAAATATAACTACTTTTTATCTGTACTTAATAATTGTTTACTGATTGAGGAAGATAAATTCTAACATTTTGAATATGTTTACTATCTGACTGAAAATTAGTATTTTGTAACACACATATTACCACATTGTAATATGCAAATTTTACTGTCAAAGGTACGACGACAAACACAAAGTAGCTGCAAACTTACACATACCTAATCCAGGTTATTGGGGAACAACTTGGGTAAAACATACTAGCAATACCTGCAAACCTAGAGTACCTAACTGAGCACAACTAGCAACTAATTATTTAAAATCAGTGTATTGACATGAGTGTTTCCCCTCCTCCATGTGTTTTTATTGTGTGTACAGCTGAAAACTCATGTAGCGATCAAATGTTTCTCCCATAACACCCCTCTCCATCTCCACCCTCTAACCATACAACCAGCAGTAGATTCAGTCACCCACCATCCTGAGCCTAAGTTGTGTTATTATGATTCATCATTTGTAAAAAGTAAAACATAAAGAAAGAAAAGCAAACAAAAAAATCCACAAAAGATGAAAAAAAGAAAAAAAATGGATACAAATGTAATCATCATGAAATTAGCAATGACCCCCTTCTGTCTTGCCACCTTTTCCTCCCCCAAAAGTTTCCCTTCCCCCATTCAAGAATCTGTCTGCAACCCTGGGCTAGACCCCAAACCTTCCATTTGAACCCTCCGCTGACCTTTGACCTCCCATCTCCTAGGCCACACCCACCCCTCCACCCATTTCTGCATGCGCCACAGAGCCTTGCTGCACTGCTTTTATTATTCCATTTAAAGCTTGTTGGACCAACCCTGAGCCCCGAACCCTGATGTCATCTAGGCAGTATTTTACACCCCGAGAAAGGCTGGTGCAAGATCAGCGATGTGTGGCTGTTGTGTTAGTGCACAAGACACAAGAAAAATAGATTAAAAAGCACGTTATATGATGAAATCGCCTCCTACACCACTGCCTGGATGACATCGCGCCTGCCAGCCAACCAACTGTAGAATGCAAAAAGCAATGCAAGTGTGGCATGCCTCTGTACCCGGTGTGTGTACGGTGCCTGCCCTGGAAAAGTGTAGAAAACAATTTATAAATATGATATATAAATATATATACTATAAAAAAAAGAAAATGAGCTTCTTTTTAGATGAACATATTAAAGAAATGTGTGTTTCTTTGTATGGAAAAAAAAAGAAAAATTGTACTATTTGCATGAAATGTGTCTTTGAATGCAAATATAACTTTAAGGGGAGAAACTCCTAGCACATGGTTTACAGTGGAACCATAGACTTGTAATTTTACAACAGTTTGCTTCATTTTAATCCTCTGTAGTCAAGACAAGGGTGTGAAATTAATACCAGAGACTAGTTAGAGAGAAGGGTTTGCTAAATTTGAAAAAAGGCAAACGCTATTTGGATTTATTGGTGACCGGCTGGTAGACTAAATTCCTTTCCCTCCTTGATCACAGCAAGTATGAGATCTTCCATTAAACCAGCTTGTGGAAAGGTTGCTAAACACTTTGGAGATCACTAATGGGCATTTGGCGAACGGTGCAAAAGAAAAAAGATGTATCCCCACGCAGTATATAGTGCAAAATGTACATAATCCTCTAACCCCTACAGTTGATCATATGCAGATAAAGGATTCAGACAAAAAGGGTAGTGCTGTTGTCAAAAGGTTCGACTTTGCTCCAGTTGACACTGCCATTGGCAGTGTCCTCAAACCAGTGTCAGAATAACACCATTAACTCGTTTTTCTGCATCAAACATTTGGCGACACTCTCCATTCCAGATGGTTTTTACTTTGTATCGTAGACAGAATAAAGTGGATGTAGCAGTGGCAAAGTCGTATATTTTTTGGACTGCCTTTGTGAAGCCTCAGTTTGGGGATTTTGTTGTCGCCATCTTGTTTATTGTTTTGGGGAACTAGAAGTGACGATAACTGGACAGAAAGGAAAGGAAAGTTTTCCCGCCAAGCCCTGAAATATTCCCAATTTGCTGTCAATTTTACCTTTTTTTTTGACAGTTTTTTTACAAAATGTTGATGGAAACTTTATTGACTAAGGCCATCAAGGTCTTTTGGAAAACATAAACTGAAATCCCTTTTTTTCCCCCTTGGACTGACTTCTTACTTTAGTTTAGTCAAAGTCACGTTGGCTTTACTTCTCGAGCGAATCGTGCTACATCCACTTCTCATATAAAGCCAAACAGTTCTCACAATGAAAAAAGCTGCCCCTAGTTTTTCAGACCCCGATGCATACATGGTCACGCTAGGATTCCTTTTTTTAAAGCCAGGTCTAAAGGAGATTAATCAATTTTGTCTTTAAATTGAACTAACACAAGATTTCTCTTTGATAAGCAACAGAAACGCACCAAAAATTATTCCAGATGTTTTTGTCGGGCCAACAGATGGAGAATGCTTCACACTTTGATGCATTTGCTTTGATTTTGTGACATTTCTGGAGTAACAGATACCACTGACTTTATCGGACATCCAAACTAAATGACATCACAACAAATAAAACCATCTATTAGCACTAAATCCTGATCGCATCGTTGGTAAATGTAGGTGTCAGTGGTGCTGAGGCTTGAGGATTTCCTTACAGAAACAATAGGAGACAACTTTGAAGTGTCAAATAACTAATGTCAGTTACTGCTGTTAGTGTATTTAGTCCTGTACTCAGTGACTCAAACCAGTCTTTATAAGACGTGGGTGAGATCTGAAGGTTCAGAGAGGGAGGTGGGCTTTGCTGAGGGGGATGGTAAAATAAAGTGTGCGGTGGCGTTTGTGGACGAATGTGAAGTCTCTGAATTCTGAGCCATTTCTGCTGCTGCCAATCTCGTTTTTTTTTTGCCAGATGAAATTTCAAATACTTCTTTGTGTATTTTTTGGGGGAGGGGAGAAAATAGAATCAGTTCTCGATCATATTCTGAACAATATCAATGAACCGCCTTTGCTAAGGCCTTATGCACTGGAATCAAACGCTGGAGTTCAAATATCTCGTGGACTGCATGGCTTTAGGTAGTTAAAGGGTGACTTTGAATTGTACAGATAAAGTGCACTGACTATAATGCATTTATTTTGAGTCTGAGCGATGTCTGTTTTCTACTTCATGTGAATGCTATGCCCTGTGAACTCTCACCTCCCATTTAGAGATGGTGACGCATACTTCATGTTAGAATGTAGTAATTAAACTGTATGCAATGTCCACCGGAGTGTAAATGAAGTTACAAACCTTTCCTCGGAAATGTTCTGCTGATGTACAATCCAAAAAACGACTTTTCTTTCTTTTTCTCTTTTCTTGTCTTTTTTTTTGGTGATTCGTTTGAGTGCGAGTGTGCTGTCCTATTGGTTGAGTTTCGGTAAGGTGTGCTGCATAAAGGTCTGTGAGGATGGAGAAGGCTCTTTGAGATTTAGAGTGCTTTACAACCCAAAAATGATCATCTGATGCCCAAGCTGAGGCTACTATCGTAGGGTTTACCAAGCCAAACAAACGCTAAATACATCAGTATTTGTCGTGATCAATATTTAAATATCTACTGGTGGAGAAGTGTTCAGAATCGCACAAATGTACAGATCCTGTGAGTGGGTTGTGTTACTCTGCAGGTGTGCGAACACTCACAGGCATGAATGTAAACTGCCAACATTTATGGTCTTAGAAAGATTTCAGTGTTTCAAATCTTTCCTGGTTGCCTGTTTTATCTGTGAATGAGAGAAACGAGGAGGAGCGAGGGTGCAAAGCAGCTGTTGATTCTTTCATTAAGTGACTAAACCACTACATTAGATGTTAGACATTTTGTGTGACTGTAAATAGCTGTATCTTTACATATTGTTGTTGTATTATTTTACTGCAAACCTGTCATCTTTGCTGGATTTAAACCGACCCCGATGGCGTTCATTTTTGTCTCAGAAGATGGCTGTCGTCTGGAATGTTCCACCTAAGGAGGAGGGTGAGGGGTGAGGGAGGAATGTGCCACATTGGCAGTAAAACGGGAAAGGGGGGGTGCGGTGGAAGGTCTACAGCTGAGAGCTTCAAAGCATGGACTCCCTCTCTCTCTCTACCTCTGGTGAGGACTTTGCGCTGCTGTGGCGAATTCAGAAGGACTCACTTTGGACTGAGGCCACAGGTGCCAAGAACACATAAGCACTTGTAGCACAACTGTGTCTTGTTTTGCTATTACGGTACAGATAGTTTTGATTTTTTACATTTCCTATGAAGAATATGGATTAAAGTTTCTCTTTCTCCTGTATTATGGATTGTATGTATCGTAGGCATATATACAAGACATGATGTTAATTCGCACTATGACCCACGGCTATTTTTGGAGGTGAAAATTTGCCAAAGGTGACAGTAATTGCTGCATTATTTTCTTTATGTGGCTCTGTTTTATTTCAACAAAATCCTGCTCTGACTTATTTGGCAAAAATCCTGCCCACGTGCCATCTAATCAAGCAATAAGTACAACAAATTAAGAGGATAAAAACTCACAATATGACACTATATCAATGATGATTTTACATAATCGACATGAAATGCTGCATTGATATTATATCCCTGAAAGTGTACTATTAGTGGCAGTGGTGCCGTCGCAGTGGCGGCGTTGTAACTCATGATATTCAAGCCTGGAAGGGTGTTTGATTGTAAAATGTTCAGTTTTTTGTATTTTTCGTTACAAGGAGGTGTCAAAGATGTGTTTTTTAAAAAGTTGAAGTACACAGGTGTACCTCTGCATATTTGTACAGATGTCAATAGGAAACAGGGGAAAAAAAGACACAAGGAGGAGGGGTAATGGATGCTGAAAGTGAGTGGTTCAAGCAGACAGGGAAAAAAAAAAAAAAAAAAGATGGCGTATCCGCTCTCTGAAAGCGCAATCTGCTGTTTAGTCTCCTAACTGAGCTTTTATCCAACCACAAAGACTTCCGGTTTACTCAAACTTCGGAGACACGCAATGCAACTCCACAACCACTGCACTCTGATCAGACGAGAAATCAATTCAGAAACATGCTGCAGCTGCCAGAATCGCAACTCTCAAACATGTTGACTTTTCTTACAAGTGAGATTCAAAGTCTTTTATTTGAATCTGTAAGTTAGTATCTGTAAAGTTGTAAAGTATATTTTACTGTAAATAGCATCTGGGGGTCATTTTTACTCCTTTTGTAACAGAAACTGTGGATTTAAAATATATAAAAGTATATTTTAAAGATATTTACTTCACTAATAAAGAGATTCTACTGTAATGCAGGTGTCTTCATCTGTATTACCTCATGACAATCCCATACTGACTAACAGCTGCTGCTTTCAGAGGCTACAGCGCACGCCATTTTAGCCTTGGTGTCTCTGACCTGCACTGACACAGCCTTCCTCGTCCCGCCTGTCTGCTTGAACTCTCACGCCGTCAGAGAGAGCCTCGAACGCAACAGCCGCCCTGTTAGCACACACCAGAACGTACGCGAGTGGCTCTGGAGTGAGCTATCGAAGCTGCAACGCAAAAAAAGGAGGCTCTCTCTGCCCTGGAGGCCTGTCATGGCTGTTGTCTGTTGCTAGGAAACTGACCCGCACAAAGCACAGCAGGGGAGTGATATGCAGACGCACTGTGGGGAGGCAGGCGGGTCAACCAGCCGGCCATGGTGGAGGAATGGACGGAGGGATTGATGGATAGTTGAGGGGGGATGTTTAGATTAAAAGGTGTTAAATTGTAACTGTGGGAATTAGGGGACTTGTAAGGAAAGTACTCTGACTACAAACGGGTGAGGAATTCGAGAAATGAGGCCCCTCGGTATGTCAAGTAGAGCTGTGAGAAAATAGTGCCGGGCTTTCAGAAACAGAGACAGAGGATTGTCATGTTGACTGAAGGTTGAGCTTGGGATGATGATTCGGCAGATCTGCTGATTCCTGTAGAGACCGATTTAGAAGAAGAAGAAGAATAAAAAGCTTGACGTTGGTACAACCGCCCTGCCGACCTCAGTGAGCCTGCAGTGACAACCTGTTTTTTTTAATCGGGGGTTTGTTAGCTTTCATTTCCCTTTCTGCTGTTCCTTTGGAAGCCTGCTGTATGACCACACTGGAATTATTATAATTATTATTATGATTATTATGGTGATTATTAACCCTTTCTTTTATACTGACAACAACTGGAACACTGTACAGATGTAAAGATGGCATTTCTCTGCATTATGACGATGACTGAAACATGGATGTACATATACTGTATCAATTAAAAATGACGATGCATTAAGCTTTTATATGGTGCAACAGTAAATAGTTTTTTTCAACCACAGAGGGGAGGGACACGGCGGGAGGAAAATACTTGATTTGAAGCGACATAGGTGTCAGTCGTGGGGATATGAGCTGCAGGGTCTACTTACATGCCTCACAGTCGCCATGGCAGCGCAGGGAAGCTCATGCTGTCGCCCTTGACAACGGGAGTCTTCAGAGGGACCCTCGGGCGTGAGCTCCTGTGAAAGGCACAGGTTATTAAAGTGAAGATGTAACTCAGTTATACGACTGTCATTGTAATCTTATTGATGATTTTTCAGAGGAGGAACTGATATGATGAGGTCGCTATAACTTCAAAAGAGTTTCCTAATATGGTCAAAGAAAGCCAGTACACAAAACAAACAATGACAGCCTTTGGAATAAACCAGTCTGTGAATGTTTTGCCAGCATGTAAACATTTTACATATTAAATGGAGGCTTGTGTGTAACTCCCATGCTGTCACACTATCAGTAAAGCTCACATACAGTTTCTAGCTGTTGATCAAAAATGAACCAGAATTCATACCTGTGTCTTTTGAGGAGCTGTAGCAGTAAATAAGATCGTTTCTATAACGTCACAATTAACACCTACACATGCAGCAGCAGAGTAGGTGTTGGACTCGCATCCTTTATGTTCACACCAGCAAGAAAGCATGATGAGTAACACATATGACTTAAAAAAAACACGATACTTGTGCATTCACAGAACAAAACCAGCAAAGATGAGACTTCCCGTTTTTATTGCACTTTATATTTCGAGTAAAAGTACTGAATGATGTAATCGCACAATGCATCGGGATGGAATTGACAATGGTTTTCTTGATGATTAACTATTTGACATGCATTATGTAGAAGAAACATCACTAGTAAATAAGCGAATAGCAGGTTTTGTTTCCTAGTCTAGCTTTTTGCTCATTTTCAACTCTAAGCTGAACTTAGTGGAGCCTTGAATTTACCTGTTCAAACATGTATCCATCTTTCAACAAAAAAGCATTCAAATGATCCAAAATGTAAAACACTTACCTTCAAATTTTGGGTTTAAAATTCATTTCCAATAACTTTGTCTTTCATAAAAGTGGACGCGCATCACCGCGAGAGACGTAATTAATTATGTTGCGGTACTTTGCCAGGAAGATGTTGAGCAGCAAGTCACAAGCAGGGCGGCGAAAACAGACAGTTCTGGAGAGAGGAACACGGCTGCACGGAAAACGCACGTTGCTGAACACAAAGCATGATATCACGCAGTCAAACCAGGAAGAAACTTATGAAGTGGTGCAACTTATATTCTAGATTTTATAGGAATTAAAAGCATAACATGCAAATGATGTAGCTTGTTCTGAAGGTTGCAATAAATGTGCAACAGTTTCATACAATTTGGAGGTTCTTAACAGTCTGAGTATCCTTTCAGTTAAACTCTTATTCTTCAGTATCCGTCTGTTTATCCCTCTACATACAGTTATCACAATATTGTCCAATGTAGACCTGAGTAACTTCACATCCTTATGAAAACTCTGATCGAACTTGACTGGAAATAAGTTTTACTTCCATACCGACCCTGAAACACTCTTCCAAAAATGCAGAGTGCTCTCTAGAATTTGCACATACCAGTCTCACGCTCCCCTCTCAGGGGGGGATAGCCACGGACCCCTAAACCACCAAACAATGAGAGAATAGAGGGGGAGATTTCCATAACACTGTCCATTGCTCCGGCTCTGAAATGCTCGTTCTGACCCACTGAGAAAAGCCGCTCTCACAGGAGCCCACGGCCCTGTCAGCGGGTTCAACAGGCAAGGTGAAGAGCAGCTGAATGAAGAAAGTCGAGGCGTGCAAAGACATGACAAGACAGAACTTTTGGACGGGTTCCCTGCGTATCCCACATGGCACCTTTGGGTCCGCCTAACGAGGGACAGCTCCTATAATTAGCAGGCGACAGGAGGTGACATTTTCAATAGGTAACGGGGGTTATGCTTTGTTAAAAATGTCACTGCTCAGACTCATTTTGTAGTCTGGAAGGGTCTTAATTAGAGGATAAAATAAGAGACAAAAAGAGTCTCAAACATGGCTGCCAGGGATGAGGAAACTCGGTCAGTGTGCCTGGAAGCCGGTGACTGATTTTCAAGCGTGTGTACGAGCATTCATGGAATGTGTGTGTGTGTGTGTAAGAGAGAGAGAGAGAGAGAGAGAGAGAGAGAGAGAGAGAGAGAGAGGCATGGGCAAGACAAAGGAGAGTGTGAGAGTGGGAGCCAAGTTTAGAGGGAAAAAGATGAGCTGGAGAGATCGAGGGGGCTGTTGAGTGAATTAAATCATCTGCCCTGAATCAGCTGAATGCAAAAAGATAAAATGTGAAGTTCACTAAAGAGAGTGTCCCTGTAAAAATACTAAAATAGCTGCTGCTCTTTTTTGGACTGTTTATTGCTCTCCTTGAGGAGTTTCAACATTTATGCAGAACATCAGAGTAAAAATAGTCTCAAATGTAACGTTTGAGCTTAAAAATGAGCCTAGAATTGAAACGAATTGAACACTGGGAAAGCTGCCTTGGAAATAAAACAGATAGGAGGGGCAAAGTGGGAACCTGCAACAGCTTATCCAGAAATCAAGGACCTTTTCTCTAAAAAACAACGAGACATACTTCATGCCTGTCTTAAAAACATACTAACAGCCAGCTTTAACATCGAGAGCACTCTCTGAAATGCAAAGCTCGCCTTAGCAACAAGGCAGAGAGAGCAGACTTAACAAGAGAGTGTGAAAACTGAGCAAGGGAGGAGGACAGGGGAGTTTTTTTTTTTTGCAGAATAGAGAGAGAGAGAGAGAGAGAGAGAGAGAGAGAGAGAGAGAGAGAGAGAGAGAACTGGTGCGATCCAGTCTGTGGCTCCTGGAAAGAGCTGCAGCTGCCTGGTTTCCATAGCAATGTGGATGCAGGACGATGGCAGGCAGAGAGAGATAAACCGAGAGACTGTGTGATGAGAAAAATGGAGCAAAAAAGATGAGAACATACTGACAGAGCAGAGTGAACGCCAAGAGCAAAAAAGAGAGAGAGAGAGAGAGAGAGAGAGAGAGAGTGGGTCCAAGACAGGAGGAAGGAAAGGGGAGAAAGATGAAGGAGGAAGGATTCAAAGAGGAGACAGACATGTTGGAGGGATGTTGAGCTCAGACATGGATCCCCAAGACTTGCCACAGGAGACCGCCACCTTCAGGGGGACCTGGGGAACATACACATGTTAGGGAGAAGAAAGTAAAGCTCACAGACTATAAAAGCATGGACGACATGACAGATCCCCAAAAGTAAAGTAACATATCAAGAGCTCTTCTCACTGAGTGGCTGCAGTACAGGTCATCGAACCTGCTTCCTCCATGATAAAACTTTCAAACTGGGAAAATGTCGAATAAACTTTTCTCACACATGGCCTCTGTTTTTACGTTTAGCTCTGCTAATTTGGAGCGTTGATGCTGAAATTTACCTATTTGGATCATTTCCAGTTGAGATGACTAACTCACCTGAAGATGGACTCCGAGCTGATCTATGTGCTGAAGGGACTCCATGGTGCTCCTCACCAAAACTTCATAAAGACAGAAGACATTTTCTCATTCTTCTGCAGCAGTTTTGGGTTTTTAACTACAGGAGAGAATCAGACATGGAGTTATCATACTTACCTGCAAACTGCTCCACCTGAGAGTCCTCCACCTCAAACAGAAGCTCATCGTGGAGCTGGGCCAGCAGCCTACAGTTGAATCACACATGAATCAATATAACATGCAAACTATCGCTACCAACATTTACTAGCATTTCATGGAAATGTGTTTTTTTTGCCTGACCTTTATAAACACATCTCTAATGTCCCACAAAGTTCCTGAACATTTCTCAAAATTACACAGGTGAACAGAAACATCAGAGTTTCTCACTCAGACTTCACCCTGAATATTTCCTGCTTGGTCCCTCGTGTCCTTTTTATGGCTAAGTCTAAGCCCCTGAAATTTTCCTGAAATTTGCTGGAGTGCGTGTCTGAATGGGGCTCAGGAGAGCTATAACTTTGCAAAAATGGCTCGTAATAAGAGCCTCTTCAGAGGGGGGAGACACCTGGTTGTACCTCGCAGAGAGTGAGGCGGAGGAGGAGACCAGGTTAGAGATTCTGATCATGGCCATCTTACAGAGATCAGCGGCTGAACCTGTCCAAACAAAAACACAAACAAACATCATTTTGATCATACAAGCTGCTGTAGAATCGTCAAAAAACAAGCTAAGTGGCACAGACAAGTGAACATCTCGCCGTCAGTCTCCCCACCTTGGACCACAAAGTTGACGGCCTGCCTCTCAGCCTGCATTCGGACGCCCCAGTCAGGGGAGTTGATGTTCGGGAGGGTGCGCTGACGACCCATGATGGAGAGAACATAACCTACACAAATACAAAGAGTCATTACTCCAAGTATAATTTATGAAAATAAGTTAAGACCAGTGAAACGATCAGATATAAAACTATACGACAAAACATGATATACTCTGTTGTAGCGTTTATCTTCTGTGTCAACTTTATCATTAATGAATAAAAACTCAAACGAACAACAAAGTAAAGAAAGAGGAAAACAGTCATTTACAGAAACACTGTGACGTGATCATCAGGTATGATAGGTATGCTTCACACACACACTCACACACACAAAAACAAACACACAAAGACACACAGTAAACCAGTAACATTCCACAAGCCGGACAATGAGGCCGGCTTTAGGACCAAATCCCTCCAGTATCCCTTACTGTGAGGAAAACTGAGAACGGCATGAAACCTGAATGACTTGCTTCCCAGAACAAACACACAATCACACACACAAGCACAAACGCCCAGGAAGTGAGCGCGAAACAGATAATGAGAAACACAAAAAAACGGTGTCGGTGTGCCACTAACCCATGACATATGCCTGTGACCTTTCCACCAGGAATGTGACCTTTGTTCAGGGGGGCCCAGCGACGGGGAAGGACGGGTTACTATGAGTCAAAAAGGCAGTTTCCCTCCACAGACAGGTGTGAACTTGGATCAGAGTGGAATATCTGCTTTTAATCCAAATGGCTGCTGTGAGGTGAGCGTGGTGGTTTAATTAATTCTTGTTGACATTATTTTAAACTTTTGGATGAGTTATGTTTCTTCACTTAAGTTTTCTTGAAAAAAACTTTATAAAAACACGTTCAATCAGCCGCCATTTCATCAAGAGTGTGATGAGAAAATCTGTATTTAAGGCTGTGTCTGAAATGGATCCCTAACGTCTATAGAGGCGACTATACGGGGGTTAGCGCCATTTTGAGGGGTGTCCAAAGCCAGAGTGGTAAATTCCAATGCCCCATATAGGTGACTCAAAATTTCCCATAGAGCATTGCAAAATGTATGGTGGTGGACATCCTGTCATGCATTGCGTCGTCATCGTTGTCATCATTTTCTTCCGCTTCACCCGGGTCCGGGTCGTGGGGGCAGCAGCTTCAGGAGGGAAGCCCAGACGGCCCTCACCCCGGCCACTTCCACCAGCTCCTCCGGGGGGGATTCCCAGGCGTATCCAGGCCAAGTGAGAGATATAATCCTTCCACCTGGTCCTGGGCCGGCCACGATTTCCTCCCTGTGGGACATGTCTGGAACACCTCTAACGGGAGGCGTCAAGAAGGCATCCTAACCAGACGCCCAAGCCACCTCAGCTGACTCCTCTTGACGTGGAGGAGCAGCGGTTCTACTCTGAGCGCCTCCATAGTGTCCGAGCTCCTTACCCTATCTCGAAGGCTGAGCCAGGCCACACTGCAGAGGAAACCCATATCAGCCGCTTGTATCCGCGATCTTGTTCTATCGGTCATTACCCAAAGTTCATGACCATAGGTGAGGGTCGGCATGTAGATCGACCGGTAAATCGATAAATTGCATTGCGTCTCCAGCGGCAATTCAACGAGAGCAAGAAGAGACAGAACCTGAGCTCTATTTGCCATTTTCAGTTGAAAATGCTTTTCTGGTCGCTTTTTCCGGCATGAAGAGCAGTAGCCTAGTGAAAGCCCACATGGGGGTTAGGGATTGAGTGATTCATTTCAAACACAGCCTAAAGCTCTGTACAGCAAGTCTAACCCCCTAAGTAAATGAGCAGCTGTATTTTTGAAATACGTTTGGATTCGATTGGAAATCCCTCGTTGACATTTCAGAGACCATAATTCTGATTTTCTGAATGTCATCACTCGTCTGTGAGAAGTGTTTGACTTGAATCTGCTCTCATCACTGAGCTCTGCTGCCATTTGTGCTGACATGAGCTATTATCAATGACAGAGCATAAGAGGCTGAAGCGGCAGCTAAACAGCAAATCCCCTTTTTTATTAATGACAGGCCTGTGGCAGCAGCTCCTCTGTCTGCAGGAGTCCACATCAGAAAAAAACCAGCAGGAGTGTGTCCCGGATCAATCTGACAGGGCATCAGAGCCGGGCTGTGTTTAAGTGAGAGTGTTGGCGCAGCGGGGCGGCAACATATCGACGATTATCCAAGCTTCCATGTGTTTGCTGTGGCCTTCAGACGTCTTGGCCTGATTTTTCCTGTCTGTGATTCCTGCTGTTGCTTCTCTCAAAGGAATAAAAATCCCTCTTCTTCTTCTTTTCTTTTTCATCTGCGACAGTCTTTACAAGTGAAGGTGAATCTGTCATCCAGAGAGCTTTGAAAAAAGTCTGCACAACAGGACGGGCTTACCCCGTGAGGTGGCTTTATTTCATTTCAAAACAAAAAGACAGCGTGTATCAGAGTCCAGAAGTCATTTATCCTCGCATGTGGAATAAAAACGGTCAAAATACTCTAGTTTTTTCTTCGTCAGCTTTGTTGTATTTGCTGCTACATTTCTGGACTTTTATCTCTTATCTCCTCTCTCCGCTGTTACGCCCACGCTGTGATACTGACCTCACCTTCACTTTGCCCTTTCCAGCACATTTTCCAACAAATATGACAGCAGCTGAGCCGGCACTGTTCCCCTCAGCTCCGCTCAGCCTGCCAGCATGCAGCAGATCTGAGCTAAATATCGCTGTATCACACACCGATCATCTCCAAATTCAGTGCAGAAGGGCAGAAGGAGCCCTGGCACTGATTAATCTCTGCACCCTGAGTCACGGCCGATGACTCTAAAGAGAAACTGTAAAATTCCCCTGGATATTAGACAGCTGTTTGATCGATAATCCAAATATTTTCACATGAAATATGGAGAGTTAAGAAGAAAAAGATGTTGAAGAGTGAAAGGAAGAGGATATTTAAAGACAGGGAGCAGAGACAAAAAAGAAAGAGGGACTGAGGGACAGCAAGACAAAGAGACAGTGGGACGAGTCAGGCAGATAAATCCCTGCACTGTCTCCGATGGGAGGATCACCATGGTGATGAGCTGAATTAAAGCCGACTGTTTGGCGCAACCATTACTCTACCCCCTGAGAGCGAGGAGGCTTCCACAGTGATCTGCAGGCTGCGTTTTTGGAGGGACGAGTCCATTATGTCCCTTCGATTAGGAAGCTGACATCAGGGGGGGGGGAGGTGAGGCGCGGCGTTTCATGGGTGATGGAGCACCTGTCCGCGGGTGACGACTGTTCAGAGTTTGTTACAAAGGTGGCGGGGAAAGCATCGCCTGCCCTGACCTCGTTTTAAGCATTTAGCACAAAACAAAGCTGTTACACAAGATAAAGTCACAGAGGACCTACTTTTTCGTGCACAAACAGCCTGAGAGAGAAGTTAAAGTTGACATAGCAGCATGTTCGGGGCTCGTATAAGAGGCTCTTTCTTTCAGACTATTTGATTAAGCGGTAATTGGTTCATACTTAACTTATTAGCCGATTTGGTACACAAAATAAATAAAGAGAGCTGAAGGCTGAACTCGACACTGGCCTCTGTGTTTTGAACGGGGGCTAACTCGGCGCAATGGACCAGATTCCCACGCTGGGAAATCAAAACACTGTCATCATGTGGTGTTACTGTGTTTTGATTTACAGCTCATACACGGTGAAAACAGGGAGAAAAGTTGAGCCACAATAATCTACTGTACCTGGATGAGGAATTAAACATAAAAGATGAGAAACAAGTAAAATAAATATCAATTTAAGTTTAATTTCACAAGGTTTTTCTATAAATAAGCAGGTATCAATGATGCATTTTGCATATTTAATGCTGCTGACTCAGCTGAAGTGAGGCGGTCTAACCCCTCCAACACTAATCTCTTCACCGCATGGCGACATTCCTCCACTTTCTCCTCATTCATCAGTCTTTAAGTGATCTGAGTTTCTGCTCTACAGGGTCTCTTTATAGGAACCGGGTCCTGATACCAAATAAAAACTGAATCTGCATGTCTCCGAACAGTTTCTGCTAGTCTCTGTCGTTGTGGCTCGGACTGACCTCATCTCTCCGCCTGTCAGATCTGGGTCCATGTACTGTGTGCAGTGAGGGTTAAAGTGCAGACTTTACACTATTTTATGTAAGCGTGTTGAAGTCTCAGGTGTGCTGTGTTGGCAGTTCAGGCCGTATATAAATAGCGTGTCCCATCTGAACCACCAGCTACCCCCCACCCCCCCCCTTCCATCCACCTCGTCCGCCTCAAGTATTGACCCACGGCAGTTTGTCTCATTCCTGCCAATGCAAGCACATCTTCCTCTTCCTCGGCCAAACACACACAGATCCACCGGGAGCGTGGGCGTATGTGTGAGAGCATTAGAAATTCAAACCACGAAGTGTACGTCAAAACTGTGATACGGTGTGAGGACATTTGACTGCTTCATGAAATCCTTTACCTCACTTCCCTGCGGTGGAACTGTGACCTTGGTCCTGGGCTCGACACTTCTACAATAGCTGTGTTAGGTAAACTCACACAGACCTTGTTTGTGGCACTGCTGGATGGTCCTCTGGATAAAGGTTTGGACTTCTCTGTAGGTCTGGAGGAAGCTGTCCTGGAATCTGCTGGCTTGTTCTGCACTCACCCCGAGGATCCCGGACAGACGCTCCCGACCTGCAGTGAAACAGCAAACTGTTTATGAACGGTTGTTCGAGGATGCAGCCTGCTACTAGGGACAGATTAAGGATGTCAGTGCCATGCAGATATCGTAAGGGAGATATCTCAGGTGCATACGAGTAAGACCAAACTTCAGACAATCCCCACACTCCAAAAAAGGCACAAACTCCAGTAACATGTTGCACATTTTCTACATGACATGCAAAACAAATAAGTGAAAAAAACAGCTAATTATTAAACTTTTAGAAATAAAAGCCTGAATTTGAGATCATCCACTTTTATGAAGGTTGTAGTGGACTCTATACGTTAAGGTAAAGGTATGTATATGTGATTATCATTTATTAAAGACCTACTCCAATAAAAATCATGATTTTCTTGTTTTTCATATGTTCATATGGCATTTTTCTGATGCTACAGGACATTTCATGAGAAAACTAAATGCGAAATTGCTTTTCTGAGTATTTCTTCAGTGAGATTTCATATGTAACCAATCCAAGCTCCGCCCCTGAAACCCCGCTATGCAGGCCACGCAAGGAAAGTAGAAAGGACGATCGTGGAACAAGTGTGTGCGTTAGCGGATTGCAATGCTCGTAAGAAAGCTAATTATGACATTAGCTCTCATTGTGTCCCTAAAGACATTAGTGTCCGAGAGCCGAATCGCTTCTATGTTACCTGCCACTTCTACTACACTGGCAATGTACGACTCAGAGGCGAATTGCTAATTATCTACTGGAGCTCCGCAGAAGAGAAGCCCTTAAAAATGACACAGGTAACATGATTTTTGGTAAAAACTACATAATCACAATTGAAAGACCAGAGAACACTTTAAGTCATCAATAAAATGATCATAGTGGGAGTTTAAGAATTCATAAATATGTTGGGTTTGGCCTGGTTGCACAACCAAGGTTGCTTTGCCAGGACCAAAACTTATTTGGTTGCCAAAACATTTAGAGATAGTTTCTAATAAATTCAGGAGAAATCTGAACAACTGGTGAATTTCACAACACCGAGACATTTCCTTGGATGATCCCCCGGTGATTTGGTACATGACGGGTAAAGCATGCACTTACACACACACCTAGGAGACTCATGCATACACACACAAACACACACATAAGAGGCACACAGCTGTTCCACACAGTAACACATATGTATTTCTCTCCTTTGGTTTGGTCCAGACTCTGTTTGTCACTTGTACTGATTGTCCAATAAAGACAAGACTCTTCAGATCTCATCCTGTCTTCTGCGCATTGTTTTACCGAGTACATGTTGATCCTCTACAACAAGGTCTAGGATGTTAAGGTCTTACCTGCCCAACGCCTTGAGCCGATAAGTAAATCAAAACAGGGGTCAAACTGCCTTTATGATGACAGATTGAAGAGTTTGAGGAGTGATGGTGGAGGCAGGCGCCAGGAACGTAAGAGGAGAGTGAAGAGAGGGCAGCCAGGACTCGAGGGTAAAAAATTAAGGGATAAAAGTAGAGCCAAGTGAAGGGTGATAGATAGAAGAGGACAAGATAAAAGGATAGAGGGAAGGACTGCAAGGTGAGTACGTGTGTGAAAAATGAAGATTAAGGGAAGAGGACGGAGCCTCTGTGGGCGTGTAAGGTTTAAAGTGTGTAGCAGGAGTACAGAGGAGGAGGTTAAAAGGTGAGGAGGAGATCGATGGAGCAGTGGAGAGGGTGAGCTAATGGGCGCCACAGCTGGAGTGTGTATGTGTGTTTGCGGTTCTGAGCCATAAGGGGCGTGTCCATGTGTGGTTAGTGATGAGTAATGTCACGGCAGCCCCAGAGGTGGAGGTTGTGGTGGGATAGATGGGGGACAGTAGTTGTGGTTAAAAAGTCCTACACCTCCTATACAGAGAATAAAAGGAAATATGATGCTGTATTTGCGTGTGTGTGTGTGTTTTTTAATGGTGATATAAATATTCAGAATGACCCTTTATTCTGGAAGGTCAGCCCCAGAGTCAGACATGTTTGAAATCATCAGAGCTGACACATCACTGATGAAATGTGTCAGGCCTTTCAGCGGTGTTCTTCGTTACGTGACCAAAGTTACAGTGAAGACGATGCTCACTCACACACTCTGAGTGTGTCATGTGTGTATCGTGTGAGTGTGCTCCTGTGTGTTTGCAGCTCCGCATTCCTGTTGAATGGGGTCAGTTCAGAGACCTTTAACCTACTGAGGACACTCTGACCCAGACTACTTTGCTTGGACTTTTCTGACCTCTTATTTGAGTCTTTTTCATCTTTTTCCTGCTACTACAACCCCATGAATGTTTTTTTAAATATATTAAATTATGTCTTATTTCAGCAAGACTGTTAAAGGTGATTAAACAGTGGGCAGATTTTAGGTGTTACAATTTTCAAAATGAAGAACAATGAATTACTTAATAACAGAAGCAGGAATGACATGTTTCTCATGCTGTAATAGCAAGTATGGAAATTAGAAATATTCAGTGATCAGTGATAATAATAATAGTAGTAAACATAATAATAATAATAATAATAATAATGATAATAATAATACTACAAATAAAAATAGTAAAAAATAATAACAAAAAGTGATAATAATAATAGTACTAAATTATAATAATAATAGTATTAACAACAACAACAATAATAAAAATAATAATATTAACAACAACAATAATAATATTAACAACAACAACAGCAATAATAATAATAATAATAATGATGATAACAAAAAAATAATAATAATCATAACAAAAAAAAATAATAATAATTTCTTCAGATTTATTCCATAAAAAATTATTGGAAATCTAAATTGTATAATCCAAAATAATGCAAGAAAAACTTAAATCACTTCTATGTTCATATAAATCTACTAAAATTATTTTTACATTTTAATCTTTTTTTTTTTTTTTTGATAATTCTAGAGAGGCATTCACTTTTCATTTTCGAACAATAACCAGGTTTTAGAGGATGTTTTTTTCTTGGCCCTGAGTCTAAATGGATTAAAAATATCCACTAACTGTTAAATGAGTGTCTGTAATATAGTATGAAGTCCAAAGTAGACCAGATTTGATTCATCAGTTAGAAAGAGTGTATTCCCCAGCTTTCACCTCAGCCTTGCTACTTCCCCTGACCCTCTATATAAGTTGACCCATTTGTGTTTATGTATGATTGTGTGTGTGGGAGTGTGTGCGAGTGAGTGTGTGCGCCGCTCTGCCCCTCCTCCCTGCCCTGATTATTGTCTTGCAGGAGAGAGCTTCCTTTTAGTATTTGGTATCCATGGCTACGCATCCTTTCCACTGAGATCCGTCTGTCTGTGACGATCAGGACCTCCTTCCATTACTCTTCTCCCTCGCTTTTCTCTCCCTCTGCCCCACCCCACTTCTCCTCTCTTCCCCTTTCCCCTACATTACTCCCCTCCGACACCTCCCCCGTTTTTCCTCTTCTTCGCCTCTAGCCCACATTTTCTACATCTGCTTCCACTGTGTTGCGCTCTTTTACATCTCCATATTTTTCCTGCATTTTGTAGCTCTGACCTTTTGCTTTCTAAATTGCATCCTGCGCTCCTCTACGAGTCTCAAATGAATGGCTTTTACACATTTGGCTGTTCCTGTTTATTGATTTCCAAAGAACTGAATCATTCATCAGTGTGTGTTTGTGAGCTAATGCTTGTTTTTGAGACTCCTTCAAGAGTTTAAAAAAACCACATGGTGCTCTGTGATCACGTCGAGAGCGTCAAGATTCAGTCTCAGCACACCCAGTCAGGAGCGAGGGACGGCAGCTGGCCTTGCTCCCTGCAGAATCTGATGCAAACCATGCGCTTTAGGTTCCCCCCTGATTGGTTAAACATGTTTTCTGTTTCATCAAGATGTTCTGTTTAGAGAGAACAGTTAATCTACTGTGTGGTCATGTATCGTGTTTACGTTTAGGATCATGACAAAATAAAGAAACAGGAGCCGCATTTTCTGTTTTGAGAGGGACGCAAACTTTATCAAGTAAGAAGACTCCCGTCACTACAATGAAACACGTTTATTATAAAAATTAACCAAAATTATAAAAAGGTACATTTTCCTGAAACAGCTGTTGTAGTACGAAGAGTCCCTTGGTGTATGTGGTGATTTTGGGGTCTCTACTGTATAACAGTGGAGCTATTGGTTTTTGTTTGCAGCGTCTTGCTCTTTTATCGTAATTTGCAGATGATCCCTGCGCACTCGCCTGGCTACCGGCTGTGCATAGAGATCAGTATTATTCATCCAGCTCGAAGAACGGCTTGTTCTTGTAAAACAAATCGTTTTTTGATTCTTGTATCTAGTTGTTTATGCTGTTACGACATGAAAGAGGCATCATTTGTGTTTAGACAATTTTTCGTCTCAGAGTTATTGATCCCGGAACTCATAATCTGTGAATATCTTTCCAACTTTAACAAACTTTTTCCCACTGCTGCCATTTATAAGCTTCCAACGCACGAAACAAAAACAAGCACCTGGCTCTTTCAGTTTTCGGCACCAGCTACCATGAGGCTTTCCATTTTTTTCAGCCTCTTTCACCCGCGCCCAGCTTTCAATATCGCCATTTCTTCTCCTGGATTGATGTACCCGGCATCCATCGTTTGAAATTTGCCGTTTGACGCTCGCTGATGCGTCTTTTTCTTCTTCCGCTTCTTCTTCTTCTTCTTCTCCGGCAGGATGCATGCTATCCAGCGTAATGCTGTTCTCTACGGGTCATATTCAGATTTAACTAACTAGGGATTTTTTTTCTCTCTTTTTTTTGACACGATTTAGAAAAAAAAAATCCCGAGCCGGATTTCCGGCACTGTGCCGGAGTTCTTCAAGCCCTGGTTTCTTCACACATGGATAAAAACAGCAGAATCTACCTTTAGCTATGGAGGCTAGGCTAATTTTGTCTGAGAATGACTATTTGATACAAAACCGATAAATGTACATCATCCACAACTATTCAGTTTTAAAGTTGTCCCTGTTGCTCTGATTGCATTTGCCCAATTACGTTGTTTTAAACTGGCCTACATTTAAATTTACAGGTGTCATGTACGACAGGTAAGCTAGACGTAGGGGGTTAGCGTTCAATTGAAAATAAGCCGTTTATAAGAAGTCTGTATCTCATCAACTCTGTGGCTGTTTGACACCACAGCCCTACAGAAGCTAATGCTGCTTTGTGTTAGCATATGGAAAAAAACAGTCGCTCTACATAAGCCTTTAAATTGGTCACCAGCAATAAAACCTAATGAAGAGTGCAGGTCGACTGTAAAACACGCCTTCACCGCACAGGTGAGAGCACAAATGCAAACGTAAACACGCTCGGCTTTTGTTCGTGTCCGTTTAATGTTAAAGCAATGCCCATGATTGGCTGGCCCCGATATCTTCCACCTCCACTCACACTCGTTCTGGTCATGTGTGAGTGCTTGTGTGTATTCAAAAGAGCATGCACATGTGTGTGGACTAGAAATAGGTCACAAGTGACACAGACAAGGCTCTTTATGGGCCACAGGGGTGTTTTATACATTCATCTCCCCCCTCTCTCTCTATTTTTAACTTCTCCTGCCCCATCGCTCTGGAATGCGATCCACAACATGAAAGAAACTTGGAAAACAGTGATGTCCCTGTAGGGATCGCTGGCATTTTTGTGTTACGTGGATAACCTACATTCCCGCTCAAGATGACAGTTCTACGGTTCAGCAATCTCTTATCTCCTCCTTTTCTCATCTCTGCTCTACTCACAGATCTATCCTCTAACAAAATAAGTCACTTTATAGGTCCAATAAGACACGAGACAACACTGCAACTGGAGACGGTATAATACAACACAAAGCAACATAGTATGGTATGAAAGAGTAGGATATTATAACTTAAAAGGATCCAAAACCAAGTACTAAACTAAGCTACAAGACTGTGCAATATGCAACAATATGATACAAAACAATACAATGTGATGAGAAGAGATGAGATACGATAAGATAAGAAGAGAAAAGATGATATAAGATGAGAAACATATATAAAATGATACGAAATGATATGATACGATAAGATTATATAGGATATGAAGCGATAGGATAAATAACACCATGGTATGATGAGATATGATACGATGAGAGGAGATGAGATATGATAAAATAAGATACGATATGAAACGATACGAAATAATTTTATACGGTAAGATAAGATTATATACGATATGAAGCGATAGGATACATAACACTATGATATGATGAGCTATGATACAATGAGATGAGAAGAGATGAGATATGATAAGATAAGAAGAGATTACATACTTTGAGATGAGATACGATATGAAATGATACAAAATGATAAGATAAGATAAGATTAGATACATTATGAAGTGATAGGATACATAACACTATGATATGATGAGATGAGAAGAGATAAGATATGATAAGATAAGATACGATATGAAACGATACAAAATGATATGATATGATAAGAAGAGATTAGATATGATATGAAGCAAAAGGATACACAACGCTATGATCAATGAGATATGATATGATGAAATGAGAAGAGATGAGATATGAGATACAAAGAGATGAGATACTATAAGATAAGATATGATATGAAACTATACGAAACAATATGATACAATAAGATTAGATATGATTTGAAGCGATAGGACACAGCACTTTGATACGATGAGATATGATATGATGAGATAAGAAGAGATGAAATATGATAAGATTAGATACGATATGACGCGAAAGGACACATAACACTGTGATCTGATATGATATGATGAGATGAGATATGATAAGATCAGAAGAGATGACATACTATAAAAAAAGATACAATATGAAACGATACAAAAGAATATGATAAGATAAGATTAGATACGATATGAAGTGATAGGATACATAACACTATGATACGATGAGATATTATATGATAAGATGAGAAGAGATGAGATAAGATATGATATGTTTATCTGTGGATAAACAAGCTAATGAGATCATTTAAAAAAAAAAAACATCAGCCAATTACATACAGAGAAGCACATATCAGTCAATAAAGTATTGATTGATTGTCATTTTGAAACAATACTGATCAATCGTCCCGCAAACCGCTGACAAGTTGTATCATATCTTCAATCAATTATTACATATTACTGCTCAATCTTAGCAATCCCTTTGTAGGTGTGAATGTGTGTGTGTTTATATGTCGTACTCACCTGCCCCGTACACAACAGAGTAGACGACGCGTTTGGCATGTTCTCGATCCTCAGACGTCACCTCACCCTCACTTACCCCCTTCCTGAGGGACAAAGATGAAAAGTGTGAGTCTACACAGCAAATTTGCAAAGGTTCCTGGTTAGTGAGTCTCCACTGTAAAAAAACTATACCGTTTAATGTCAATAAAAGTGCCCGTCTAATGTTTTCTCCAAGCCCAACAGATTGAGGCAGATAGCAGTCAACCAAGACTCTAGTGTTTGGGGTTTCTGCCTGTTATAATGAATTTGATGTCAGCTGTAAATGCCGCAGTAAGCAGCATTTTGAGTTGTTTTTCACTCCCCTTGTGTTGTTGACTTTCTCTGTCTATCAGTGAATAAGTTGAGGCAGATGGCTGTCCACTTAGTGTGACACTCTGTCTGAGGATTCTGCCTAAATTAAGATTGTTTTTCTTTGTCTTTCTGCCCTGAGTTGATTATAAGGGAGGGAGCAGAAGGTTGATTTTGTGATATACTAGACAGTTAACAAAAAGTCATCTCTGATTTATTAGGGAGTGATCAGAGGGCGTTATAAATGAGCTAATGTTGGGTAATCAGAGGTTTGGGATTTCTTAGGAGTTACAGAGAGAACTAAGGAGTTAGAAGGGTTTTACTGGGAACTTCATGTGAAATTACTTTATATAAAAAAAAAAAGAAGAGGAAAGCAGAAGAATCCCCCTGGGACACCAGCGATAAAAAAAGGCAAGACAGAATGTGATACAGAGGTTAAAAGGACATGAAGTACAGAGAGACCGGGGGACTTAAGTGAAGAGACAAGCGTATAAAGGAAAAGAAAGGCAGCAATGGGCAGACTGTTATGTAACGTGTCTTGAAGACAGCGGTGGTACTGGGGATCAGACTGGGTGGGATGACACGTCTGCAAAGTGGCATTTCTGGAGGGGCTGACAGGGAGCTGCCACTGCTGATCAGTGCGGAGAGACTCCAGAGTTTCATGAGGTCAGACGTCTTGATGCCCGCAGCCTCAAGATAACGACTTTGAAATTTGAAGTAATTATTCTTTAAATGCCTCTCTTGTTTTAACAGTCTGTCTCTCACACAAACACACAGGCACATGCAGACGTGTTCTCCTGATGTGTACCTTATAACCCCCCAACAGAGGTGAAACTTTCCTCAGCTCTGACTTTGGCTCGGAAGGTCATCCACGCTGGATTTTTATTGCCCTCTGCTGGAGAGGCATTTACCCACTGTGGTCTGATCCTATCTGGTTCCATAGGCTGAATGCTGCACAAGGGATGTTACAATCAATCAGGTATTGAGTAGTTGACTGTAAAGAATGTGCTTATGTATGCTTTTCTTGTTTTCCATCAGGTAGAGCTAAACAGCAAATGGTCTTGTATTGCATTCAGCTATCAGCGTGGTTTAAAGCATGCTTTAATATGAACCAACTGTGCACAGCTTGGGCAGGGGGGGAGCTGCAGCAGCACGCAAGGTCTCTGCAGGCTCCTTTTGGGGAGCAATACACCACCACGGACACAGAGACTTTTGAGGACTTTTTACTCACCTTTGGATACAAAACAGAGAGATTCTAAGTGTCAAATCAAGACCACTGTATCATTGCTTGGGTGGATTATTTGTCCAGTTCAATCTGTAGGTCATGAACTGGTTCATTTATCTTCTTTTGTTTATTTTTTTGTTTCTGGTTATCGTTTTTATATTGATATTATATTGATTTTGTATGTACTTTATGTCATATTTTACTCATTATGGTACTTTTTCATCACTTAAGAATATTGTTTGTCTTTGGTACACTAATGTGTATATTGTAGGCCATTGGTTCTTTGTTTTATTTTTGCTAAAAAATATATATCTATTCTTATATTGCTCTTTTTTATCTTTGGTATGAACATTATTATGTAAACTCTAAGTTATTGGGGTTTTTTTTTTGCCATTTTTGTATTACAAAATTTTATTATTGATTATGCTGTACTGCATTGTATGATTTGTTTTGTGATTGTGTGATGTTTTTTGCCTGGACCCCAGGAAGAATAGGCTCCACTGCGGTGTAGACTCATGGGGATCTATAATAAACTAAACTAAACTAAACTAAACTGTGTTAGACAAGCCCCCACACTGTCCATTTTTAAAACTCATCTTAAAACCCATTTTTATTCATTGGCTTTTAACCCTGCATGAGACTCAGCTCCTGTTTTAGTGTTTTATGGTTTGTTTTTAGTTATTTGTTTCTATGTTTTTAAATTAGTTTTTAAAAAACATTGAAGCTATATTTTACTTTTAATTCTGCTTTTATTTTATCCATTGTTTTTATTGTTTCTTGATTGTTTTTTTATCTTGTTGTTTTGTCTAGTTATGTACAGCACTTTGTGGAGCTGTGGTTGTTTTAAAGTGCTCTACAAATAAAGTTGAGTTGAGTTGAGTTGAGTTGAGTGTTTGGATTAGTAAATATGTGTAAAATATATAACAGGACAATTTCTGTTGTTTTTAAGGTGAGAAAAGGAGACTTCTCTCAGTTTCATGACGACGAATCCAAGAAAAAAAAAAGATTTTTGTGGCTACAAGTCAAAGAATGAAGAGTCTGGAACGATGATGTGAGCAGAGGGAAGTGTAAGCTGTGAAATTAACATTTCAGAGTGAGGACGTAGAGGGCAAGAAAAAGGCTAAAGCTGCTTCGACAAAGAGACAGAAGGAAAGAGAGGGAAACAGAAGGTTCGAGAGAGCTGAGTACTCTGCTGTTACCTAAAAAGAGCAGCTGTGACACGGGTTAATTTGTTTAAAGGTGAAAGAGGGATCATCTAAGACACTTAATGTATGTAAAGCCGCGGTAGAGCTGTTAATATGATCTGTGGGCCCAGGTAATCTCTTTAACCGGCTGCCCCCCTGCTACACAATCGGCTGAGATGGATGACAGGAGTAAAGGTAAAACACACACCAATGTACACACAACTTAAAAAAGACTCATATGTAATCAAAAGCCCAGAGGGGGCGATAAAAACATTAGACAGTCTGTGTGGAAGTCATTGAAACAAGGTCATTAGTGTTTGAAGTGTGGAAACCGGCTGTCAGGAGGGAACGGGTACTGAGAATCCCTGACGAGTATCAACGCTCACCTTGACTGAGGAGATGAGGGGAGACCTCATGAGTGTAAGTCAGTGTTCGTCTGTCCGTGTGGGAATGAGAGACATACCACTGAGAGGCCAGCATGGTGAAGACGTCGGCCTGAGGGTTGATAAAAATGCGGAGCAGCTCAGGGTCAGAGGAGAGGTGAGCCAGCAGACGCAGCTCCACCTGGCAGAAGTCTAACACACACAAACACACACACCAACATCGGCATTTCTTCAGGAATTTACTGGAAACAGTTTAACATATAACCTTTAAAAACTAAGAGTTATAAACTTCCTCACTTTCTTTTAATTTGTAAGCAACACAAAGAAAATAAACATGTTGGATTTGTTGCTCTACAGATGCCACAAGCAGATTTGGTAGATCTAGACAACAAGGGCACTCCTTTTTTTTTGGATCTGGCCCTTTTTGCTAAACTTAGCTGAACATTGAAAGACTCTGCGCCGGCTTCACTTGGATACAGTAAGTGGACAGTGACAAACTAGCCTGCAATTAAAGTGTCAATGTCAGACATTAGTCAGATTCCAAATGAATGAGTCAATGCTGACAGTCCTGGTGCAAAAACACATCTTGTGGAGGTACTACTATAAGTGTCACACAGACAGTAGATAGTTTGTGTTTAGGGCAAAATGTCTAAGTGATTTAAAGTCATTAACGTTTGATTTCTTATCCTCAGTTTCATTAAACGTTTCCCCAAAGGGAGTTCGGGTCAAATCTGGAAGTTCAGTTTGGGTTTTACTCGAACACGATGATGAATAGAGCGACAGCAAATGGTGACGGCGAGGGCAGAAAGGCAACGAGCTCCTGGCACAAAAGGAAAGGTCGGCGTCTGAGGGGAAATTGGTATCTCTGCCTCCTCCATGACTCTCCCAGTGTTGCTGCAAAGTGATGGGTCTGGAAAGAATCGGCGTCTCTTTTTTCGAGTCGGTTCTCAAAGGCGTGATGTCTGCTATTGATGCCGAACAATTTTGTGCTTTCAGACTCATTTGTACCTGAGCTGGAAGGAAAACCTGACAATTTCCCACAGCAGTGACACATACTTCCAGACAGCAACAAAAAATGCTCTCAGAGAAGCACTTCTCATTCGTTTCCCAAAAGTTTAGGCTTTGTGACCCCTGCCTTTAATTCTTTAGGTGTAAAAAATATTTTTATTTTGTGTTAATATTTCTTCTGCCTTTTAGGTCTTAAAAAACCCACTAAAAGAGCAGCACAAATTAATTCTAACTGACCTGCACTCAAAGTTTGGTACTGTTTTCTATATATGCATGGATGTATGCCGGTGTCAGCACTCGGGCCAATCGACCAATTTTAGCCCGTTTAGACTAATCGTAATCAGCCAAAACTCGCCGATATTTTCAGAAATAAAATGCAGAGAATAAGATTTGGTTTCGCTTCGAAAATGTTCCACCATTTGAAAAGTTCCCTGACTTATCCTGTAGATGGCGCAGTGACCTCATGACAATCTTCCATCCACTAACTACCTCACAGCAGAGCAGAGTGACAGACCTGAAGCAGGCAGCTCAGGGACGCACGGAGGAGAGTGGTCCGCCTCAACGGTAAATAAACCAGTTTGTGAAATACACAATAAGTCAACAACTTTCAGTTTAATCCACTTCACGATGTTCTCCACTGTGCTGGTCTCGGTCACGCCGAGTTAGCGGTGAAGCAACATGTAATATGCAAGCTAAAGTTAGAGTTAGCCATCTGCTATTAGCCTTGCTACACTGTTAGCCGTGCCAGTAACAGTAGAATAAACAACAGTACACATTACGTGATCGAGCTACTTCTCTAGTTGAAAACGCTTTTCCGGTCCATTAGTGTACCAAAGATCGGCCGATTAATCGGTAATCAGATTTTTCCCCCCCTAATAATTGGTATATATCCATATTGGTCGGGCCCTAGTCAGCACTAGCATGCCACTGTTCTCTCTTCATCTGTGATATCGCCTTCATATTCTTCTCTGAACGCTTTGTCGAATCCAAGAATTTGTTCTCACTAACGTTGAAACTGCCAGGATTTAGATCTAATTTTCTCAGCCAATTCACAGTAAGCTGATGTTGCTGCTGCAAAACTCCATGCGATGCTGGGTTATTAAGGAAAACCACATTACTGTGAATCATATAAATGCTGCTATAACACTCTAATAGGAGTATCCGCAGTGGAGAGCTGAACAGGGATGGATAGTTGCAGGATAGTCACAGAATCCGGACAGTGAAACCATCACCTTGACTAAAAATGTGTCTGAGACCTAACTGTCCAAGAAATTGGCCCAAGGCACCGAAATAATACAGAGCAACAACCAGGGGCAACAAATGCTGACAGTAGCATGAGTGTCTGTTCTCTCTAAACACACATTATACTGGATTATACCTGCGTTTACAGGGACGGGTGTGAATACACATATAAAGAGACAAAGAGACAGAAGTTACACTCTCTTCCTGTGACAGTGTGTTACAGCGACAGGTCCTGCACTGACAGCTTTACAGCTCTCTTGTCAGCTTGGCAGATCTAAAATGAAACATCTCACAAGAAGTAGTCGCACGTCAACACGGATACACGCTCGTACCCACGCAGCACATTTCACCCAGACACATTCTCCCCTCTGCTTAGCTGCTTTTAAATCGAATTACATCCCACCAAAGGCGGAGGGGGAAAACCATTTAAAATGGATGGAGGAAACGGAGGGATATTCACTCAGTTGGAATGAAGCAACCGGCTGCAATAAGCCTCTGCAAACGTGGAGAGAGAGAGAGAGAGAGAGAGAGAGAGAGGAGTTATGTGGGAAAATATCATGCAGAGATGTTAATTTGTCAAAGCAGGTAGAAAGCTTTCAATCATTTTACAACTTTATTGATCAACCAGGAGATGACCACAAATGTTTGATAAGTGGGCTAGCGGTCTTATTGAATCATCAAGTGTGTCCTCAGGGGATTATAATGTTAAAAATCAGTCTGAACGGTCCTTATGTGTCTGTGGTCTCTCATGGTTTTAATCTAAAAATGTTCCCCGACTTGTAGTTTCACAACGGCAATAAAAACAAATCCAGTTTATCGTTTAACCCAGGTCTGCCACATGTTTTAAAAAAAGATAAAGAGGGCAGGGAGGGAAAAAGGAGAGGCTGCGGCAAAATGGATAAAAGCATAAAAACGGGGTGGAGTGGGGGGGTGACGGTGGGGCGAGCAATCCGAGGAATAAAGACGTCTGCTTTTGGTTGTGATGAGGTGAGGGAGGCAGTTTCTAAAGATATCATCCCATCCATGTTTTATGAGCCAGATCACATTTCCTCCCAGCATGGCCGCCAGCTTCAGAAACATATTGCTGACCAGGATGAGAAAGTGTGTGAGTGAGTGTGTGTGTGTGTGTGTGTGTGTGCAGACGACAGTGTTTAAATCAGTGTATGTGTGTGGGACAGGAATAGACTGAGACGGATGTAAAAAGAAAATGTATGTTACACTCATTGGCATGCTAATGTGTGATACTGAAAGAGTACGTGTAGGTGCTCTTTAATAGAGATGGTTGGGAGGAAAAATCCACAATGAATCCTTGTATTGATCCGAACAGAAATAAGTCTGACGTACAGTAAGCTAGCCCATAAAACAGGACCAGCTCAGATCTATTTATGACCCTGTACTAAAACCGCAGAGCCAGGAGTTTACAGATAGAGATGCTGGACCAGGTAATGTGCGCTCCTCTGGTCCTGATTCCCCCTTTGGACCTGATCCAGTATAGATTTCAGGGTGCTAAACCTCGCTCAGAAAACACACAAATGGCTTAATTTGAAATTGTAATTGGAATAGCTGTTGATTTGTCACACTTCGACGCTTGTTTGCAAACAAAATGAGCAATGTCTGGCTCTGCTAGATCCTGATTAATATTCGTCATTCATTTGTACAAAATAATTATTCGTTTGTAATGGGGAACCTTTGTAAGTTGTGGCTCTAATGACACATTTGAAAATGCTCGGTGCGCAGAGTTGATTAGATCTCAAAGACCAGAAAATGAATGTCTAATTCGAGGTGCAAAAGTCCTGCTCCCTTTCAATTTCCCCGGCAGTACAGGGTCATATCTTCTACGCCTTCAGAATAGAAAAACAATAAATAAGTTGGCGCTCTGTCTCGCAGTTCCTTGGACAGCATATGAGCAGATTTGGGAGACTAAGTCGTGCCTCATACATTTTTAATGCCACCACCCACAGCACCCTGAACAGCCCTCGGTGATGCTTTGCAGTGCAGACTGGAGTATGAAGGTTATAGATGAAAGCGTTGGAGCTCAACTAAAACCTGAATATTGAGCATGTGAAGTGTCCTCTGGGGATTGTGGCTGCTGGTCTAAAGAAGCTTCTAGGGGGACGGAATTGAACAGCGTACATCAGGGTGATCCTGAAATGTCTCATAAGAGATGTGTGTACCACACTCACCAACAGTGGAAGGACAAGTCCAGGTTAGTAAATGCACGGACACCCTGTTGGTGATTTGAATGGCCTTAAATCAGTTTTATATTATAGAGCAATCTCCATAATTGCTTTGTCGTCCATCTTTCTACCGCCGCTGCAAATGAGAGCACAAATAAGGGCAATTTCATCGACCTGAAATCACCTTTGCGTCACGCTTGATTTGGCAATTATGTACTATGTGCCGTTAATCAAAGATGGATGTGGTCACAGCGACGTCACTCACTGGTTTCTAAGGAAACATCATGGAGCGCGTGTTGGAAACGCCGACCCAGCGTAACTTTAAATCATCTTAAAATAGGTAAAGAGGCAGAACCGAGGCGGGTCCTCAGTTTCCTGGCAAATAATGACATACGATGCAAAACGAAAAAAAAGGATACTTTATAAAATATTTCACCCCATACAGCGTCTGCAAACCAGGAAATGATCTCTCCAAGAATTTTTTTTTACTATCTTAACATGGATGTAAATGGAGTCTCGTTGACTTTTGTGACTTGTGAGGAACTGCTTTTTTTTTTGGCTGCCTCTTGGTAGACGTACACATTATTAAAAGTCATTTTTGCAGCTTGCAGTCAGTGTATAAACATTGTAGAGTACACAGCGACTGCATTTAGCTGCCTACATTATATTTTTTTTATGGACTACTGATGAGAAAAATAGACAAAATGGACAGACTGAGTTAAAACTAGCAGCCTGATGAGGGAATTACGCCAGTCTTTGTTCTCATTTTGGCAGGCCTCTCTTTTTCCTCTGTCAGCTCCAGCCCACACACCCAGCAGACATCTAACAGCAGAAGAAGAAGAACCGAGTTGATAATTGCAAATATAAACAAAAATGCATCCAAACATAGGGAGCCCGCGGGTCGCTTGAGGACAAGCGCGTTAAAAATAGCGCGCTCTTTTTCTTCGTTGGGTAGCCGTCCAATTTCCTTTTTATGAAGCCACGGTTTGGAGGGTGGGATCGATGCAAAAACACACTCAAGACAAAAAGTGCGTAAAAACCCACACACAACCCCACACAGGGGCTTTTGGAGACTGAGAGATTCTGACGTGCCTCCCCGTTGAACTTTTCCTGAGGACACGGCAAAGTGATAGTGGTCGAAACCCTCACGCACGCACAGCTGCTGTTCCAGTTCGGGAAGGACATCGTAGGACATGAAGGGGGTGACTGGGCGAAGACTCCCTATGAGGGGTTGTTTCCATGGCAACCTGGCCCGAGCACACGAGCGCGTGTGTGTGTCGGTGTGGGCGTGTGCTGGTTTGTGAGCTGCCACTTTGTGCGTAAATGTGGGTTCCTGGCTCTTATCCCGCTGCTGTCCTCCTGCTAACCCGGCTTTATCTGCCTGCTTATGTAAGTGTATGTCACACTGTCAGGTCCAGCAGACACGGAGCGTCCCTCACACAAAGCCAGGCGCTGCCCTTAGTCTGCACAGCATCCACTAGCTAACACCCTGAAGGGACTGGATGATGCCAGCTGAGCTTGGTAAGGTCAGCGTGAGTTCACGGTTACAAACTCTGGAAATCGTCTCTTCTGTCATAATACTTTTTCCCTTTTAATAACTGCTGCTGTTTTTCCACAAGGCTGAACCATAAAGAAAGAAATAATGTCGCAGTAAAACAACTTTCCGCTCCCTTAGGTTAGTTAGTGGCTGGGTCAGCAGTAAATGCAGCAACATGCCTGAGCAGTGAATTACTGCTGAGTCATAAACTTGTTCAACTCGTTTGTATTGAAACACTGACGTCCACGGTCTGATTTAAACGGAGGGACTGATGCGCCTCGCCACTGGAGAGCAATGGTGGGGGTCTGAGCCAGCATCTGAGGTAGCATCATCAGCAAAACAGTGTCACTCTAGACGTCAGACTTTGAGATGTATGCTTTTGCTTCTGTCAAGATTAAACATTGTCATCCTTGCTAATATGCACCAGTGGAATTACAAGTAGATCATAATGAGTCAATATTTTCATTAATTTAGGCCTCAAATGCCAGTTAAATGTCACGACTAAGCTGCAGGCCTCAGCGCTGTAATGCTCGACTACCCAGGTGTAAGCAAGCACAGATGATAGATGGCATTTTGTAGCATAGTGAGGTAAGGCTGCAAGATATTAGAAAAAAACTAATGTTGCAATTTTTTTTCAACCCTGCGACGTATATTGCGAATTTTCACCAGATGACCTGAATATCACTTTATGCTGAAATCTTGAGGACGGTTAACCTGCACTGATCTTACCTCTTTTTGTGAATGTTAGTAGAACGGCTTCTGACTGTCTTAGAGATATTTTTAGCTTGTTTTTATTGTGCTGGGACGTTATTGTGGCAACAAATGAACGGCACTGCGGACACAGAACACGTGTTTGGTTGATATCATCCTTCTTGTAACCGAAATAATTAAAGATTACTGACTTTCCTTTTCTTTTTGGCAACAAGTCTTCATTTTCGGTGGTTTTCTCTTGTTCGTCGCTCATTTAGCAATTTTGTTGTTGTTACCGGTGTTGTGCCGAGAAACGCATGCACCTCGCAAAATGCGCACTGCTTGTAGTAGAGTGGTCCACGGAGATATATAATTTAAAACCCATACAATTCTAATTTGTGGGGCTAAACAGTGATGAGTAATGTTCAGTAAGTAATTCTCAAGAGACACCCATTTCTTGGCACAACACCGGCAGCGCCACTTGGTCCATGTGCAGGGGTCGGTTTCCTCCTCTCTGATTTTGATTGACGGCTGGCAGGGTAGTCTGATTGGCAACTGAGTAAAGATTGAATGTGATTGGTGGATCGCTGCACAACACATGCAGAGTCACATGCAGTGGATCTCAGTCAGTTACCCTTGAAATTAGATGAGTTAATTCGCCTCCAACATCGCAAGCTCAGCAATGTGACTATCACGCACACGTAGATCGTGACGACGATGCTCAACGATATATCGTGCAGCCCTATAGTGAGGTTTGGAAAATGCTGATAAAGATGAACGTAGGCTCCGTTTGTTAAGCTAGCATACAACCAAAACCAACAACCAACCTACCTGCAGAGAGAAACGTCCACCCGTCCTTTGGGATGAACATGGCCCTTGGATGGACAGTCACCACTTCCTTTTCCTTTCCTGTGGGGACCAAACACAGAGCCCTGAGGAACACCTCAGCAAACATGCACTTTATATGCATCTGTATAATACCTGAATCTAAAAATTAATTGGCCAAAAAAGTGGTTATGAATGAAAATAAATATTAGCAGCAGACAGTTATAGTCTGCGCCGTGTGTTGCGATACAAATGAACTGTCACACACACTTTCTTGGCTTATCATAAATTGGTTTGTTATGAAGTCATGCTCTACTGTTTCTCAAATCTATTGTTAGAAACGCTGATAAGGGGCCCAGCCAGACGGAAAACTTTAATGATTTCACAAATACACAGAGCATCTAATCAAGTAATTAATAGATTATTTTTCTTTCTTTTGCAGGGGGGTGGTTAAATCGACCAGCCAGGCAGCACACACACTGATTTATTCCCGTGTGTGTGATTGATAGAGAGACTGCGAGATAGACATCGTGGGAGGCTGAGGATGTAACACAGACATCTGACTTAATAAGAGGTTAAGTTATGAACTTGAACGCCCCGTTTAAAGGAAAATCAGTATCCAATCAGGGTCAGTTCATCACTGAGGAGCTGGACTTAAGTGCTGACTGCAGTACAGGAGAGGAATGATGGGCAACGATGAAGCATCACATCCTACGTCAGCATCATGAAAATACACCGACAGCAGCACACGTACGCGGACATGCTGACAGTGAAATGTGGCCTTGATATCTCTCTCTCTCACACACACACGTACACACAAGTGGGGCGATGTAATCACTTGTGTATAGGTCCTCACCTCTCACCTTAAGAAAGAGAGAGAGAGAGAGAGAGAGGGGCTTAAGGATGGGGGTAAGAGGGGGTGTTACGAAAGATGTAGCAGGGATGCAGAGGAGAGGATTTGATGACAAAGAGCTTTCAAGAATCTGAGTGAGGAGCAGAGGTGCTGATGTTAGCGCTCATTAATCACTCAAACAGAGAGAGAAAGAAACACTGAGAGAGAGAGAGAGCAGAGGACAGAAATAGTGCTCTAAAGACAGCTGTGACGGGCGGGCAAGTCCATGTGGCCAGCAGACGGATAGATTTGTTTTGATGTTTAATTTATCTGAAAACGGAGGAACTTTGTTTTTGTCACATTGTCAGGCAGATTTCTGGTGCCTCTGGAGCAGTAAAATTTTAAACTCAAGTACAGTATTTTAGGACACTCACTACTAGTATGATATCTACAAACTCTACATTTGTAGAAGAATCTGTGTCAGAGCCAGAAAATCAGAGTCAGAACAAGGACAGGCAGCACACAATCTACCTCCTTTTGCCAAATAACGTTTTAAATATTGTTTTCTCTTCTCCTTAGGACAAACCTGGAAAAGATTGTGTTTCTTCTCTCACCATGTTGTTGATATTTCCACAAAATAAAGACCAGTTATTGCAAGCACAAGCACTTTGTATTTACAGCAAAACTGAGACTCCCCCTGGATAGTCGCAAAATCGCATCACGCTTGATGTGTACAGTCAGGCGCGTCAAAATTCGCCTCAGAATATTTCATATTTTTGCGTCGTTCCCGGTGTGTAAGGACCTTTAGACTTTTCAGTGTATTAATTCTACTCTAATCACGTAGAAAAAGATGTTTTTCCTTGTCTTTCATGACTTCTCATGGATTAAAAGAAACTGTCTCAGAAAAAGAACAGTCTGGTTGGTTTTTCTAAAGCGTCGATGTGGCACTTTTGATCAAGTGAGTATGTGCAACTAGGGCGAGACAAGGTAATTAAATATTCCCTTTAAGAGAGGAGATGAAAAGAGGACAGAGAGGAGATGGCAGGAATAATCTAATCAAAGTTTACTAAATGGTTGTTTGTGTCCAAATGGATAATATTCCACAGATAAAGTCTCAGTGAAAGACAAAAGACTGCACTGTACATAAAAGATGTTAGTGAGGAACAGCTGTTCACTCACACTGCACAAGAGCAGTGCTGCAATGGATCTTGGGAATTCGTATTTGCATATGTTAATTTATGGTCTGCCATTTTTTTTTTTCTGTGCACATGAAGCGATAAAACCAGGAGAACATAAAGAATATATAAAACGAAACATGTCTCACTTACTCTGATATTTTACACTTTGTTGATTTTTCATTTAAAGTAAAGATATCCATAGGAATGTGTACTAAAACTGTGCAGGATTTAACAGCTACAGTGAGCGTTCACAGCGTTGTGTGACGCTAATAAAGTTGAATCCTACATTTTTTTTCATGGGGCTAAATAGGGTTTAGTGCAACGAATTCATCACTTAAATGAAAATGCATGTGATTTAACAATGTGAGGCCTGCAGTGCACTTTTAAATATCACCCTCTTCAAAGCAACCATGCACCAGAGGCTGCTGCGCTGAGCAAACAAACACTTCTTTATTGCGCAGGCCTTTGCTGCTGCTGCAGACTTTTATCATCCTCATAAACAGTCTTTACTCGCTCCCTGCTCATCAGTTTTTGTGAGCCCTCAGAGACGTCTCCCTCTCCTACACACACACGCAACCCGACATTTATCACTGTCTTATTCTCTAGGACGCGTGGGAGGGGTGTTCCTCACTCTGCATGAGTGTGTTAATGTGTGTGTGTGTGTGTGTGTGTGCGTAACCTACCTTGGATGTACTGCTTCTTGGTGATACGAAGAGGCTGTCTCGGCAGCGCCTGGAAGTTCTAGTTCAAAAGGAGACACAATTTGGAAGTCAGCTGGAGTTAACTGCTGTCTTGCACAGTGTGTAGTTTGAAAATCTGTGCTGCTGCAGTGTGTTATTACACCGTGGAAGTCAGCCTCTTGGTTTCTTTAGGCTGTTTCATGCAGATAAATAGAAACCTTAACAAACAAATAGAGCCGTACATATGTGAGAAAGGTCAGCTGTGTGTATGTGCAGCTACTCCCAGCCTGGATACTTTACCCACTCTTCAAACTAACCAGATCAACACACTTTTCTCTCATGCTCACTCCGTCCCTCTGCTTTACTAACACACACCTGCTCCTCCTGCTCTCCTCTGGCAATAATACAACACAAAAAATACAAGAACTTTATTTATCCTCAAAGGGAAATTCATTTGTTTCGGATCTTGTGAAAAAACTTCTCTAGATTGACAATTAACAAACTATAAATCCAGTCAGGTGAGGATGAGGGTGACATGGTTGAAGTCTCCTTGTGGATGTTGAATCTGTATCCTAGCAACAGTATCATGGAGAATACATGTGTTCTTATGATATGGTTGAACTCCTTAGGAACATATGCAGCGTTCCAGTTGTACTCGGAAGTGGGAAACAGAGTCCTGAAGTCAGATTTCCAACTTGGAAAGTCGGACGATCCTCCCGACTTGACGACAACGTCATAATCCAAGATGGCAGCGCAGTGCATCGACAGTAAAGAGTAACAGTGAAAGCTCTCGTAATGTTTTATTTATCAGCACTTTTGTTTTGTTTTTGTGAAATTAAATAAGTGGTTTATGTTGTACTGCCTAACGTCTAACTATGAACACAATGCTAAGGTGTTTGTAAGAGTAAAATATTGTGTTATTCGTTGTTTTGAACTGGTATAGCTAACAACAACTAACAACGGCTAACAACAGCTAACTGTAGGTGTCCATCTTGGTTTTCCGACTTGTTAACTGGAATGCTGTCAAGTCAAGTGTAGCATCAGTCTCAGCGCCGACATCCGAGGTAACTGGAACGCAGCAATAATATGGACGAAGAGCAACCGCCAACAGTTTAATACCTGGACAGCACATCTTCTTCTTGATAGTTATGTTCTTATATCTCCATTTCCTAGCCTTCAACTTTGCCGTCACCTTTACACCAGCACAGCAACCACAAAGTCATCTAGATTTGCTCAGTCTCAATAAAAGAAGCTCTTCTCTTGGGTAAACTCTTCTCCAAGCAGAAATATCCACCAGCAGCCGAAAAAACACGACCGAAATATGAAAACATAGAGCAAAAAACTGCAGAAAATTCAGAGAGATCAGACTTTGTTGCTCTTTGGTTCTGGACTGCTTCATTTTGTGATAAATTCATTCCCCTCCCAAACTTTATTTTGAGTCAATCTGAGCTCCTGCTGATGAGCCATTACAGCCTACATGCCCTGCTGTGAAGGAAGGGAGGGTCCGCACCAGACCAGACAAGGACAACACGGCAAATGATGATCACAGGAAGAGAGCATCGTGACTGAAACTAAAACAAGATTAATCCCTCGGCTCTGGTGTGCAGTTTGTCACACTGTGTTGCTTTATGCTTTGATGCTCCACAGTATGAACGCTGATGGGAATCGCTGTTTAACAGCTGATTTTGTTGTTGCTTACTTCACATGCCAATGCAACAAATGTATCGCTTTGAAGGAGATGTGACGTGAATTCATCAAATTACCGTCCCCTGCTTTGAATGTGTGTTGCACTTCATGAGGAAATAGCTGCTTTGTAGGACTGAGATCCCTGAGATCCCGCCAACACCTCAGGCCTTTGAAGTTTCTCTCATACACATCTGAAAATAGGAACAGCCTGGCGCTCGCTGGGCTCCTGGCCCACTCTGCATCGACTCGCTGAGTAACATTATCCAATGCTGATGTAGACAAACAGGTATACAATATTACACGTATGCAGCTTTTTGTGCCTAAAGGAGGAAAAAAGGAAAACTGATAAGGCCCCCCTCGCACACAGGCGCCGCTCGATAGAGGGAAGAAACCGTTTAAAATCAGCAGTTTCTCTTTAATCCCTGTTAATCCCACTGTATCCACCTTTTAAAGCACACAGCTGAGGGTGTGTGGGTATGTGAATGAGGAGCATCTTTTTTTTTTTATCAAGGACATACAGGACATGGCGTGTACACAGAGACACACACAAAAGAGGGATTCCCATCATAGGTCGGAGCTTCAGTGTGGCGGTTTGACCTCCCAGTGTGTGTGTGTGTGGGAGAAAACAGCTCTCTGCTTTCACAACTCATTCATTATTCACAGGAGGGAGAGGGGGAGGCAAGAGAGGACTGCAGTGGCAGGGTGTGGACAGAGGAAAGTACACATGAGGGACCAGGCACCAGTAACAATCACACACACACACACACACACACACAGGATCAGTGATGTTGCTCCTTGTGTACATGAGATACGTGACCTGCACTGTGTACTGAGAGCAGATAAACGAGTAAGGAGCGTGTAATTGGACATGTGAGTATGTCTGCTGTGTGTGTGTTGCCCTGTGATGTGACAGACTGTTCACGGTGTGCCGTGGACAATGCTGACTCTTCACTTATGTCAGAGTTTCTAATGACGGCAGCGTAAATCACCAGCGTACTGTATGGACACTTGAGGTACACAAAGACCTTCTCCTTAAAGCTCCAGTGAGGAATTTTAAACATTTATGGAATAGACTGAATTTAACTTTGACGCCTGTGTATGATATTTAATAATCAATGAGGCCATCAGTGACAAGTTTGATTATTGTGCCTATTATCAGGACTTCATCAGTGTTGTCTTTACAGATGGGCAATAAAATAAACTAATTAAAAAGGCATTAAAGCAAAGCATTTCCCATATAAACAGGGGGAGGGGATCACAAATGGCCCCACAATACAATATTATCATGATACTTGGGCCACGATAAGATATTATCACGATACTTTGGCCGCGATACGATATTATCACAATACTTGGGCCACGATACGATATTATCACGATACTTGGGCCACGATATGATATTATCACGATACTTGGGCCACGATATGATATTATCACAATACTTTGGCTACGATATGATATTATCACGATACTTGGGCCACGATATGATATTATCACAATACTTTGGCTACGATATGATATTATCACGATACTTGGGCCACGATATGATATTATCACAATACTTTGGCCACGATGCGATATTATCACGATACTTGGGCCACGATATGATATTATCACAATACTTTGGCTACGATATGATATTATCACAATACTTTGGCTACGATATGATATTATCACAATACTTGGGCTGCGATATGATATTATCACAATACTTGGGCCACGATGCGATACTATTGGGACTTTTAACATTTTGCAATGCAGCGAGTAATTGCAATAAAATATATTACGATCTGTACAATTTTTTCAACTGTTTGGCTAATTTAGCATTTGGCTTTTTGACTTATTTACGCTGTATTTTATTTTCATGAAGCACATCTTGCAAACCTTATAAATATATTTATTGCATTAACCTTCTTTTGTTCAATGATTTCACCTCTACCAACCTCACTGGACAAACAGTTGATTTTATTTTTCCATTATCATAGATTTGACTTCATATTAGCAATTAACATGAAAAATTGATACTTAGTAAATGAGACACTACGATATATCACCGGAAAAAATATTGCGATACTTTGCTGTATCGATCTTTTCGACCAACCTTAATGGTAGCTATTAAGTATCTACTATTAATGCACTGTGTATCAGTTCCTTACATCAGCTATTAGTCTGGTTGAGCACAAAATAACTACTGACCCCTGTAATATTCCAACACTGGATTTTCTTTGCGTAAGCTAAAAATAAAACTTCACAGGTTTGAATTTTCTCCTCAGATACGATAAAAACTTTAAGATGCTCTCAGAAGAGAGTCCGTTGCTTGCGTGCTTTAAAAAAATGAAGTGAAATCAAAGAGATGGAAAGATGAGAAAAGGACTGATCAAGAGATAAAGAGAGGGAAAAAGAACGAGCAGAGAGAGAGAGAGAGAGAGAGAGTCAAAGAATGAAAAAGCAGCTTCAGCGTGTTTCCCATGCGTCACTGCAGCTTAAGAGAGAGAGAGAGAAAAAGATGAATGAGGGTTTTTAAATATGAAACGGTCGGGGTTGGCTCGCTCACTGCTGACTGCATTTTTTAATATACATGAAAAACCTTCATGAGGACGAGCGGCTGTCATTCTGAAACTAACACAGCATGTACTTTATCACATATGTAATAATAGCAACACTCACTGCACTGGAACAGTCAATACGCCCCCACATGAAGGGCTATATGTTACAGTAGACAATAATCATAACGATTACAGAATTTACAGTATGTTCTGCAAAAGTGAAGTCACTCAAATTTAGCCACAATATGTACATGACAGAGACGTAAAATGGAAACACAGCACTCACACCTGCGCTACGTGGGGTAAAAAGTAATTATACCCCTCACTGTGGTATCAGGAACAGAGAAGCAGTTCATTAGCAGACACAGCCAGAGCCAAAGACACACATTCACACTGGAAACAGAAATTTTCTCCTAAATCACTTATGGATGTGCCAAAAAAACAACTACAACACAGAAAAACACTAACGCTGCAGATTCGTACGCTGTGTTAGACTAGACAACAACATACACGAGGAAGCTCAAGTGATGACAGTACCGGCTTCATTAAACAGAAGCCCATATTGTTGCTCCACAAGTAATTACACCAACTCGCATAGAATATAAAGAGATAACACAAACACTCGCGCAACAACCGCACGACATAAATATTCCTCAGCTGTCAGACACAAAACACAAACTACTTCAGAATTGCATCAATGGCTGCCAAACACACCAACACACTCCTCTCATGCTCATCGACTCTGAAAGAGACACTTTATCATGCAGATGTGCTTGTTTTCGCTCGTCTTTTCGCTCCTCTCATTATTAGCAGCCTCGTTCCTTATTATCCATGACAACATCCCGTTTGTATTCCCCCTCAGACAGGGTCACAATGGGCTTATAATGAACTTGTAATTAGCTCCTATTGGTGCTCCTGGGGGTCTGCATGGACCCAATAAGAGCGGGACGATGACACTTGTTGCCTAATCAGCACCTGTTAGCATGTTCAATGCCATGTTTTTGATGCATGACAGCCTGGTTGAGGCTAAATTCATTAGCAGGTAAGATGCAGATAATGGAACAATCATATAAAGTGTCCATGGACAGGATTATGCAAACCTGCTTGAATGAATGGTAGTCATACATTTTGTACTTTAAACTCAACAATGTGTTTCTCTGCACTGCTCTGAGTGCACCGAGCACAGAGTACGCTCAAATTAAATCAAAGCTGTGCCTCAAATTAGCGTCCTCGGTCCACGAGTCTGAGTTAGAGTGCCATAGGAGCGCCACCTTGTTGAACAGACGGGAACTACTGAATCACAACACCGGTGTGTGGTAATTTAATCACACTGTACCAATTTTAATTACTCACAAATCAACACAACTTTGCCTCTATTTACATTTGAACAAATAACAAACACATGTGCCAAAAACCATTAAACTTAGCATAAGAAGATGAAGAGAGGTTGGAACGTGACAGCAAGGTATGACTTTTGATCGGTCTCACAACAGGTGAAGCAGTTGAGCCTCCTATTAGGCAAATAGCAACAGCATACATCTGTCGCTCTACTGGCAACGCCACTTATCATACAAATGCGCGCATAACTCTTCGCCTTACAGGGATATTCCGGCGTAAACTTAAGTTAGGGTCCAACACACTGCAACACCGCATTAGACACCCCCTCGAGAGATGAATGTTGCTGACCTCTTGCATCTCTAGTTAAACCAACTTTAGTAACGACCGCACGATAGCAATACACAGCGGTCTGAAGAGCCATAAACAAACCTCAACCAAAACGCCACTCTATAGCCACAAATAATGTTCAGAACAGCACCTAACTTCATCAACAGTACATATAGGGTCCCAGCCACAGCACTAGCCACCAAACATCTTTTTAACTTTGCCTATTTTCTTTCGCAAAGAGACTTAACACAACTCACCTACTCTCTTCCAGCAGCCTCTTGTTTGTAGTTAGAACTCAGGCCAATCCATTATGGACTGCAGTGGAGTGACGCAGCTCAAGGAAGAACATTTATGATCATTTCTCCATGGAAATGCAATCAGACTGAGACACTAAGGCAGAAGAACTACCTCGTCTGCATTGCAAAATGATTAATATGATGATTGTTACTTCAAGGAAATAATAAAGTAATGATCATAAATGTTCTTCCTTGAGCTGCGGCACCCCTCAGCAGTCCATAATGGACTGGCCAGAGGTGAGTTGTTTTTTGCCGGAATATCCCATTAATATGCATTTGCAGCAGTAGGTGTGTCAGTCCTAGCTAGCAAGTCACATGCTAATATTGGTTAGCTAGCTAATTTATGTCTATGGAGCAGCAGAAAACACTGAGCCAGTTTCAGATATATTAGAACTGGTGTAAAATTGGCTAAATGATTGTTTAACTTTCAGGGCAAAAAAGTGTATAAAATAAAATCTTCTCTGATTTAAATCTAGTGTTTACATCGTGGAAATACTGTAAGATTATTTGGGAAGAGATTCACTATGCTTGAGATAGGAGAGAAATGGAGATCAAAAAATGAAGAAAAGCCCAAATTTAGGGAGTTGAATCTAGTGGTCTCAAAACAACAGAGGAGCATGTTTGCATCTGTTTTCTAAGAATTTGCATGAATGAGTAAACTTGATGCACTGCAGGTGGCATGAGAGTATAAATCTTTGATCATCGTAAAAAGAGTCGGGCACAAGCTTAGCAGTGGAGAGAGACAAAAACAGGTGATGATACAGGCTGAGTTTCTGCACCAGACGAAGAAAAGACGGGGCGAATAAGTAAAACATGAAGGAGTAAGAGGAGACAGGTAGAGCCTGAAATTCAGCTGCAAAAAATAGAAAGTTAAAAGCAAAGGAAGTGGAACCAGAAAATAGACTGGTGCCAGGAGAATGGGAGTAAAAAGCAGACAGAACAAGACCTAAGGATAGAAACATTGTGAATGCAGAGAGGAAAGCTGGGACGTGCAGACGGCACATTTCTTTTGGCTTTTAGCGGGTAAAAATATAAGAGGAAGAGCGGAAAAACCTGCACTTCCCTCTGCAGCATCACTCTCTTCAGCTCAGCAGCAGCTTTTTGGCTGTCCTGCTTAGATTCAGTCACCCGTTTGTTACCGCAGTCTGGCTTCACCCCATATGAACCCACAGCAGATGAAAGCTAAGCCCCTCTGCAACACTCCTCATTTGAATACGTGAGTGTGTGTGTGTGTGTGTGTGTGTGTCAGAGAAGCTCCCTTTTTTTCCCCCTCAACACAAAATGTATGAACTGCAGCTTTTGCCCTTTAAGTGACATGTTGGTTATCACTGCTGGGAAACATCTCACACCAAATTATAATGAGACAAAATTATGAGTGACCTTCATTTATATGCTGGAATTATAATGGAGGCAGACTAGTGGGAGAAGACTCTCCTCACTCCCTGCTGCATGATGGTGAAATTAGCTCCATATTTCAGTCAATTAAGCTGCAGAGTTCCTCTCTATTCTCTGTCATCCACTAAATTAAACTTTTTTGGTTCATAATTTCTTCCCTGCGGATCACGTTTTCTTACAGATTTGTCTTTTTAGTCCAAATTCCTCACGTAAAATTCTTGTCACACCAGTACACTATCCAACAGATTGTCCGTTATGGTTATTGAGGTGAGGGGATACCAGGAAATCTAATTCATAAAGCGCTGATTGTATATAGAGATGGACGACATGTCTCCACTTTACAAAAGTGAAGCCAAAATATCTTCATTTTGAGAGTTAATGAATTATTTTGTATCACGTTTGTTTCAAAGTTATTAAAGGTAATAGATCAGCATGTAGCCATTTGCAAGGAGGCTCGGGGCCCCCTCTGGTAGGTTAACCAGTTGAGCCAGTGTTATCAATATGGCAAGCGCCACCACCGCCAGTATGCTATAAAATCCCTGCAGTAACGCTCAGTTATTATACAGTCTATATTAGGGCTTGACTGATTTAGTGGCGAGCCGATTAAATTGGCCAAATTTTGCCCATTTGAGACTAATTGGTAATCGGCCAAAACTCGCCGATTGTCGCCAATATTTTCAGAAATAAAATGCAGAGAATAAGATTCAGTTTCAAAATATTCCGCCATTTGAAAAGATCCCCTGACTCATCCAGTAGATGGCGCAGCGACCTCATGACACTCTTCATCCACTTATTAGTTGAAAACGCTTTTTTGGTTCAACGTTGATTAGTTGGTCTTCTTATCGCCATGAAGAGCAGTAGCCTACAGTATACTGTAGATATCTTAACTTCATAAAAAAAATTAAAAATCGGCTGATTAATCAGAATTTGGATTTTTTCCCCCCTAATAATCGTTATCGGCATCGGCCTCCTAAAATCCATATCAGTTGGGCCCTAGTCTATATGATACAGTCCAGGGCTGTCATTTTGTCCTAGCAGGATATAAATAACATCTTAAGCAATAGTAAAATAACCGATATGACTTTTCAACATAACTTTTTTTTTTTTTTACTGTTTTTAGGATTTTGGATTTTGCCTGCTCGTGTCTTAGTTTGGGTAGCTGGACTGGTTCATTGGGTTGAATTATTTGAGGCAGCTACTTGCCAACCGCTCATACAATCAATCTTGATATAATTTTAACAGGTGTGTTTCTCTACTCGCTGTAAACATGATCATTTCTGATGAATTGTTATAACACTCTTAGAGCCTCAAGTGGTCACTTGTGTTACTGCAACCTTTGATGCTTCATTCTAAAAACTTGAGTACTTGACAGCGAAATCTGATATTGTAGAACTTCTGCTTATTTCTACTGTTAGTTACAATATTGTTTTTCTACTAGTTAAACACATTATCATTAGCTTATTTAGGTTTTCTCAGACATCCTGCTCAGTCAAATAATCATCTAATTTAAAAGAAATCCAAATTCAAACATAGATCCACCCCTAATTTAACAGGAAATATCACAGACCAAAACAATAAGCCTGGAGCTGATTAAGCTAATCGTCTTGGGAAAGTTTCGTGTGTGTCATTACTTCATCTCTGGAAACAAATTAGAATCACTGCAAAACAAAGGCTTCAAGGATTTAACTGGTGCACACAAGAGCTCCACAAGAGCCACACATAAACAACCAGAAATCAGCGCCCACATGGTTAACAAGATGTTTCGACAAATCCCAGCAATGCTTTAGAGGAGCGGAGTTAAACAGCAGCAGGCTAGAAGTCACATATAACACGTAGAAACAGAAAGATCAATTTAATGTGCTGCTTGCAGATTAGAAATCTCAGTTTGTTCACGGTTATTACACATACGTGACTCTCGGTGTGTATGTGTGAGAGAGAGAGCAGTATTTCAGTTACAGAACCACTAGACCTTGACAGCCTGGGTATGTCAAAATGAGTTATCGATCGCCCCAATCAGAGGAGAGGGGAGAGAAAGCGAGAAAAAGGGGGGTGACAGAGACAAAGCATTCGTTTGCAGAGGGCTTTTATTTTGAAAGAGGTATTCTCGAGCACGGTGTGTCTGGATTTTTTAATCAAGTATTACTTCCAAACAAATGAACACAAATTCTATTACGGAGATATCGACACAGCTGTCTCGTTCACTCAAGGTTAGTTTCATAATATTAATCATTTTACATCCTTTTGTTATGCAGGGAGACCTCATGATTCGTTTGAGATTATCTGATCGTGTTTCACAATCAACAACAAAAATATGACTTCTCTAGGAAATACATAATGACGAGTTTTTATTCGGTTTGGTAGCTTTTAAGATTCTTGAGTGTAGTTTACTGATTGGTGATTTCTCAAACTGACTTCTGGTTAGGAATAGAAAAATGGCGGCCACACTGGTTCAGATAGAACACAGCTGCAATGCTGGTGAAATAAAATATAAAGAAGAAGAAGAAGAAGAAGAGGAAGAACTTCATTGATCCCTGAAGCTCTAAATGTGGATTTTTAAATTTTAAGATACTAAGCTACAGATGGGTTAGTAATAGGCCAAAATTCGCCGATTGTCGCAGATATTTTGAGAAATAAAATGCGGAGAATAAAATTTGGTTTCACTTCAATAATGTTCCGCCATTTGAAAAGTTCCCCGACTTATCCTGTAGATGGCGCAGCGACCTCATGACAATCTTCATCCACTAACTACCTCACAGCACAGCAGAGTGATGGATCTGAAGCAGGCAGCTCAGGGACGCACGGAGGAGAGTGGTCCGCCTCAAGTAAGTCAACAAGTTTCAGTTCAACCCACTTCACCATGTTCCCCACTGTGCTGGTCTCAGTCACGCCGACTTAGTCCTTTTTTAATCCTTTTTCTTCCCCCCCTAATAATCATCGGCCCCAAAATATCCATATCAGTCAGGCCCTAGTTAGTAACCTCAGGCCTGCAGCAAAGCACACAGCACCCAGAGTTCAGACTGACTGCAGTTCAGCACCATGGAGAGCTCCAGTATCTGAGCACTGCTGCTCCAGCCTTCAGTATGAAGACAGGGACAGAGGGTTGGCAGGAGGGTCTTACTTACCGGGTGCTTGGCTGAGATTCTCCCCGTCACCACACTCGTCTGGTGCCATGTGGAGGAAATGTAGTTCTGTGTTTTTTTTCAGGAAGAGAAGAGATAAAGAGTTAAAGACAAAGGGAAGCTGGTAAATCTGTGGTATAGCTTAATATGTTTTTATCCATTTTAATTGGTTTGATCTCTATATTATCGCAGTTATCACTTGTCTGAATCCTTTATTTGGAGTGTGAGGTAACATTGGTGCCATGCAACAGCCTGCTGCCCAGTCTGAACAATCTGTTTGCGGTCTGCGGTGCCAGTTCGGTTTGTGGAATAATCAGGCTATACAGCAACACTTTTGTTCCTTATGCAAACTTATGCGCCTGGCAAATTTTCAGCTGACAGCAGGAGATGAATTTAGACCTGCAGAGTTTGTAAACAACCCGTTTTATAGAGCGATGGGAAGCTTCGCCTGAATCGTTTGTCAAAATGAAGAATGTTCATGTCAGCGGAAATGAGTCGTTTTTGTAGGTTACAGGCGAGGCTGCTGCACATGCTAAATTACATGAACGAACGATGAATTTCTGTAACGTGCACATTTTTTTGTGCTGTTTTAAAGATAAGAAAAGCTTAGAAAGATCATCCCTGCAAAGTCGTTCATCTGTTGAAACTTTTTTCTACAGTTTCAAGAAGGTAACTTTGAAAAACTGTCTCAGTAAAACTTTTTAAGAGACAAAAAGGAAACTTTTACTCGACTATTCTTTGAAAACCATGAGAGAAGTCGCCCAGTTGTGTCTAATTTGCCAAAAAAGTTGCAGTTGTGTGCGGCCACCATCATTACAGACAAGATCATATCTTAGCGAGGAGCAAACGATGGCTGATTTCCCTCTGATTGGCGTTGTTGTTTGCCTTGGCCTTAAAACCGCCAACTGAATCAGGCCCATCAGAAGCCAAACGCTTCTACAGACAGCCTCACAGACTCATTTGCGGAGTTGAGTAAGCACAGATCGACAAACACAAGCTGCTGCTCCCGTAGAGAAGACAACAGAGTGCATGTGGAGACTGTCAACACAAAGAGCAGCATCTTTTCTCTTCAGCCGAGGCTTTAAAGAGGACTGAGAGGAGAAAGAGAGCAGCTTCAAAGAGACGCTGGTTACTCCTCTACAACCCCAGAGGAGCCGTCATGAACTAACAGCCCGACTCGCTTTGATTTATACCTTAAATTCTGAGTTTTTCTGTCTATGGTGTTTCTTACCTTGCTCATCATGCAGGAGAGAATCCCATCAACAAAGGTGGACTTGATTTTGTGGACCTGGGGATTACAGTTGCAAATTTATAAGATATGGAACAATAGATAAGATAACACTTCAGAGCAAACATGACTGACCTGTCTGTACTCCAGGATGATCTTTGGCAGAGGATGTAAGTCCTGCAGCTGCAACAACTTCAAAAAAGTCAGGAAAGAGATAAAAAAGGAGAATTCACTGTCAAAGGAGTAAACGGATATACAGTGTTTGTGTTTGTGCGCCATACTGCAGCTTCTGATGTGGACTGCTGCTTGTTGATGGTCTTGGGAAGTTTCTTGTTTTCGCAGCGCTCATGAAGACACAACTTCTCAAACAAAACCTACAGTGGACACAAATGAACACAAACAATATAAAGAGCATGTGAAGATAATGAAATTCAGGTGTAGACATAATGAGTAAGTAGAGATACACTAGTGATGGGAAGAACAGTTCTTTTGACTGTACTGAATCTTTAGAATCTGTTCATTAAAAGGATTCGTTCAAAAGATTCGTTCACTAAATCAGTCAGTGCTTGAATTCCTGAAGGAAGAATCACTCCCCTGCCCTGAAAAACTCACCTCTCTGTGAGTCGCTGTCGGCGAAAACAACACAGCAGCAAGCAGCACGCCCGCTAAACGAGTCAGCGAGTCATCGTTCTTTTATATCGCGGAAAAGTGGAGAGATTAACAATAAATTCTGCTAGGTTTAAAGATATCAAATAGCATATTGCTTTAAATCGGCTGAAATTAAATCCTTCTTGCAGGAAAGTTTATAGACGTGTGTTAATGTAAAGGCACTATCACTGAGTGAATCATTCCGTTCACGCGCTAATACATGCCGTTCACAGACTGTTTCGTTTACTGACTGTTTCGTTCACTGACTGTTTTGTTTACTGACTGTTTCGTTCACTGACTGATACAGGTCGTTCACAGACTGTTTCGTTTACAGACTGTTTCGTTCACTGACTGTTTCGTTTACTGACTGTTTCGTTCACTGACTGTTTCGTTCACTGACTGACACAAGTTGTTTACAGACTGTTTCGTTCACTGACTGTTTTGTTTACTGACTGTTTCGTTCACAAACTGATACATATCGTTCACAGACTGTTTCATTCACTGACTAATACATATTGTTCATTCGCTGTGAGTGAATCACAAGTCTCGGCCTGCCCGCCCGCTGACTGGCTGGCTGTGTGTCGTTCGCCAAAGAGTTAAAGGCGCAGTTCCACTCCTGACCAGCATGCCAGGCTCGCTGCTGAGCTCAACCGAACTGAAAAAGGAACGAATCAGGTCTCGGAGTTCACTCAGCAGTTCCGTACTTTTGAACGAAACGTTCATGAACAGCACAACACTAAGATACACACGGTTCGTAGCTGAGCGTTGCTGGTGACCAGGAAGATTTGTCCGGCTGCTCGGTGGGCCTCCTGCTCCAACTGCTTCATCTTGGTCTGTCACAAAGAAAGAGAGAGAGGAGAGGTCATGGTTAGCTTAATTGTGTCTGATGCAGATGTGGAATTATGAGTAATTTAATCATCCTGATATCAATATCAATTTTTGCCATAATTGAGCAGCCACTATTCATCTCATGTACGGCTAATTCATTACATTAAAGTGTTTCATGATGTCACAGGCTCTTTCCAGATTGGCTCATTTATCACGGAGTGGATTTAAACATATGAAATGCAGAGGGACAGCAGTATATTCACGCCAATATGACGGCAGAGCTGATTTCTGACTTCAGCGAGCCAAAAGAAAATGATCTACGACTTTTTCCAGATCTGTGAGCGAGCTCTGCGGTGAAGAGGAGGGTTATCCGAGGAGAAAAATGTTAATATGTGCAAGATGGGATATATTTCTCCTTCCTTTAAGGCGAAGCGCTCTGTAAATCTGTCTTGTGCACACATCAGTGACACAGCAGGGGCACCGGGATCACACAGACAAACTGATGACAAACAGAGTGGGCTGAAAGTCTCACCTCATCATAAATAAATCTTTGTATGTATACATTCAACAGTATAGCAACAGAAGGGATGTACAAGGGGGGTAAAACGGAGACAGGGAGACTTTGACTTGTTTTTCAGGACCGGGGCGACACGCAGCAGCAGCTCATTACAAGTCTGATTGAAGCAGCAAACTCTTTACAACCTGATAGCGAGAAGAGAGCAGGGGGGAGAAGAGAAAAACAGAGAAGGAGGGGAGGCGGGGAGGCAGGATGATGAAATAAGAGACAAGAGGAGAGGATGACAGATGGAGGAAATGTGAAAGAGATACTGAGGAATAAGAAACACTGAGAGTTACAGGGTCTGAGTTAGAGATGTAAAACATATATCGTACTGGTGAATGATCAGCCGGCTACAGAAGATTGAAATATGTATAATATATGTCATAATAACACGAAGAAGAAGCAAAATCTGAGTATAGAGTTAACATGGCGTCACTTTGTTGGAGGGAGAGGACAAGAATGTGCTGCAAGTAACTTTCAACGCAACTCTTCTTGTAAATCACCTGCAAACTTATCCTCACAATGAAGATGATTTGAAGAAATATGAAGCAGCAGTAGCTAGCATTAGCACCATAAACAAGTGAGAGCTAAAGTGCTGATTCAGCAGGTTTCATTTGGTCGAATCGAGGTAATAAAATCTTTTAGTTTACAACATTTCCAAAGATAAAAGACCAGTAGCTGGAGAACTAGCCCTTGTTTGTTTTTTTACAATTTCCACATAGAATAATAACAGTATATGGCCCTACTTGAGCAAAGACTGCTTTGTCCACAGGGGGCGCCAAAATTGAGGCAAACTGAAACTCTCACAGGATGGGATTTCAATAAAGACTGGTCATAACTACTAAAATACCTTTGCCTGCCTTTCTTACTCTCAAATGTGCATAAACTATATTATTGGTAACAGCCACCATGAGCAGGTGACTGTTGGTTTTTCCTTTTAGTTGTTGAAAAACTGAAGAAAGTGCAATGATGAGGAAGAGAGTAGAGAGAGAAACAGAAGTTAAAAAAAGACAGTAAAAGACGAAGAAAAGAGCAAAAAATGGAGCTGGCAGACATGTTCCAAAACTCCAAAATATGTACTTCTCCTCTCTCCGTCTCTCTCACTCTTCGCCCAGAGCAGCCTCCAGACTATCTCATCAATATTGGATGCCAGCCCCTTGGTGCTGTGTTTTGACACACACACACACACACACACACACACACACACACACACACACACACACACACACACACACACACACACACACACACACACACACACACACACACACACACAGGAGTGCAAGCACATACACACAGGCAGCATGGCAGAAAATTATAGGGCATCATTTTTGGATTGCATCTAATCTAAAATTCAGCGCTCGGTTTAATCTTAGTGCTGTCTGAGTTTATGAAGGCTGCCAATCTAATCTGATCAGCACTGATGTCTGACAAACACAGACAGAAGTTTGTCCACAGGGCTTTACAAACACTGCACATAGACAAAAAAAAGACAGAGAGAGAGAGAGCATGTGAGCGTGTTTTAGGGATACAGGTTGACAGGCAGGTGGGATCTTCTGCTTGTTGTTCAGACAGGTAACCCTGACAGCTCAGATGAGAAGAAACCCGACACGACAGAGACGGAACAGGCATGCACGGCTGCACTCAAATCGGCGAATGTTACCGAAACACAAAAGGAACTCTGCAGCAGGCTGCAGAAACTTCAGTGCCTCTGAGTGTGTGTGCTGAGGCAGGCAGTGATGCTCCTTCCTGCAGCACAGCCTCTTGAAGGGAAAAGACAGACTCTCCTTCCTATTTATAGAAACACGGCGAGATACTGCTCCAAAAGGCTGCACAACAACACCGCGGTTGGCGCCTATAGGACCTGTAACTGGGTTTGTGTGAGTGTGCGCTGATTAGGAACATGAGAGTATTTCTGTGCGTGTGTGAGTCCACTACATCTGTGTGTTTGTCTTGCTGTGTCTCTCCAGAATCGTTTTTTTATCTGCATGCAAACAGGCAAGGTCCCGAGAGGAAGTCCACCCACCTCATCACTAATCCTCCCCTGAAGAAGAAGAAAAGAGTTATTTTCTTTCCTTTCTCGGCTCTTGAGGGAGGTTTCTCGCATCCTCCCACTGTTTCGCTCTCATTTGTTTTAATAGAGCAGCTGTCGACTGCGCTGTGGTTCCACAGCCAGACTAAAAAATGCAATCAGCCTAAGAGTGATGCGGTTAAAATCTGAGCTGACCCTGAACACCTCGCCTGGAACAAGAATCTAAGGGGACATTTTCATTGATTTAAGACTTAAGAAGCATGACCAGTGGCAAACTTGCTATTAAATATTACTTTTTATATGTAATTCATCCAAAGTTCTATTATATCTTTATTCTTTCTATGTATTTCTTACTTCTCTAACTATTCCACTTTTTCCTGTACACACTGAACCTCTCGAAAGAAATCAATAAAGTCTATCTAATCGAATTGAAGTACCATTAAAAGGGACTTAACTTGGTACTAAAGCGAACTCTTAAAGCTCTGGAGAACTTTCAGTTTCTGTTAATTACGCCCCCCAGAGGACAAAGCAGATTTTACTTAAAGTGTCCTCTTTATGCCCAAGTGGTGTCTTCTGACAACTGAACTCATCCTGTTGTTAGTCAAACATTTATCATTGTTTTACGTACGAATTGCAAAGACAGCTTGTTTGTTGAGCTGCCTGGGTGACACCTACTAGGGCCCGACGTAGTAGCCAATTTTAGCCCGTTTGAGACTAATCGGTAATCGGCCAAAACTCGCTGATTTTCGCCGATATTTTCAGAAATAAAATTCAGAGAATAAGATTCTGTTTCACTTCGAAGATGTTCCCCCTTTTAAACAGTTCCCCAACTTATCCTGTAGATGGCGCAGCGACCTCCTATTAGCCTTGCTACATTGTTAGCCGTGCTAGTAATGGTAGAATAAACAACAGTACGCATTACATGATCAAAGTACTTCTCTAACTGAGGCAGCTGTATGTCTCCAGATGAGACCGGACCGGAAATGAGTAATGTGAGTTAAGACGCAGAGGCACCGATCGGTGGGGGTAGTTGAAAACGCTTTTCTGGTCCGAGTTTGATCAGTCTGTCTTCTGTCGGAATGAAGAGCAGTAGCCTACAGTATATCTACAGTATATAGTATAACGTAAATATCTGCAGTATATATGTATTTTTTAGAACTTCATAAAAATGTTTAAAAAATCGGCAGATTGATCGGTAATCGGACCAATAATCGGTATCTGCATCAGCCCCAAAAAATCCATATTGGTAAGTCCCTAACACCTACCCCCTCGCACCAGTTTCAGGCTTTAGAAATTATGATCTATTCACTGACGGTCTTCTTTGTTTTTGTTTATCATAAAAGTTCATCAATATGAATTTCAGACTACTTCATAAAATCATTAAGAAATTCATCCACAGGAGTTTTGCTTAGACAGGTTGGCTTTAACAGCTATAAATATTAGGACAAGTCTGTCATCATTAATGTACTGTTCCTCTAAATAGTACACATACTTTTATTATAGTTACTGGCACTGTGACCAGAAGTCTGTATGAGCTACTGCTCCTGTTGCTGTTGTTGTTATTGTTTTGTGTCTCCATCCATCACCGCCTCTATCCCTCTTTTCAATCTCGACTCAGCATTAGCAGCAGATGGCTGTTCAACACGAAACGTGATCTGCTCAAGGTTTCCTCCTCGCCACTGTAACTTTCTAAATGCCGAAGTGCTCTGCTCATGGTGGATTCTTGTTTCTCGATTTGGGGGTCTTTGAAAATAAAACAGCAAAGAGTCCAGTGCTCTTTTAAAGCGCCTTATCGAGATTATATTTGATGTGAATTAGCGCAACATGAATTAAGACCGATTGATGAATTGATTCAATGCTGCAATATTTCCCCTAAAAACAAAGTATTGAAACGTCGCTCACTGAAATGACTTTCTTTTCTATCTTTTAACACATACAACAGATGTTTCTGCTCTGGCTCCATTGTTGTGCTCCTGTGGGAAACGAATATCAGCCATGAGGCGAATGTTGATAACTCCTGGCTGTGAGAGATAAGTACCACTCTGCCAGCGGCCATATAAAAACAACCTTTTTTTTTTTTTACAGTCCAACTGTTCTGCTCTGCTCATTTATAGCAGTAACAAGAAACGTCTAAAACAGCCATGAAATGTAGTCAGTGTCTGATGTTCCTTCTTACCCCCAGCAGGTTTGAGGTTCTTTTAAGAGCGTCTTTGTCCACATGGATGTGATGGCTCTCCATGGCTGAAACCAAACAGAAGTTTACTCATTTACACGACCTGATGGTGCATCATTACAAACTGCTCTCAGGGTGTTTCTTCACCGCAGTGAATGTTGTACTTAAAAATATTGTTGTTTTGTCCTCTAGAATAAACACAGTGGTCCTCACCTGCCAGCACAGAGATCATATTCAGCTCCATGAATGAGAACAGCTCCCACAGCCCCCGGCTCTACACATATGAACTCAGTCAGATATAAGTGTATATGCTGTCTGTATACTTAAATATGTGTGTGTGTGCACATGGCCTAACCTGCAGTTTATAGCACAGCTCCATGTTTAGCCAGTGGAGCGAATAGAGACCTGAGATAGCCTGTGAAACCTGAGGGAGTCAGATAGTGAGACAGAGAGAGAGAGAAAGAGAGAGAGAGAGAATCAGGTAGAATAAAAAAGAGAGAGAAAATGGAAAGGGGGATAGGACTAAAGAAGTTGTTAGGTCCATCTTCCATCTTCACCCCCTTTGAACAGAGTTTTTGTCAGTCTTTACAGTGAGTATGTGTTATTTCAATTTTGAAAGATGTTACCTGAATGAATAAATACTCTTAAACAGCCTGCTGAGTGCCAACATCAGCCAATTCAGATTTCCTTGAAATAACCAACAGACTTGACAGTTTCCCTCAACCAAACACCATATCCAAGAATCCATCTTTATGTCCTTCTAGACCAAACCTGGGCATTTTACGGCCCAAGGGCCACATCCGGCCCTTTGGATGTCCCTGCCCGGCCCTTCGTGAGGTCCTAGATCTGCATTCGTGAACTGAGACAAGTTTAAACATCGGCAAAATATACGTAGACGCCTTAAAGTTGCCAAGTCCGCTTATTAAAAAAGACTTAAGGCTCGTTTCTCTCAGAAGTCGCTTGTAAAACTTGTGAGTCGCAGGTGCGCTTTTTTTGGACTTGTTTTTAACTAGTAGTTGCTTATTTGTGCTTGCTTTTCTGTATTTGAAGTTGAAGTTATCATTGGTTCGGCCCTCCAACAAAGTCCAGGTTTCTCATGTGGCCCCATGTAAAATTTAATTGGCCGTAGAAAAGCCCGATCTCTTTTTCTGCCTAAATGGAGCTGAACTTATCTTACCTTCTTGGTGCCCAGGGCAGGCGTCGCACAGGGTCTTTTGTAGTGTTTATTGAGAAGCTCCTGAAAACAAGAGGAGGGACTCGCAGGATCCAGCAGCCACCCTGACACCTGTGGGTCCTGGATGTGACAGCCTGCCACTGACCAGGAAGAGGACAGAGTTTTCATACAAAAGTGGGACTGTTTTCTGTAAGGACGATTGCGAGAAACATGCAGTTTGATATTTCTGAGTTGATCTTTTTAGTGAAAACGTTTTTTAATTAAATCCTTTAAACACTTAATTCAAGTTGTTTACAGCCGGTGCAATTTTATTGAATGAAGCTATTTTTCCTTCTCGCTGTTCTTTTCATACCAAGCGAGTGTCATTCAGGCAACCTTGTTTTAAAAAAAAAGACCAGATGAAAATATTAAAATAAGCTGAAAAAAAAAACAAAGTTGAAGCTCGAGTGTTTGATGCTTGAAGTTTGTTTCAGTAGAGTCCCTCTCCAGCAGAGGCGTCTTAATTAAAGCTGATAGTGATAATACATTTACAAAGACGGGCTTTAAAGTAGAACTTCACAGGCAGAACTAGATGTGCATGACTCCTATTCTTGAGTTTGTGTGTTTATTACCTTGTTTCCAGCTGAGGTCTCCTCTGTAAACCTGCAGAGCGGTGTGCAGCAGATCTTTGGCTTTAAAGCACACCACCAGTTGAGGTCCTGATAGCACCTGTAGCAGCATATCTCTGAGGAGCACACGCACAGACACATTAGGGCTCCTGTTTAACGCTAAGTAAGCACTAAGCACTTAGATTATGTGCACTGTAACACCGACACTTCCACCTGCACACAAACAGACCTTGTGAAAAGCTGCTGGCTCTGGGGTGTGTGTTGCTGAGCCCATGCAGGTGTTTGCTCTAATTTCAAATAAACCAGACTGTCGTTTGGCCCGAGCGAGTCCGCCGGAGTGCTGCAGTCCAGATTGTTCTTCATTAGTACGAGGAGGCCGCACACAGGCGGGGTGAGTTTCTGTATAAAGGACCAAAGTGGGAAATCAATGCAGATGAATGTTGATGAAGCAAAGTCTCTTAGAGCGAGTTAGATGGAGCTTTTCGATGTTCATAAGTAGAACCAGCTAACAAGCTGCGACACCATTTAAAGGTACAATCCACAAAAATGAAAATATTTCGCAATATCTAGCCGTCAAGTTCTACATGACAGTGCTCTTTGCTCATCCTTTCCACTGAAGAGGGAACGGTGGCCTTTAAGGACAAAAAGCTGGTGTAATGCATGATAAGTATCTGCTCTTTTTTTCCTATTTTTCACCATCAAAAGCATCAACCAGTTCAAATCATAGACTGTATATAGAATGGACGCCGTCTGCCTCCTCGCTGGTTGAAGCCACTCTAAGAACAGCACCCTCTGGTGACGGGCTGCAGTATAGGTCATAAATCCCGCCTCCTCCAGCAATCCCTATGGAGCTGTAGACAAACTTTAGAAATTTATTACACAGAACATAAATGTTTCTCCCCCCTGGTTGTGATGTTGGCATGTAGTTACATTAAGACTGGTTTGTGCTCAAGTCCTCTTTTTTCTGTGAAGCTCCGTTTTTAAAAGTTATTAGGGGGTTCACGTTTTCTTTGATTGACACCTGATACAGCCTATGGGCGTTCAGGGATTGCGTAGCTCACCCGGGGGATACGCTGTTTGAGCCGAGCGTCATCACGGCGACTCTCCCGCTGAATGCGCACAATGCTACTGCACAGCGCTGGTTTCAGGAAATGAAGAAAAATCCCGGAAATACAGAGAGCTTTTTGGCTTCAAATCCGTATACAGGCGGGCGGCGGAACCAAGTTGTCCATAGTGTATACAGTCTATGGTTCAAATACTTCTGTGCACAACAGCCACTCTCTTCTCTTGTCTTCAGCTACTTGCTAAATTCCTACAAGTTTGTCCATTCTGTGTTACTGTAGATACATGACAGTAAAAGATGCGGCCAAGATGGAAAGGGATTTTTTGCTAACGTTACCTTATAGGTGCCATGTGAACGCTCCCAGCTTCACTTACCTGTTCTGGGTCCAACTGAGTCGTTCCATCTTGGTACACCAAGGTTAGCAACAGCGCTTTAGCCTTTCCAGCCTCCATGAGCACCTGCATCTTCTCCTCCGAGTTCATCCTCCCAGAATCCTTCACTCTGGGGTCAGATGTCAGGGAAGCAGTCAGACATCCAGCTTTGGGTTGTTTCTGAGGTTCGTCTCCACTGGACCCTGGATGTGATAGTTTTAACCCACTTTTTTCTGGATCGGGATCATATCTGGTCCGCTTGTGCTTTGGTGGTTTGCAGGTTGCAGAAGTAAAATCACAGCTTTCTTCAGCCTTCAGTTGCTTCATCTGTTGACTTCGCTTCAGGGCACAGAGGTTTTTATGTATTTTCCCTGATTTACGTGAATGACTTTCTTTATTCTGAGGTTGAGTCGATGTGGCCTGGAGCTCAGACATTGGTGTTTTGAGTAGTGCTCCCTTTAGTCCATCAACATCCCCGGTCTTTTCTTGTGAAGGCCGAGGTGGCTCCCATTTCAGAAGAAACTTTGGTAGGTGGATTTTAGGAGCCAGCCGAGCCTTTTCTTGTGGAGAAATCTCAAGCTTATGCTTCAATGGAAAGAAGGGGATCAAGGGAGCTTGAGTTTGCAAATCAAGCTGGTTTCTTTCCGCCTGCTCTTCACTTGATTCAATGACAGATAAATCCAAGCCCTGCACTGTGGAGGAATTCTGTCCAGGGGGAAAAGTGCTGGCTGGGTCCAGCGCCATGCTTGAGCTACTCCCTCTGATACCTCCATTAGCAGTCTACACGCCAAAAAGAGGTGAACAGACAGGGACAGAGGAAACAGAGGGAACAGGAGAGGCAAAAATAGATTTAGAGAGACTCATTCTGCAACATCAGGAGGCACTTGAAAACAGACTCTAGCTGTCTGTGTTAGTTTTGTTACGCAGAGGATCGATGCAGGACAGCAGAATCAGTTTAGAGAGTCAGCAGAATGAAGTTCAAATATCTAAAAGTGCATAATTAGCTTTGACACTGTACAAATATGTGGCTTATTTAATCATCACTCCCATTGATGCTGTGAATCTAACTGGATGATTCAACATTTGTGAAAAGGGCAGTGAAAGCTGAGCCAAAAAAGCAGAAAAAAAGAGAGGGGGGGAAGGAAGACACAAGGAGAGGACAGACATTCAGCCCTGGGAGCGCTGAAGCAGACACAAACACAGACAGTCAAGGCAACATTTGTCTGACAGCCTGCCTGAAGTTGTGCCACTAACACTTGTTCTTACTTATTCATTTTGCATGAAGGGAACAAAAACAACCATGACAATGAATATTTGACACTCTCCAAACACGTGAAAAAATGCTTTTGGAAACTTTGTTGGCAGATTGAATGTGTAAGACTTGTTTGTGGTATATGTTATATGTACAATGTGATGTTCTACCCTTAGAAGGATGCAAGGGATAGAGGTGGATATGAATTATAAATATGGTCAAATTTGACTGGGAACAGTTTTAAAATGATCAAAAATGCACCCAAGCCATGATTTAAAATTCTGCAGAAGCCATTAGAGGAATATGAGGTTGAGAGAAAAGGTAGAAAACACGATGGACAGTACACCTTCACCTCCCGTTAACCCCCTCATCATCCCTCAAAACATCTCCATTATTCATACCCGTGACTCCCCTCTCTATCCGAGCAAAAAGAACAGAGATTCTGCATGGGAGTCTCTGCAAGCCCACAATCCTGTGTGCTTGTCAGCAGAGGGCTCAGTATGGAGGATTTCCTATGACTCAGCTCCCAGAGGAGAGTCTTCCTCATTTCCTTGTAAACACAACCCGCTTTTTTTTTCCTGCTGACAAAGTCATGAACCCCCCGAGGGTGCTGTGCCACAGGATATAGATAGAAAACGAAGGCAGGCTGTGGCCCGTCGCCCAGCGCTGGGTGCAGGAGAGTGTTGAGAAGAATGATGAGAGGAGAGGTGAGGAAATGGATTGTTGTGTTTGCTGCTGATTGAAGCAATACAGTTAAGTCTTGCACCTCTTCCAGCAGCTCCCATCCTCCCTTTATTGTCTTGTTTTTTTTTCCCCTCCTCCTGCAGTACCTATCAGGCTGATTTTATTCACTTTAAGACTCACTGGGGGGTTATCAACTCGTCAGCATGCGGCAATATTGCCGATGGTACCCTGTTCTGTACACTCCGGATAGATTTCTATGTACATCAGGGATATAGAGACCTAATCCTTTTGAAAGCGGCTATTTAAATTTCAGGACTTTTTGGTGGGTCGTTGCTGTACACAGTTTTCTCTGCTTGCAGGGATTACGGAGGGGGAGTGGGTGGTAGACAATAACAAGGAAAAATAAAGACACATTAGTATTTCTGAACACAAGGACAAGTAAATAAATACCAGAAGCTTATGTGCAACATTTTTGTTTTACAGGAGACTCACTTGGTCATCGTGGTGCTGGCGGTTCTCATGCAGACAGGGAGCTCTGAACCCTCTGCTCTCCTGCAACACGGAGCAACTTTCTTTACCTGAGTCCTCTAGAGAAAAGAGAGGGAGGTTAGGTGAGAGAACTTCTATCAGGTCATCAATTTCACACTCATCTATGAATTAATGAGCTTGTTCCGTTATGTAAAATGTGTTTGTGTGAGTCTACACAAGTGACAGGTCAAAGTCAGCCAGCTCCAGACATCCCGGCGGAGATCAAGTTGACATTTTGATGCGACACAACTTTGTGATGTTGAGTGAGTGATTTTATGGAGTTTGCGTTTGTGTGACTTGACTCAGCATTGTCTCAGCTGTTGAGACTCAAACTCCCTTCCTGCGGCTGTAATGTGAGCCAGCACACAACAGCCTTTGTCAGTGCTGAGTTGCCTCAGCATCAATGCCTCCAATCCGATGAAAAAAAAGATGCCGCTGGCAAAAGTCTGAATCCAGGTTGACTTGACTCTAAGCTTTAGTGCCCCCTAGTGCTTTTTCAACAGTACCCCTCAAAGAAGATCCAATATTCTCCATGTGTATAGTCCATGATCATGTTATACATGGGTCTGAACATGAGCACTTGTGTTGCAAAAATAAACTAATTTTAACCTTGAAACTATAAATTCCTGTAAGTGAAGCTACATTAAGTTCTTTTCTGACATCATTTTCGGCTCCAACATCTAACTTCCAAGGTAACTCGAACGAAGCATTAATGCTGTCATAAAAACGGAACAGTCTCATCCACAGTAACAGAGCAAACAAAGGACAATTATACACTAAGTAGTTCATATTACACAGTGAAATAAAGCATCATGCACCAGAAAAAAAGACAACGCTACACTGATGGGCAAATTTTTGCACAGGAAAACTTACCTGCATGTTACTCTATGAACTGATATAAAATAGTTCAAGGAAACAGATTGTAATAGATTAGAATAATTAATACACTTGTACAAAAGTTTTATGTAAATAGTAGGAAAGTTGTTGCACCTATTCAAATAAATGCACTAGCACATATTTAGACTGTATTGCATTGGGAGAAGGGTAACTGCACAGGCAGAAAACAATAGTTTTACAAAGGAGTGACTTTACTCTTGTGACCGGCTGACACACAGAAAGGTTCTAGCACTATCTAGTGGTAAATGCTTTAAACTGCATCTTACTTGACGATATTTAGACCCTGTAGAAAAAAAAACGCAGCCAAACTTCAATCTCTGCCATCCATCAGATTTAAAATCTGAGATTTGCCATGATCTCGTTTTATGTCTTTGTGAAAGCTTGCACTAATGTCCTGTATACACTTTTCATTGTTCTGTTTCCTTGAATGAGAACAAGTCTAAACTGGTCAGGAACAGACTCCAGTGTATGACACAGTCTAAAACCAGGCCCCTCATGTACCCACCTGTATGTGTACACTCATCCGCCCTGTCCACATGAGGCAGCGCTGACTCATCATTTCCCTCCCTCTCTCCTGACTCAGTGTCTCCTTCAGGTAACTCACTGACTTCATCGTCTCTCTCACCCTGTTTCTGTGCGAGTTTATCTGGGAAGCAGCGCTGCTCTGTTTCCATCTTATCTCCAGCGCTCCTGACACTGTCTCCCTTTGTGCTGCACTCTGTTTCCACCTCCAAAGCTACATCCATCACCTCTGCTCTTTCCTCCTTTGTTCTCTGCACATTATCAGCCGGGAGTGAATCACTGGTCTCACACGGCTCCAGTGCTCCCTCTGAGTGGCGCCTCTCTCCTGCTTCACTCACAATGTGACCCGTGTCCTGAGTGTTTACAGCTTGGCAGTGGTTCAGTTTGAGCTCTTCTCCTTCTGTAGACACTGGGATCTCTTCTGGGCTGTCAGTTTGACACCCCACAGGTTGCTCTTTACTCTCAAAAGGAGGTGGATGCTCAACTTCCTCAACTGCAGGCAAATTAATTCTGGTTTCAAAGACAACCTTTTCCTCCTCTCTCGGCTTTTCTCCTTGAGTATCACCGTCTAAGCTTTTGTCCATGATTGGATACGGGTTCAAAAGCTGCTCTGAGCTTGTTGTCTCATTGATATTCAAGAGCCAGAGTCTTCTGATTTCTTCAGCGGATCTTTTCTCATTTGCTATCGTTTCATGCCTCTGTAGTCTCTCTGTCCACGCATGTTCACCCTGCATGACATGTTCTGAGCTTAATTTCCCCCCTCTGCCTTCCTCCCTGACTAGTTTTATCTTTTGTCTTTTAAGTGGATGAATCTCTCCAGTTTTGACAGTTTCAGAGTGTGGCTGCTGACAGATAACGCCTCCATCCCCCCCTCTCTTAGTGGCCTCTTCGATGTGAGAGTAAAGAGGTTGCCTCCACTTCTCTTGACTGTCTGAAGCTATTTCATACCTTTTGATATCTCTCTTTTCTTTATGTGGAAATGATGTGTCTTTATCTGTCTCGGCACATACATTAAAGCAGGATGAAACCGACTGATGAGCGAAAAAGGGCTCCTCTTTATGGGTGTTCTGTCCTTCTGTGGCGGGGAACAATACCTCATCTGCACCCTCGATGTCTGGAGAGAGACTGAGGGTGAAAGACGGCCTGAAATCTTCGCTGAAGCTGTAAGGGTGAAAAGACAAGAGAACTGTGAATTTGTTATGCGTGTTAACCTTAGAGACAAGCAGCAGGTGATTAATAAGAACCACTCCTCTGATTTTCTTTTCTTAAAGGAAGTGACAGAACGCTTACTCATAAACATGCTGTATTAATACACTTGAAATACCGCCCTCATTCTTTGCTACTCACTTTCCCAAACATGTATCTTCAAAAATACTCGGGTATTTGAAGAGACAGAGTGTGTCCCTCTCTACAAGATGACGAAGCCACTGTCTCAGCCCCCTCACACCAACTAAAAGACAAACTCTGGCTGGACTGGTATTCAGAGCTGTCAGAGTGTTTTCTCTCTGGATATATCTGCAAGCAGTGATTACTGGCTTCAGTCTCTCCTTGGAGAGTTGAATCCCAGCAGGCGGGGGAACAGGAGGAGGTCGGGGATGACAGAGAGTGAGTCGGTGTCTGTGAGAAGCTGATAGCGGGCTGAGGTCTGAAAGCTTTGCCACTGAATGGAGGAGACATTGGAGGAGGAGGAGGGGGTTAGCCCGAAGTCACCCCACAGTGCCCGGAGCCTCCAGGTGACGCAACATCCAGAGGCACACAGGACATCAGAATATCGTTGGGTGAAGTGGCCCCAAGCCAGCAAGGAGAAGGAGTGGCTCCAGTTTGATGAAGACGTCAACGCCATCCTGGAATCAACTGCCAGAGGGGAAGCGGCTTGCAAGAGAGGTTCAGGCTAGAGGAGAAGTGCACAGCAAAGCCACCCTACACCATGAACAACAGAGCAAGCAGGATCCATCAGCTCAGACAGGAGCTGAAGAGTCTGAGGAAGCAGTTCAGAACAGCCAACGAAGAGGAGAGGTGACCTCTGGCTGAGCTACGCAGCAAAATCCAGAAGAGGCTGATGACCCTAAGGAAGGCTGAGTGGCACAGGAGGAGAGGGAAGGAGAGGTCCAGGAAGCAAACTGCTTTCCTTGCAAATCCATTTGGGTTCACAAAACAGCTGCTAGGGCAGAAGTGCAGCGGCCAACTCGTCTGCTCCAAAGCTGAGGTTGACCCCCACCTCAGGGAGACCTACAGCGATGAGCACAGAGAGCAAGACCTGGGACCACAAACTCTGGATTTCAAGGGAAGGGAACCCAGTTGGAAGGAGATCCAGGAGGTGGTCAAAGGGGCAAGAGCAAGCTCTGCTCCTGAGTCCAGTGGAGTGTCGTATAAGGTATACAAGACCTGCCCCAGGATACTCCACCGGCTCTGGAAGATCCTCAAGATGATCTGGAGGAGAGGCAAGGTAGCAGATCAGTGGAGACAAGCAGAGGGTGTGTGGATCCCAAAGGAGGAAAAGTCTCAGAACATCGAGCAGTTCCGAACCATCTCACTGCTGAGTGTTGAAGGGAAGATCTTCTTCAGCCTCATCGCCAGGTGACTGACAGGCTACCTCTTGAAAAACTCCTACAGCCACCGTTGGCCACGTATGAAGCAGAGGTGGCATCAAGGTGGCTGTGGATCAGGAGGGGAGAGGCGTGGCTTGTAGGGTAGAGCTACCTGGACACAAGCTGGGGCCTGATCAACCCCAGCTGGGTCGCCTGGTGGTGGGGGGTGCTGATGGTTGAAAGGCCCGAAACCCCCCGTAACCTCAGGTTACATCACTGACAATGTGTCCGGGTGCACCATAGGGTGCATCTAAGAACAGGAGGACTCCTTAGGCCTGGACAAAGATCTAGACAAGAAAATTAGAAATTTCTTTTACTTCTTTTGCTCCACACTCAAATAAAGTAAAAAAAAAATCAAAATGACTGAAGTAGTTATTTGAAGATAAAATGTCTATTTTATAGAGAAAATAACATCAAATGCATTTAAGATGAAAGTCATGACTATGAGATTAAAGTCAAAATCGTGAGATAATTCAGTTAAAGACACAAAAATCATAAAAGATGCAAAAAAGCAGAGGAAAATCAATTAAAACTAACCATAGAGGTTAGTTTCTGTCTATATAGTATACTGTGTGTTCTTCTATAATATTATTTGACTCCAGTTAAATAAAGTGCTACTATAATGGCTATCAAAGCTAAGTAGGAGAGCTTGTATTTATATCTGTGCCAACCCTTAACTTAATTTGCCTCACCGCTCTGTGTCTCTGTCTTTACTCTCCTCCTGACTCATGCTCCAGCTGCTCTGAGCCCCAGACTCCCTCCTGACACCATAAAATCCCCCTCCTGATGCACACACACCAAACACAGAGAACAAAGAACACATATACATTTTGAAGTCGAATTCAAGATTTTCAAAGACCTTCAAATAACTCAAAGTTAAAGTCTGTGATAGAGACCATACACCTAAAGTTTAAAAGCTTTTCTGACAGATTTTGCATTTCCCTCTTAATTACTTTGTCCATGTATTTTATGCACAACTTAGATTCCCCAGTCCCAAAATTAATACACCAGAGTGCCTCGGTGTTTTATGGCCTGACTGACTTTGCCTGTGGTTATAGGAGTGGCCGTGGATGCGCCTGGTCTCATGTAGACTCTCAGCCCGCAGAACAGCCAAGATCTTCTGAGCTGCCTGAGACAGAGGTCCTGAGTACAACCTGCTGCTAGACTGCTCCATCTCTTCCCAGTCAGGCAACTCTTTACCTCTCTGTCACTAACCAAAACAGGACAGAGGGGAGTTTGGTTAGTAAAAGACATACAATATTACTTCCACAAGACCACACTGCAAACAAAACATCCTTACCAAATGTATGATTTAGATACTTCCAGATATTACAAGCCAAAAAAAGGACTCTTTTGAAGTTTTAAATCTAATCACAGCTGGACATGTCAGGTCAATTTGACTTATGGTTAGTGTAATGAGGTATTTTAGGTAGAAACTACACAAATACATTCGAGAGGATTGCCGTTTAGCCTCTGTAAAAAGAAGATTTCACAGGTCAACGATTTTTACAACTTAAACCACATTAAGTTGACAATTATTTTATTTATAATTTCACAAACGAACAAATTAGGAAAGAAAAAGAACATCACCAAACATGTCTCCTTCAATAAGTCTGTTAAAAATGCAATAAATGAACACATTCAAATCCATCCCAAATATTGTATAATCAAACTTCTTTTCTGAAGTTGTTTTTCCAAAAGATGAGTCCATAAATGTCAGATCTCAAGTAGCTTCACTCTTGCAATGAAACTGCACACCGCTGATGAACTGTTGAAAGTCCTCCTTATTCATTCTGGTAGGATTTCTTTACTTCATCGTCATTTTGCTCTCCAAATCCTCCACCACTTTCTGCAGCAGCCGCGCATCCAGGTGAAAGTAGACGTATAATTCCCTCTCCCGCCTGAGGAGGGCATTGCGCTCAAGCTGCGACCGTTTGGCTTTCATCTCCCCCATGATTTCTTGCATTACATGCTGCAAACTCTGCAGCTGGGCCTCTGTTTCCACGAGCTTGGTGGTCAGCTCCTGCAGGGCGACAGAAAGAGGGATGGAAAATCAGGGAAAGCAACTGCCTATTCTCAAGCGTTTATCAATGACTAATGGGGAAATGTATTTGAGGACACTTGTATATACACAACATGGGAGTCAAGCCTGTTGAACAGAAAAAGAAGAGTCTTCATAACTGCTCTGGACCAAGACTGTGGATTCAAAACTTCCCATGATTCACCCTTCCAACCAGATGCTGCATTATGTCATTTCTTCCTGATTCAGTCAAAGTTAGATGCACAAGTTAACAGCTGTTTTTCTCAACACTCATGATGATGAAGCCTATAACTTAGCCAGTACTGTAAAAAACCATCAAGCATTGTAATGAGATCCGACATGACACAGAAAGTTTTAGGAATACATGTGAAAAAGGCAACAGAGAGATGCTAATCATAGGGCGCTTCTAAACCCACGTGTCTAAGTGAAATTATGATTCAGAATGAGCGAAAGTACAGAAGATAAAAAACCCTGTGCAACCAGCTTCCCACACCGACAGTGATGAATAATACAAAAATCAGCTGACTCACATTTAAATGGGCTTCTGATTTCTGAACTCTGTACCCTTGACCATCAAATAAAAGGAAACAAACCCACCTGTGCATTAGGACAGAGCAGCTCCTGGTCAGTGGAGGCCGCTAGACATACCTGCGGCCCTAAGACCAGCTGCTGGAGCTCAGTGTACATGGCCCTGTGGAGCGCCTCACAGTCTCCGTTGAGACGAGCAACCGTGTAGTGCTGCTCACAGCCGGCGCCTGCCAGAGCCTCTCGGGTGACTTGAAGGTTTCCAGCAAGGTCCTTAGCGGCCTGATCAAGAGCTTCATACGTCCGGAAAGGCTCTGATCGACCATGGTTGGAATTGTGGTCGAGGATCTGGAGCAGTCTGAGGGAAAAAAGCCAGCAGGTTTTTCATTCCTTGCATTATCCATAAATACCTGGAAATTAGGTCATTATAAAGGGTGTACAAGCATGAGGAATTGAAGTCTCCTGACCTGCTAAAGGATGCATCCTTACTGCTGATGATTGGGTTTGGCCTCAGATTGATAGCCAGCTCTGGGTGTGCAAGGGACTCGATTCTCAGTGTTGCGGCTTCCCCTTCCTTCGACAGTCTGCTGTCTACATCTCCCAGCTGCTTCAGGCATGTCCTCCACCTCCTCAGCTCCATCTCCTGGGCCAGGTGCACCAGGTCAAAGGACGCTTTTTGGCGAAGAAGGTAGTCACGTACCTGGGCAGAAAGATAATAAATAAGTTCAATGTAATCTGGGTGTTGATTCTTGCTTCCTGATGTCTTTAGCACGCTGATTATCGGCTGACCCAGACCTTTAATCTGTCAATAACATGCATGTTTGTACAGATACTAACTTGATTCTGTCTGGAGGTGTAGTAGTCCTGTCTTGCCACTTGCAGGTCCAGGTCTCCCCTCACTACAGGCACATTAAGCAGCCGAGCTGATTCCCTCAAAGCGGCGGGTACAGGACCATGAAGCAGAGCCTCCAATTCAGCCTCCACAGCCTGCAGCTCCTTCCTGGACACAACCTCTCGAACATGCAGTGAGGACGAGGTGGAGATGCTCTGTTTGGGTAGAGAAATTGACATGAAGGAAAATTTCAGCTAGGAAGCCAGGGCAGACATTGAGTGAACTTCAAGAACTGAAAATGTACTCCACTAGTCTACTCTACCTTGGTATGAGAGGACTTTTCAGAGAGCCAGTCCAGCCCAGCTCGGAGGCTCTTCTCCTCTGACATCGCCTGCATCAGTTGGTGCTGAGCTACAATATGAGACCACTGAAGTCTGGCCATCTCTGTCCTTCTGCGCTCCACCACCCGCTCCTCCCTCTCACTTCCATCAAGCTCATTCTCTTCCTCCTTTCCATCTTCACATGAACTGAGGTCAAGCACCTGGAAGCGCTCAGAGGAGGAGGTCTCAACAAGGTCAGAGATACCCTGAAAGAAATGCTTCTGAGTGAAGGCGGTGAGTGTTTTAGTGTTGAGCTCCTCCTGATGCAGGTAGGGGGCCAAGGACAGCTGAGAGAGGAGCACAGTAGGGTGTTTGGAAACAGACAGAGCCACAGGTTCTTCTTTTTGGTCTCCCTGAACTGGTAAGTATGTAGAAAGTTTCTCCACCTCTTCTGTTAGATTTTGCAGCAGAGTGTTGGTGTCTGCGTTTTCAGCTCCAATAGAGGCACTTGCATCCTTTAGCTTGCAAGCAGCATTCTCCAGCTCTGTAGTGAGTCGCAGGTCAACATCTGCACGGGAGGTTGCCGCAACCTGCAGCCTGTTAAAGCGTTTCTGCTTAAGCTCTTTCTCTTTACGCAGAGCCTGGAGTTCTGCCTCCAAGTCCTCAGTGGTCACATCCCCCTCTGCTGCAAACACAGAGGATGAGGATGATAAAGAGGGGCCTAAGATGCTGGCACTGCTCTTATCTGAAGGTCCAATGGTTTTCAAGACTTCGCCCAAAGCTGCTTCATCCAGAATTGGCTTGCCGGACTTGCGTAGCTCCCGAAAAGCCCGTGCCTCCTCTGTGGTGAGGACATTGCTCCGGTTGAGGGTCCGACAAACGAAGCGCAAGAAGTGGAGGTTCTCTGGCGCACAGTCAAACAGCCAGTCAAACTCTGAGCCCTTCAGTGATGATGCACCAGGGTATCCTAGACGGCCCAGGGCCTCCACAAACTGCCCGCCGTCTAACATGGTGGTTCGGCAACCTGCGCCCCGCCCGTTATTGTGCTTGTGATTTATACAGCAAAACACAGCGGATTATGGAGGGGTAGGCATAAGACCAATACAAAGAGGAAGGAAAGTTATACCACAAAGAATATGCTGAATCTCTTAAAACATATACAAGTGGGTTTATTTACAGTACTTGTCAAACAACTGACTACAAGTTTCTACCCAAGACAACAAATTTGTGACAATAATTTATTCCAAAACAACAGACATTCATTCCAGTAAATCACAAACAGCCATTATCTTAACCTTTATTCTCATGGTCAACATTTAACTTTACCTTAAGTTATTTCACAAAGCTTCTTATTTTTATTCTGACAATTACACAGATAATAACTGTTCCCCTCTAGAGATTAATGTTGCAGTCATACCGAGACGCTAAGGTAGAAGAACTACCGCTTCTGCAGTGCAAAATGATTCATATGGTGATAATTACTTCAAGGAAATGATAGTAAATGTTCTTCCTTGAGCTGCGTCACCCCGCTGTAGTCAGTAATGGACTGGCCTGAGGTCTCGCGACAAACAAGTGACAAACCAAATAGCTCAGAAGCTCCCTAAAGGCAGAGCTGTTGTTTATGACTGCATTAGATCGCCCAGATGTCCATAATGTGGCAGGTTAGTGTTTGGATGTCTGAGGTACGTTATGAATGACTGGAAGGTTTATTTTCATCATTCTGAATATTCAAACAGAAGTTTTGACCAGTAACATAAGACTGTATGTGTCTGAAGTGATTACTAGGAACGGTTCACAGTATTCAGATACGGCTAAGGTTCATTCTTGAAAGGGGAAATGCGAATATCTGAAAACTCGACGCCAAATACCTTCCTCCGCCGTTGTGAACATCTAAAATGTCCATTTTAGGTACTTATTCAACAGATAAACCGAACACATATGGTCTAATTAGTTAAAACTAAACCAGCTCGAGACGACAGTTAAGTACGCTAACTAGCCAAAACACACTCGGTTCACAACCCTGTTGACGGCTATAAAGTATCTAAAACCTGCTAAAAACAAACATAACTTGTTCCAGGTCCTTCTTAATCGACTTTTTGTCTTGTCGGTTTCATTCGTGTTGTCGAGTTTTCACTCATATACTCACAATTTGGTCCAGAAATACGCTTTCTTTTTGAACATTCAGCCCGTACTGCTAACTGCCAAGCTCGCGCCAACATCCAAACTGCCCGTACGTCCGGACGCAATCACTGACGCGACGTACTCCGTCGTAGTGTTGTGTCGTTTGCGAACGATTCGTTCAAAGGAACCGAATCACTTCCTCAAGTTTCTCACTTCAGTTAAGCTGAAGTGAGAAACAGCATTGTCAGGCAATCAGCCAGTAGACCTGATAAATAGCATATAGGACAGTACACTTAAAACATCATGACTTATAAACAAGTTCATTTTTACGAACCTGTTTGCTAAAGCAACACAGCCAAACACTCTCGTCTCCCAGTCCCAGAAGCTATGAACCGTTCAGCTGTGTGTCAGTTCAGGAGGTCGGAGTCGCAGGCTCCTCCCACTAAGCGCTGAATGATTCGGTGATTTGGTAAACGAATCTTTTGAACGAATCTTTTTAGTGAACTGATTCTAGTGATTCAGTTCACCTAAAAGAACTGCCGTGCCCATAACTACTCCGTCATACGTCGGAGGCGGCGCTGTTCTCCTTAACCAATCAGATTCACGCTTGATATTCAACTCCCGCCCTTTCTCCTCACATGTCTCAAACATTAATGCGCTGGCCACTTCTCCTGTGATCATTTAGCTCGCTTCTTTTGCCAGTCCTTCGTGGAGAACAACACTCGGTAAGAGGAAATACACAAAGCTGACTAGTTGTGGTTTAATGAAGCTTCTTTGGACGAAACGGAGTGTCTTCTTCACTGGCGGAAGGGTAAAATTTAGGCAGACTGCCAGAGAAAAGCAACGTAGTTAACTTATTTGGAGCAGCCAGTTTTATGCTGTTTGCTTTTCAACCCTAAACCAGATGTTGTCTTGCTTTTAAATGTGAATTTGATTGCAGTGAAACCTAATCTACTGATGTTTGATTTACACCTTTTCAAACATATGTGTATTGTTTTTCTTTATATAATCAAAGAAATGGTCGAGTTTTATTGCGATTAGAGTTTTAATCTACTTGCTTCTTCCAGTTTTTGTTTATGAATAAGAGTTAATGCAAAGTATAGGTATTCCTCTTTGAGCAGATGTGAATAGCATGCACACTGTAGGCTTACTGTAACTCTGCAAACAAAACCTCAAATCTCGTTATTAGATTGCACTTAGATCTTCCTTACTTTTCTTTCTCTCACCTCTTATGTGCCTCTGATGTGCCTCTCTCATTACAAGGTTGTACTGTGGTTGTGTCTTTCATTTTGCACACCTGCTAATAATGTCCCAAATGCTACCATCTGTCTTTTATCAAACATCTGCTCCAGCCCTCACAGTTGCTGTAAACAAAGAGTCATGGTTCAAGCAAAGAGCTGGGTCCTGGTCAAGCACTTCGACGGCTTCCCGAAGAGCAGCGACTTTGAGCTCAGGGTTGAGGACCTTCCTGAACCCAAGGATGGAGGTTAGATGATGCCTGTCTCTGATTTGCAGCACTTGAATTAAGTCTGAGTGCACTTGAACTCTGTTTTTTTTTTTTATCTCTTTTTGTTTCAGAGGTCCTCTTGGAAGCGGTGTTTCTCAGTGTCGACCCATATATGAGGTGAGAAGAATAATCCATCCAAAAACATCCTGTTTCTTATTGTGAAATTTTGCTTTCTACAGCACAAAATCTGTTGGGATAAAAAAGTAAAAATATGATATGTTTGTGTTTCCAGGCCGTTCAGTGCATTTCGCATGCAAGAAGGCGACGTGATGATTGGAACTCAAGTGGCCAAGTAAGAAAACAAACCTACACCCACACACACACACAAAGTTTTCTTATCTGTTCTGCTGTATCCTGCAAACAGGTCCAGTCCTGCACCTGCAGATGATTACTGCTGCCTTTGATTCACAGACACAGTAACCACACGGAAAAACCAAGAAATGTCCTTGGCTGGAAGATCAAACCCTGTTTTTGTTGATAATCATGCTAAATAAATTACTTAGAAACCAGAAGAATCTGTTTTGAAAGCCAGATGTCTTTTTCTTGCTTTAGTTGTCAAAGACCAGACTTAGTCAACATGCTGCAGTCGTCTGGAACACCACAACAGATAAACTCATAAAGTCTTCATCTGTTTTTGTGTCTTGTCTTTCTGCAGAGTGATTCAAAGTAAGAACCCAACGTTCCCCATGGGGAGCCATGTTGTTAGTCGCTGCGGCTGGAGAACCCACTCCCTCAGCAATGGGACCGACCTCATTCCTGTAATGCCTGACTGGCCGCAGGACGTCTCACTGTCCTTGGCACTGGGTACCGTTGGCATGCCGGGGTAAGACACATGTTACACACATAACGCTGAACGCATAGAGGAGTAACATCTGGTAGCCAGAAGTTAAAGTGCGAGTCATTTTCTCACGGGTAGTTTACTTTCAATTGTTTGAATTTTTTTTCTTCTCTGTGTTTACGACAGTTTGACAGACATTTGGTGCTTGAAGAGGAAGTAAAAGATTCCAACATAAGAACTCTTAAAAGAAACAGGAAGTCAACTTAGAAAGTGTAAACAGCCCAGTTAAGCTGTTCTAATGAGTGGGAAGGAGTTTGTTTCACATCGACTTTGACAGTGGACTTTGTACTAAATAAAGGAATTTCTAGGTAGATTCTACAAAATCAATATTGTCACTTTAGGGTCTATAAAGGTCCTTACACATCGGGGCCGACGCGACTATAGAACACAAAATTACAAAATATTCCGAGGCGAGTTTTGACGTGCCTGACTATACACATCAAGCCCGATGCGATTTTGCAACTTTTCGGACGCATCATGGGGAATATTTTGCTGGGGAAAGCCCCGCCTCCTTCACCTCTGATTGGCTAGAAAAGCTGGAAACGTCATTACATGCTCAAGCCAAATGGTCAGCACTGATAGCCAATCAGAGGAGAAAAGATAACCACATGAAACTATGGTAACAACCGTTAGCTTACGTTAAAACAAAGATGTGTAGCAAACTGTTAAAGCACACAAACCATCGTCATATGAGAAATCCGACGCTATGACTCTCCACAAGTTGTCCTTCAGGTCGTTATCTTTGTAATATTTGTGTCTTTTATCAAAAACCACTCTGTTCTCCGACACGTAAACAATCAGCCGGTCGGCCATGTTGGATATACTGGTGAATCTGACGTCGCAACAACACGCAATCTGATTGGTCAGAAGTGGACACACAGTATGCGAAACTTCGACCGTAATCCGAAAAAATAAATGCCGCAATATCGCAGGACAGGAAAACTTCGCTGATGTGAACGCTTGTATTGACATGATACGGGTTCGGAAAAAAATATTGACGTCCGAAATAATCGCACGAAAAAAAACGGTCTCGGTGTGAAAGGACCTTTTGTCCCATAAAGCAGTGTTCAAAATTAACTTCTTGACTCAAGTCTTTATTTTCTCTCTCAAAAAAAAAACTTATTTATTAAACAAAGTAGAAGAATGAAGTTTTTAAAGACCCAAATCTCGGTGAATCTGATTCATCTAAAGAGCTTTTTGGGAGGTGGGAAATAAACCTGTGAGGCTCCAGATGTTTTGTCTTGTCAGTGATTGAAGTCACCTTAAACAATCATGACTTCGCGGTTATAAACAGTTTACATCCTGAGGAGCAAAGAAGGACAAAATCCTTCTTTCTTTTTCGGATTTGTTGTCTTTAACTTGTTTTTCCTCCATTACAGACTGACAGCTCTGTACGGGATTGAAGAAGTCTTGGGCCTCAAGAAAGGCGAGACCCTCCTTGTGAACGCTGCAGCGGGGGCGGTGGGCTCCGTGGTGGGCCAGATCGCTAAAATCAAAGGCTGTAAGGTGGTTGGCTCAGCCGGGTCTGATGCAAAGGTGGCTTACCTCAAAGAACTGGGCTTCGATGAGGCTTTTAACTACAAGACGGTTGGCTCTCTGGAGGAGGCGCTGAAGAAGGGGTCTCCAGGGGGATACGACTGCTTCTTTGAAAACGTGAGCAGTGCTAGTCTCAGATCTTCAGAGTGTCCCTGGATGTTGAAAATGTCTGTATTCCTGTTCACTAAGTGGTTTAACTCTGTTTGATTTTAGGTTGGAGGGGCTTTTTCAAGCGTTGCCTTGAATCAGATGAAGGACTTTGGAAGAATAGCTGTATGTGGAGCTATTTCTACGTACAATGACAGCAACCCCCAAACAGGTGCGTGAGTCCTTGCTACATAATGTGTATTCGTGTCTCTGTAAAACTACGATTTCAGTGGAAAGAAAGAGTATAGATACAGTCTCATTCAGATGATTTTCTGTCACTAGAGGGCGCCCCTGCGTTTCTAACATGACAAACAGACCTTACCCTCGACTCTTTGTACCCTGTAATAACTTTTCAATGTTCTCCCTCTCTCTTCTTCAGGCCCATACCCTCATTTTATCATGATCGTCAAGCAGCTCAAGATGGAGGGCTTCATGCAGACCAGGTGGGAGCACAAGCACCCCGAGTCCCTGAAGAGGCTGATGGGATGGCTTAAGGAGGTAAGTGACAGAAATCAATTTATGATCATTTGAACTCTCTCTGTCTAATTGTTTGCCACAAGATTGTAGAGTTGTCCTGATTTCTGCTCGGCTTTTACCTTTGTATGTTGGCAGGGTAAACTGAAGAGTCGGGAGCACGTCACAAAAGGCTTTGAAAACATGCCGGCTGCTTTTATGGGGTTGCTGCAGGGAGACAACATCGGCAAGGCTGTTGTCGCAGTCTGATGTGGGACGCAGGATCTGGAGAAATCATTGTTATTGATGATTTACATGATATTACAGATTACATACATGAAGGACTGAGCAACATATAATTACAAATAACCAAACATAATCACATATTGACGCTGTAAAAGGTGACATAGGCATTAAAACAAGAAGGGCTGTAAGCACTACTGTCTAGAAACACAGTAATGAAGGCAATAAAATGTGAATTATAGTTTTGAGCACTTAGATAAGGAGACCTGTTATTTTCATCTTTTAGTATGTCAGTCTGGGACACATATAGAGTAGCTTTTTAGCTCAAATAACTCATTGTTCCTAAACTGGCACCTCTGAAAAACCTGATTTCAGCACCACCCAGTCTCTGCCCAGAGCGCCTCATTTTGACCAAGTCAGACAGCTTGTTGATGTTACTTTTTACACGGTTTTGTAGACACAGATAGCCAAAAATAATGCCTGTATTGAAAACTGGAGGCAAGAAGATACTCCTAGCCTAGCCCCTAATGTAACCCTGTTAGCATATATTAGTTATCGTTTTACTAGCTGCTGTGTTTATGTTACTTACAGCTTGTATTCCCGAACATTTAGTGCTTAACAGATTGAGCAGTCCCAAGGTTCAGTAGCAGTTGCGTCCAGGGTTTTACTGGCCTCTGTTTACAAAGGAGGTATCGGTGAAGTGGCGAGCACAAACAGTCGTGACTTGGCTGTTGTCCTGAAGACAGAAGCATTAATTTGTCCTAATAGGGCAGCACAACCTCACATCAGGCTGCAGCCATATCTCAAAACGAGCTGTTGTTTACCATCTCCCATTCTTGCCATGTGAGACTTTGAACATCCAACTCTGTAGTGTGTTAAATTATAAATCAGTGCTATCAGGTCTCCATTCACATTAGAGAGTTCTCCCAAGGTTAGTTTTGAGATATTTTTTCAAAAATTGTTTACAATTTCAAAAATAGAGACAAAAATTTGACACTTGACTTTCAGAAAAATAAGTATTAAAGATAAAAATCTTTGCATTTCCTCCTCATGTTGGTAATGGCATGTTTTGACCACTATCCAGACAACAGTCTCCATACTGTACAAGACTGAGTTTAATACTTGATACATGTGTCATTGTATTGTTTAACATGTGATTTTCTAAAAGGAATAAAAATTGGATGCTTTTTAATCAGTTTCTCTTGCCATTCTTTAAGAACTCAACAAAAAATTAAATGTTTTATTAGAAAACTAAGTACTGAGGGTTAAATTTTAACACATAATAGAGGCAGCACTGGGAGTAAGATATGCCCCCAAATTATGTAAAAGCATATTTCCAAAACTATTTTCTGTCATATAACCAACAGCATTGATGTGTGAATTGATTTAAACTGTTCAGAATGAGGTTAGTCCATATTTTTACAGTGTCTTTTCTCACTATTACATTTATAGATGGTCACTCTGCACACTCACATAATGGCTTGTTATTATGAAAATCTTGATAAGTCTACAGATATCATATTGACTAGTTATTTTAAGAAACTCAGCAGATTATTTTGTTTACAATATCTTGAAATAAGATTGGTCTTTGATCCTGTTAGATCTGTGTTATTTATATTAAAGGGGTATTCTCGACACCCCGTTAAGAGATGAATGTTGCCAACTGCTTGCGTCTCTAGTTATACCAACTTTAGTAATGACCGCACCATAGCAACACACAGCGGTCTATGGAACCACACACAAACCTCAACCAAAACACCACTCTCTAACCACAAATAATGCTCAGAACAGCACCTAAATTCATCAACAGTACATATAGGGTCCCAGCCATAGTACTAGCCACCAAACATCTCTTTAACTTTGCCTTTCTTTTGCAATGAGACTAAACACAACTCACATACTCTCTTCCTGCAGATGCTTGTTTGTAGCGAGACCTCAGGTCAGTCCATTACGGACTGCTGCGGGGTGACGCAGCTCAAGGAAGAACATTTATGATCATTACTTTATAATTTCCTTTAAGTAACAATCACCATATCAACCATTTTGCACGGCAGACACGGTAGGTCCTCTACCTTGGCGTCTTGGTCTGATTGCATTTCCATGAAGAAATTAACTAAATTAGTTTTACACCGGAACATCCCTTTAAGTGTAACGAGTAATTTTGACTAGATAAGAGACCACTTGACTCGGCTCCTTGAGGTTTTTGTTTTTGATGCAATCAGCTGGGCGTCATGCAGTTACTGGAAATTTGAAGTTCTTTGCAACCATTTACTTATAAAAATGTCAAGTAAAACTTTTCAAAATAAAATATTCTACAAAGGAAATACTGAAGTAAAAGTAGATTTTTTGTTTTAAAGGCTTTTGTTGACCTAGAAAGGCATTAGTATCTATTTATATTTGTTTGTTGATCACAGAATAACTTCATACATGAGTTTCAACTATTCTGCAAGTTACTCCTACTTTTATTTTGTACAAACTTCCGCTGTGGTTCGTGGTAAGTTTGGGAAAGTGATGCAACTTTCTTTAAAACTCAATACGCAGCCTGGAACACATCATTTCTCCACTCTGTCCACACCCGAGACACAGGTCAACACACTCCGCAGAAATCATGGTTAAATACGTGGAATCTTTGGTGAGTTTGTCTTGTTTATTCCTGAAGAGTTGTCGTTTATCGTTGCTTAAAGTCACTGTCTTTCGTACCTTAGAGGAAGTTTGAAGCTTCCTGAAGAGTTTTGGCGCATCCACCCGTGAGGCTGGAGTGCCGCGTATGTCTGTGTGGTTACAGGGGTGAGCAAGGAGGCTCTGGGAAGAGTCGAGGAAATTTGTATCAGTGACATTGCTAATATAACCACAAGCCACCGTTTATATTTAAATGTATTATATTTATGTATTAACCAGTATAAATGACCTCCTACCCAAACATAAAGCAGGTTCAAAATGTTGAACTCAACCACACAATAACATTTAAAAAAACACGATTAAATTCTGAAAAATAGTTTTATCTCAGACGTAATTTTTTCGCGTACCTTGACATGTTTGGGTGGAAACTTTCGCTTTCCTTGGAAGATAGCAGGGGCGATGGCCGCTGTCTTTAATTTCGTGTGAACTTCGTGTTGCCAAGACTCTTCCAGGCTAGCAGGTTACTCTGAAAGACAAACTGTTGGCAAAATGTGGCTGGGCTGCTGTCCATAAATGAATCATCCATAAAACCACAAGTGCCAGTGATAAACGGAGCTTTAAGACAGTAGTTATGCTTTTTAATTAACTATACTGTTGGATGTGTTACACCAAGTGAAAAAAGGAATTGAAGGTTTTCTGACGAGTTTCAGAACAAGTCATTCACTTACACCACCATCAAACCCCACATAGCAGATTGCTTGCATGTATTCATGTATTAACCAGTATGATAGACCTTCTACCCAGACATAAAAATTCATGTCAGAATGAAAGCAGGTTAAAAATGTTGACCTCAAGATTGATTTCAACCACAAAATACAAAAAAAAAAAACGATTAAATTCTTATAAGAAATGTTGTTTTCCTTTATCTCAGACTTGTAACTTTTTCATGTACCTTGACATGTTTCGGCGGAAACTTTCGCCTTCCTTTAGAAGATAGCAGGGGGCGTGGCCACTGTCTTTAATTTCGTGTGAACTTCGTGTTGCCGAGACTCTTCCAGGTTATCAGGTTACTCTGAGATGTAAAGTATTGGCAAAATGTAGCTTGGCTGCTGCTCAGAGCACACACTCACAAGCCTACTTGTCTTCCGAAGAAAAATGAATCAGTCTATAAATGAATCATCCATAAAACCACAAGTGCCAATTATAAACGGTGCTTCATTACAGCCGTTTTTTTTTTTTTTCAAACATCTTTGTCAGTTTATATTGATATAACAACAACAAAAAATTGTCTGTTTTTTTATTTTTTTAACCACATAATTTCCAGAAAGAAAAAGAAAAAAATAAAATAAAGTAGTAGTAGTTATGCTTTTTTAAGAATTATTCTGTTGCATGTGTTACACCTAGTGGAAATGAAAAACAGAAGGTTTTCTGATGAGTTTCATAACAGGTCATACACTTAAACTACCATCAATCCCCACACAGCAGACAGGTCTGGCTAGAGCTGGCACTGCTTGCCAAATTCTGGTATGGTAAGGTAAGGGGAATGTCTGCTGGGTGTGGGCCAGGTGTGGAAATGATGGCACTGTTTTTATGATGGCATGCCACAAAAGGCCCGATTGTGGTTTGGTTTTGTGCGTCTCAGATATGACCATGCAAATAAATAAATTTAAAAAAAGATAACATAGAATAAAATGGATACATGAATATCAAATTAAATAAAATTAAGTGGAATGAAAGCGAAAGCGAAAGTGAATGAATGCATAAATTAAAAATAAATATATATATATGTATGTATGAGTAAGTGCATGTCCCAACTGCACTTCTCAGTTACGTTCGTCTGGCTAAGTTTCAGTGCAATTTCACTCGGACGAACTTGTTAACATGAATCTTGAAAGACCAGTTTCAGTCAGACCATTGCAGCCCTGACCCTATAATTTGAATTCTTTAAGTGCATGTGTATGTACTGAAGGGTTTGGGTGGTGTGTTGTGAAATTTGCTACTTACATGGTAGAGTTGACACCGTCTGCAGCAGTTGCTGTTGCCTAGCTTTTGTGCCTGTTCTCCACCTGGTTCTTAACAAAAGAGCAACTTAGAGAACAGAGAAATATCCACATGACGCAATTCCTTGACAATAATCATGACTCTAATGCTCGGAAATAAGTAAAATGTCAAGCTGCAATCTGAAGCTCAGTTTGGACAATCGGTTCCAAATTACAGATGTTTAAATTTATGGGTTTTTTTTTTTTTTTTTATTTCATGTAGGACGAATTCAATCAAATCCTGAAGGACGCTGGAGACAAGCTGGTGGTGGTGGACTTCACAGCCTCGTGGTGCGGTCCCTGTCAACGCATCGCCCCAAAATTTGAGGTGAGAATAGACAACTGTAGCACTAAGTCGTCCAAAACATGCAGGGCTTTACATTGAGGCATTTCTTCAGAGAGAGAGATAAGTGGTTGCCATGGTAACCTCTCTAGCCTCACTACTCTTTAAGATTGATTTTGGGTCTTTTCGACTTAAGTTGGAGAGGACAGAACATTGTCTAGGGCAGGGACTTGGGAATAGAGTGGGGAATATTGTACCTGAATGGTGCCCCAGGTCAGAATCTAACCTGGACTGTCTACATTAGGATCACCACATTGATAAGACCCGGCCAGTGACTCCCTTCATTCTTTCTTTTTTAATGACCCATACTTCATTCTCTTGCAGGCAGAGTCAAAGGATCCTGCTAACGGGAATGTGATTTTCCTGAAGGTGGACGTGGATGAAGCTGCGGTTAGTGACACAGGAGCTGTGTATAGTAGTCCATTTTCCTCAATCAGCATTTAGGAACTTAGGGCACTGACTGTTGAAGCTTGCTCACACAGTCGTTGACAGTTGTTAGGATGTGTTGAGGTTTACTATACTTACTAGTAAGTATAACCAGGAACTGGGATGTGGCAGTATTGAGTTAAGTTGGGAATACAGCCAATGTGTTCATACCATAGACTGTATAAACTATGGACAACTTGGTTCCGCCTTCCGCCAGTATGTGGATTTGAAGCCAAAAAGCTCTTGGTAATTCCTCATTTTTTCTCAATTTCCTGAAACCAACATTGCACAGTGGCGTTGTATGCATTCCGCGGGAGAGTTGCCAAGAGTCACTGTGATGACGCTGTGCTCAAACAGCGTATCCCCAACATCTCAAGCAGGGGGGAGAGAAATGTATGTTCTTTCTAATAAATTTCTGAAGTTTGTCCACAGCCCCATAAACTTTGCGGGAATTATGACCTATACTGCAGCCTGTCACCAGAGGGTGCTGTTCTCGCGGTGGCTTCACCCAGCGAGGAGGCACACGCTGTCCATTCTATATTCAGTCTATGGTTCATACCCTTCTATTAAAGAGAAGCTCTCATTGGCCTCTCATTTCTACAGTATATTTCCCATTGAAATGCGTGTTTGTGTGTGTCATCTTGCGGACTGTAAATGAGTTTTTGGTTTGTTTCGCCTCAGTCTGTCACCCTTACTTTTGTCTTCTTCGCTCTATTAGGATGTGGCAGAATCTTGCAAGATAACGGCCATGCCTACATTCGTCTTTTACAAGAATGGAGTCATTGTAAGTAAGCTACTGCACACAAACATGAAAGGTACTTTTTTTATTCAAGAAACAACCCTGTGATTTGTTAGCTCTCTTTAAACAGTTTTTTACTTCACAGTACGTTTCTTTTAGTGGTAAATGTGATCTTGTTCAGGAAAATATCCTTTAAAGGCACTCTTTCCACACTTGTAAAGACTGTTAAATTCATGTGGCACAAAGTGGATTGGAAAGAGTTTGAGTGACAAGAGAAAGACCACTTTCTAACCGATGCTTTATTTTCAACTTTGTGGTTTTCAGGTCCACAGGTTCTCAGGTAGTGATGGTGAAGAACTTGCTAAGCAGCTGCGAGCTCTCAGGAATTAAAAACCACCACCGCCGCCGCCATGGTCGCACTCTTTTTACAACAAACACCACACAAGCAAAAATCATCATTTTTAGTCACTTCAGTGTGATTGTGATGATTGTCCATTAAAAATGAGGACAAATTGGTTCCAGGCTCCAGAATTTTTAATAAATGAGTTAGAGAAACATTGTCTCTGGTGATTCTTTTTTAAACATATAAATTACACATACCTACGTACAAGTACATAGCAGCATATGTTTAATACTGTGTGAGTATGAAATGTTAAATCTGTGTTAAATCAGCATCTGTTAGAAGCAGAAGGAAAGGGAAATACTCAGGGCGTCACTCAGCTCTCTTGAGTCTGTACCATCAGAGACAACATGTGGGTTAAGCCCTCCCTTAGCAGGAATCCTGAACTGGTTTTTCAGGTCTACTCCGACACCTATTTGCCTAAACATGTAAAAGACATCAGTGACTCACATCTGAAGCACTGCACTGTGACAGGAGTTTCACCACCGTGGTGACGTGTCCACATGGTAGGGTGCCCATCAGCACCTGCTACAAACAAAGAGCGGGAGAGGAGCCAAACGTAATTATACGCTAATGTAATCACACTAATAAATACTACATTTCATACCTCTAAATACTTAGTGCTGTAGCTTTAAATGTTAGGCTTTTACACTGGATTGAACAGACACTGGAGCTGCAGAGGGTTTGACCAAGATCTCTACACCACGCTACCCACTCTGATATGTGATACAGACCAACATTTACTCTCCCCGCCCGTAACATTTTGTTCATACTCCTCTTTTGTCTCCTCAGCACAGTCCTGTAGGCCAACAGTAAATAATGCACTAGTTCAGACAACAGGAGAGAGCTCACGGTGTCAGTTATGTGTGTTAAGGAGCAGGAAAGCTGCAGCAGTACTAAACAGACACCTGGTGGGCCAACATGAGTAACAAGAAACACAACCAAGATCCAGGAGGGTAGGTTTTTTTTTTTTTTGTAATTATAACACCCCTTCCCCACAAACACACAGACGCACGTTGCCTGTCCTCCTGTTTCACTTGCGTCTCTGCTCTCCAGCATCATCACTGTCGCAACGGTTGCAAATAAACCACAGTGTGAGCAAACCACTTCTACTTCTCTAACTAATTCTTGGAAACATGAAAGTCCCCCCCGCCTGCTTACTTGAGAAAACTGCTCTTACAGAAGTTCAACAAGAGGAAACAAAAAAAGGACAAGCTGGATGATCTCTCACATCCTCCTCCATGCGTCTAAGGTTTCATCTGTGTTAAAAATTTTACATCCTTCAGTCAAAGTAACTGATTCACATCAACACTTTCATTCACAATGCGGAAGAAAACGTTTAAATCTGTTAATCGGAGAATTGATCTGGAAGAACATTGTGAACTCTAGAAGCTGATTGGCTGTTGGCCGCATTTTTGATTACAGAGGTGATAAAGTTCAAGCAATCAGCCTTGAAGTTTTGTGAAGATCAAAAATGCTAATTTAGTTGACATGTTATGTTGCAGTTTTATCGATTCAAGCTCAAAGTTAAAAGCTAAGTGTGAATATAGTGGATGATAACAGGATGGTAAAAAAAAAATACCTGTCACAGAAAATTTAAATTTGAAAAAAACACAAATATTTAATTAAATATATCAAAATTATAATTGGATGAAAACTGTTTTTTTTTTAAATAAAATTACTTGTTTTCCTTCTGCGTAAAGATTTTCAGGCCTTTCTTTTACTAGTTTAACTACTTTTCTGTCACTAGAGGGCACCACTGTGTAATAAAAATATCTTCCGATGCACAAAAAGACCTTTTCTTGACAATTTGTTTCTTTGCACCATCGCTGAAATTTCACTTTTTCACCCTCTACTATCACTTTCAGCCCTTAACCACAGATGGCGGACTTCATGTAGTCCAGATGGAAGCAAGAGCACCCTGACTCTGCAGAGGCTGATGGAGTATATATAAAGGAGGTAAGTGGCTGAACAGAGTTTAAAACTAAGCCAATTCAAAATCTATTCATACCTTTAGTAACTGTTTAATCTCAGATCTGCTTCCGCTGAACTCTGACAGCTGTGATTTCTTTTCCTCATGCAACTGCAGAGCACACTGCAGGGTTGGGAATGCGTCATTAATGGCTTTGAAAACATGCCAGCTGTTTTTATGGAGAGATGCTGCAGGGAGAGAAAATTGGAAAGGCTATTAAGTCAGACTGATGCGGAAACACTCATCAAGGAGAGGATTATGATAGGATCAATAGAAGAATCCCTAGTTTCAATTATACAAAAAATACCTTACAATTTTACTCTGAGGAACTTTATATTTTTACTACTGGAAGACTCAACCTCTCTGGAAGACCCTTCTTCTAACCTACTGCAATTCAACCAAATTAATTAGATAGTTAATGTGTTTTTCCGATTAATTTTTTATCATTACACAATCCTTTTTGTTGCCCCTGTCCCAGCTGTTCTGATATGTGTTGACATCAAATTCAAAATGAGGATATATATTGTAAACAATTACTATTTTCTATTACAAAGGCTTTTAAGACTTTGTGTGTGTCATTGTTCAAGTCTGGTTGAATTTGAATCTGTGCAGTGCATTTTAGGATTTGAGAACAAGAAGAGTGTGCGTTTTTAAATCGTTCAGTTATTGAGCAGGAACTAAAGCCCTCTGCAGCCAAGTGCAGCTTATTGTTTGATCAGGGCAGTCGACCGTATTTTTAGGCACTAATTTGAATTTCATAAGGCTGTGGTGGTGATTAGAGGCCTGGGTCCATGGTTACATCACCATAAGGCCAGCTGAAATACACAAGGTTTGTCCACTTTGGTCAAAACTGGACTTATTCTCAGGCCTAATAATGCTTTAAAAAAATCAGAATAATCACGTTATGTTGTTTCCTAAGTAAGGGGTATGAGCAATCCTATTATCAACGCTTATTGTGTTTTGGATTTAAGGTAAGTTTTATACAAGTAGGGATGGAGTTTGGAAGTAGCAACATTTACTTGTGGAAAAATTATACTTTAGTGGCGAAAAGACTCGAAGGGGTCGCCTAATAGCGGGGATGTATTTGAAAACTACTGAGCTGGAATTGGCTGGCGCAATTGCTCGGTCATTTACGGTAAATCGAGAATTTGTCAAGTCATTGTGACTTGAACCGCCGTATAACATCTTAACGTACATCAAATCAAACAGTGAGTTGGTGGATAACAAGAAAGCTTCTTCCCTAGCAAACAAGACCGTATTTATAGTTAAAAGAAAAGTGGCAATTACTCAAATAGTCGCGCTTGATGTTGTCATCCTCCTACTATCGAATCAAAAACACGTCAAAACAGTCAGCTTATCGTTATAAAGGCGAACTTTCATTCAATATTCATCAGGGGCTAAAAAACAGGCCAAAAAAGTTGTACTTCTTAACCCGGCGTGACGCTAACGGTCTAGTCTATGACGTAAAGCAACAGCAGATTACATTTTGTCGCTTTGTACCTTCAAAATAAAAGTCCTCAAAGAAGGGCTTTGCAACGCTGTGAAATCAAAAACAGGTAGATGAATTTATATCCGTGCAAAAGTAAGCGTCGAACCAATAACATAGACGTAACGAAAAGAGAGTCATTTAAAAAAAAAAAAATTGGTAGAAAGTTTTAATGATAAACCTGCTTCTTGGTGACATCAAAGCTAACTAGTACACTTTTGTATTTATAAAATTAGCTAAAAATAAACAGGATTACAGATGTCTTGAGAGTTGGACAAGACAAGTGCTGCGTTCCAGTTATCTCGGTAGACAGATGACGGAGATGGGAATGACGTCACACCCGAGTTGACAGCTTTCCAGTTAGCAAGTCGGAAAACCAAGATGAAGGCCTACAGTTACCCATTGTTAGCTGTTGTTTACAATTGTCAGCTGTCATTGGCCGTTGTCAGTTGTTGTTAGTGGTTGTTAGCTGTTGTTAGTCATTGTCAATGGTTGTTAGCGATACCAGTTGTAAACAACGCTGGCACAGTATTTTACTCTTGCAAACATTGTAGCACCGTGTTCACAGTTAGACGTTGGGCAGCACAACATATACCACTTATTTAATTTCACAAAAACAAAACTGAAATGCTTATATATATCATTCCTTATGTGAGCTTTTACTGCTACTCTTTACTGTTGTTGCACTGTGCTGCCATCTTGAATTATGACATTGTTGTCAAGTCGGGGTTGGCGAGGATCTTCCGACTTTACAAGTCAGAAATCCGACTTCAGGGGGTTCGACTTCACTTCAGGAATCACCATCCTCAAATGGATTAATACCACTTTATCTTGCATTCATGGTATTGCAGCTTTTGCAGGCATTGGAATTAGGTTAATAAAAATAATAGATCTTTGTCCAGATTGTTGGTCATAAAAAAAAGTCACGCGAATCCATGTCAATCTGTTTGTTAATCACTCAACAATTGCATATGGGAGCTTTAATACCTTCTGTTTCTGGCGGTAATAAGTACTTTTATTTTTAAAGAACTTCCGCTGTGGCTCGTACTAAGGCTGCGTCACTTGACTTTACGGTATAAATACACGCTGTTCCCTTTGAGGTAAAAGGGATTCCCAATTTTTACCGCTTCTTACCACAAGGAAGGTTCCCGCTCAGCCGTCACCATGGTTCAGAATGTCGAGAGTTTGGTGAGTTTTTCTTCTTCTTCATTCATTCGTGAGGAGCTTTTTATTCAGAGACAACAAGAACCGTTACTGTTCAGACCGTGTGGCGGGTGTTTTCGGCTCACTTAACGCTCGAGACTATGGTGTCCCACCGGTCGGACTGTCGCGCGCACAGTGCCTTTAACCCCCCGACCCTTTCCTGAGATTTTAACGGGATTTCTCGCCTCTTAAATCGGACTCGACGAGCAGAAAGTTACCGTTAACCGCCGGGTTGTGACACACCGTCGAGATGCTCCCTCTGCCGTTCGTGAATGTATGAATCTCGAAGGAGCTCGTGCTGTTGCAGACGTTAGCCGCCACCATGTGAGTCCGTGTGGACCTCCACCATCTTCGACACCGGCCGGATAAAGACACCGTCGGGCTATAGTCGAAATGATCGAAAGTCCGGCTACACTTCGAACATAAAGAACTTAATCTCGTATCAACGTGTGTCGGCTTGTGGCCTCCATTAGGATCCGTTAGGCTTTAATCGAAATGTTTACTTTATAACTGGTATTTTGGTGTTTAGTTGTAGAAATGAAACACTTCTTTAAACATTAGCTGTTAAAACTGACTGATACTGAGATTGTGAGACTTGAATTAAAGCTGTGCTAAGTTATAGCTAACATAAGCGCTATTGCTTTACAATGTACAGCAGGCCATAACCGGATCATGGTCTGATAGGGACAGTAATGTGCTCTCATGTTATACAAGATATTGTAATACCCACAACATAGTGTAGCTGTATACTTCTTGTATTTGAATACCCTTCAAAGTTGTACACTTGTGCATTTTAAGACAATACAAGAAGAAATTGGTGTGTATAGTATTTTAGTGAGCTTAGTCTGATGTTTTTTTAATGCATTCTCTCCAAAGGTGGGTAAATACTTCAAAGTGTAGAGAGTAGGTGGGTGTTTTGTGTGCTGACATTATGGGACACCTAGATAAATCAAACCTTCTGTCTAACTAAGTCTCCTTTTGTTGGAAGTAAACCAAACATAGCGCTCTCAAAGTAAAACATGACAAAAAAGTTCCTCATATGATCTAAGTCTATGTGGGATTGTTGTGTTTGTCCGAGCTGGAGTGTAAATCCAGTAAATTAAAAGCATCTGTTTTAACAGACTGAAAGTGAAAGCGTTTATGTTTGAAGAAGCGTTTGGTGTAAATTTGCAGAAGCTTTTTACTGCTGAGTGAATACAGACAGTAGCTGCAGGCCATAAGGGTGTGACAGTCGGATCCATAGCCCTGATTCACTACAATGTTATGTCATCCAAACCTCAGCGCACCAGATATCAGATTTAGTGGTTTTAAAAGATTTGCGAAGAATGTGTTCTTGTGTTGAAGATGAGGTAGACTGTACAAACAATCATTTGGATTTCAATTATAGAATTTAAAGCTCCTGTAAGAAGTTTTAAGGTGGTTGTGAAAACGGCAAAAATTGAAATCATGTCGATATCAGCAAATAGAGGAGAGGTACAAAGAGGTACTTTGCTGAGGAGCTTTAAACCATTGACAGGTTCAGTGGACCAACACTCTAGTATCTAAGGCTACGTTCATACTGCAGGTTATTCTGATTTTTTGTTAAATCCGATCTTTTTGTGCGGTCGTCCACATTACAACAACGAATGCGGCATCTAACGTGAACGGAATGCGTCAGTGAAGTGACCCGCATGCGCACAAAGCACAAATTGCTTTCCGCTCCTGTTTGTGTTGTCGAACAATGGTGACGTTTGTCGCATATTGATGGCGTATATGTCGGGTGAACGCGCCTGAGCGTCCACACTGCAGTCACATCGGATACATATCTGATTTATATCCACATACAAAAAAAAGGCTGGGTCAGATTTGGAAAAATCAGAATTGCACTGTTCACATTTACATGAAAAAATCAGATATGTGTCAGATATGGTTAAAAAATGGGAATTGACCTGCAAATATTTTAGTAATCGAGTATTCTTCTGCATAGTCTACTGATTACTCGAGTATTGGACCCAAACGGCAGACTCACGTAAAGTTAGATTTCTTATAGCCAGACTCGGATAAATAGAGGACAACAGTGGAACAAGTGTGTGCGTTAGCGGACTGCAATGCTCATAAGAAAGCTAATTATGAAATCAACTTTAATCATGCCCCTAAAGACATTAGTGTCCAAGAGCTGAATAGTCTCTCTGTTACCTGCCTCTGCTACGACATTAGCAATGTTAGGCTACGAGCTAGCGTGAAGAGAAGTGTGCAGAGTCGCTAGGTTGGCAATTTGAAACAGTGACAATTTTAGCTTATAAACGAGTACTTGAGGCAGAGAAAATTCCTCGATCATTATTTGTAATGGAGGTATTCGAGGAATCGTTTCAGCCCTATATCTAAGATATTGAAATTTGAAGCTCATCGTGAGACTTACATTATGGTTTTGAAGTTCAGTGCCAAATTAAAAATGTTTTTATTTTGTGTGTTTTTTTTTTATACCTTTTATGTAGGAGGAATTCCAAAAAATCCTGAAGGATGCTGGAGACAAGCTGGTGGTGGTGGACTTCACAGCCACGTGGTGCGGTCCCTGTAAACAGATCGGCCCAAAGTTTGAAGTGAGTCAATGACTTTCAAAATGACAGTGAAATGGTTTTAAAAGTCAGCTTTTGTAAGCTGGTATCTCCGATTTTTTCTCCATACTTTACCTTTAATATTAAGACACATTCATTTCTGCTCAGCTAACTAGAGAAGTTCCCTCCTGTCCTGAAGGATTCAAACAGCAGCTGGAGCATCTCTTCAGAGAGGCTGCTTGTTGCTCTGGCAACCCTTTGTTAACCTGTTTCAGCCTCAAGTGGGAGAAGCCCTCTTACTGGAAACATTTTGCAAGACCTTGAAGACATAACAAAGTGAATTTTTTTCCCTCTTGCAGGAAGAGTCCAAAAATCCCGACAACAAGAACGTGATTTTCCTGAAGGTTGACGTGGACGAGGCTGAGGTAGGTCCACACTGTGGGGTAGAGGGGAGTATTTGGTAACGCTTGTCCACGGGTGCATTGATCAAAGCACTTCCTCCTCGGGTTGGATCTGTTGGAGCGTAACTACGCTATTAAGACTCAAAACAATGTGGAGTATTTGTGAAATCCACTCCATGAGGCTGTGGGGGTTCACAGCTGGCTCATGTGACCAACATTTCCAGCCTCAGTGAGAGAAGAACAAACTTTGCTGGCTACTTTTTTAGTAGTTATTTTCTAGTAAGAGGACATAGTGACTTGCTAACTGGGCTAGTTGGTATTTAGCTGAAGTTACACAGATGAACCCAACAAATTCTGGTCATTTCACTACTTACCAGTTATTCGTCACTGAAAAGAGTCACGAGGGAGGAATCCGGTTGTATTTCAGGACGACATAGCGGCAGTATTGGCTTTGAGAGGGCAAATGTTGATATGACGCCGATTACATCAGGCGTAAACACCTTATCAATATAGTAGCCATGTAAGCTAGCTACTAGGCCGGGGCGATTTGGCAAAAAAAATGATCACAATTTGTCGTATTGTCCGATCTCGATTATTATCACAATTTTTTTTAAACGGACAGTTTTAAAGCATCTGTACTAAAAACTAAAGAAACTAGAGATTAGTTCAACATTTTATTAACATACGAAGTGAATAAGATACACTTAGAAAAATATAAAAATATTTTAATTCAACAGTACTACAAATGTAGATAAATTCCAAGTAATACAGAGAATTAGTTTACAGTCCTGAGTGTTTATGCAGGTATGCAAGACCCAAAATAAACAAATCGCCCCCTCAGAGATAATGAAGACGCCTTCAAATGTAAACATTAGATGATGTAAACATTAGATGATATGATTCATTGCTGCTTTGGTCTGGTGGCTGCACTGCTAGTTGTGGCTAAACAGCTAATGCAACTCGTGATTTGTTGTGTAGCTGGTTTTGAGGGCACCAACCCGCCGACATACCCTGCCCATTGGCCTAATTACTCGGCGTCACTTTCGAGATACCAAAACCACCACCACACCCAAACCACCACCACATAACCGACGTTGACTAACTTCTCAACAATAAGATCTTTGGAGGATGACTCAAAGTCAGAGCTGACATTTAATTTGCTGCCCTCAGCTCCGCGTTTAGCTCCACGTTCGGTCATTCTGTTTACTTCTCCGATAACATACAGAAGTGAGCAGGAAAAGCTTGACTCTGTATAGGTGTGTACGCTTGTTCTATGGTAGCGTTATGCTAGCTGTGCACTACTGTCTCGCAAAAGAGTCTGCTATGATATGGTTGAGTGCTAGCATTAGATGTTGTCAAAGAAAGGACGTTGGGTTACCTTTACGTGTGACCAGATACCCCTTTAGACATCCTCCACAGATTGTCAGTGTAAACTAATACAATCATTACGGTAATGAACAGCCACCCCACTTCCTCCCTCCATTGTAGGATACATTTCTCATTGATAAAGAGGCAAATGAACCAAATGTGTTTGGTCTGTGTTTGCTAGTTTGCATGAGTGTTTTTGTTCAACTGTTTCCTCTTTGCTCTTACAGGATGTGAGTTCACACTGCGCGATCAAGTGCATGCCTACATTCCAGTTTTACAAGAATGGAACTATGGTAAGCACTGCATGTAAATAATGTAAAATATAAACAGTATACAGTATGCCAAGACTATAAATTTGATGGTTCAGACTGGAATAATACTGATTAATTCTGCTTTTCCCCCTTTTTTTGTTCCAGATTGATGAGTTTTCTGGAGCTAATCTCCCCACGCTTCTCGAGAAACTGCAGGCTCACAGGACATAGAAACCACCATCGCCGTCTGTGCATGCTGAAGAAATTCCCGTTTGACTCTTTGTACAATAAACACCAGGTTGTCTTTTTTTCCCCACATGGGCAACAATAATTTATTCCACTCATCATGTGTTAGTCCGCTCAGTGTGTTTGTAATGACTGTCCTTAACAAATGACTGAAACCGAAACCTTTTTAATTCAGTTTTATACGGAAAAATTGGCTCCTGACTCCACAACTGTCCTTGTGTTGTATCCAGCAAGGTGGATTTAATAAATGAGTTACAGAAACATCATCTCTTGAAGTTATTTTTAAAAATCACGACTTTTGAACACAAACCGTGCCGCTCCTCTGCGAGCAAAGACCATGATCAGAAAATCACGTAAAGGTATTTTATGCTTTAATAAAAATGTGAGAATAGTTTACACATATACATCAGACAATCACATCAACAGTTTTTACACATCGTACAAGTATATAGCAGCATACGTTAATACTGTTCGAGTCTCTATATGAAAAAATACAGCTTTATTTTACAAACTGGTTCTTGCTTTGCCTTTTTGCAGAGAGATGAGAGTGAATGGTTTACAAGTGAGTCAGTTAAATATACAAGATTTCCCTTCATGAGGCGATTCGTGAGATGTTTCAGAAGTGATAGTATCCTGATTTCCTTTTCCTGCGAGAAGAAGGAGAAGAAAGACTCTTTCAAGTCAAATTTTATAAAGGACATTTATATCCTAGAAGCTTAAAACTGAGTCAAGGCAAAGAGCGGGTTAAGTGGTTAAATATGCCTGAAAACAAACTGAAGTTTTACATGCGCTCAATAATGTAGAGTTTAAATGTCGTCAAACTAAAGTTAACACCCATAAGTTTATAAAAAAGTTTATTCTGCTGCTTTTCACACATTAATATGATTTCACTTCCAACCTCCTTTAAGACAGATACAGTTTAGATGACTATTGAATACAGTTGATCACAGTTTGGATGAACAATATACTCCCTGTTAACTATTTTAAACACTCTTGTATGACTTGATGCAATTTATTGAAAAAGGAAAATGAGATCAATGTAACAAAAAGAAAAGCAAAAACAAAAATTTTATTTTTTTCAACTTTTTTTCTTTTTTTAAAATTTTGACCTTGATCTCAGAATAAGAAAAATATCACGAGTTTTGAGTTTGAAGACAGAATTGTAAATTTTTTTAACACCCATTAGTTTATAAAGTTTATTCTGCTGCCTTTCACACACTAATATGATTTCACTTCCAACCTCCTTTAAGACAGATACAGTTTAGCCGAATACAGTTTGGATGAATGTTGAATACAGTTTAGATGAATAATACACTCCCTTTTAACTATTTTTAAACACTCTTGTACAATTTATTGAAAAAGGAAAATGAGATTGATAAAACAAAAGGAAAAGCAAAAACAAAAATTTTATTTTTGAACTGTTTTTTTTTTTTTCAAATTCTGACCTTGGTTTCAGAATTAGAAAAATATCTGAATGAGTTTTCAATTTGAAGACAGAATTTTAATTTTTTTCACAGAATTTATGAAAAAAAAAAATGAATTTTTTAGAGTAAAATCTGAATTTTGTATTTTTTTTCTCTGGAAAATCTATCCCTAACTGTTTCTCTTTTAGTCCTTTTCTGTAAACCCCATTATTGCATCTTGAACACTTTAATCAGCTTTTATACAGTGATCCTTTCCCTGAATTATAACGTCTTCTTGTAAGAGGGGTTGTTGCCCTGTAAACTAACGATGGTGTGGTTTACGGCCACATCAGGGAAAATGTGAAGCAGCTTCTTCTACTGAATCCATTCATCACTCTGTAATGGGAACACTGACTGGGATCTTGGTGGATGACTCATGAGGGACTTTCTGTAAATAGAGTGTTTCAGGACGGTTTCAGTTTGTGCTGCTGCTGTTTGCTTTGGATAGAGCTGGTAGAACTTGGTTAAAACACACATAAAAGATATAAAGTAGATGTTTCTTAGTGGACAACATTAACTTGACCAACTTTTGTACACAACATGACATTTAAACTAGTCCTACACAGCCGCTCCCAGTCGTGAAAAAAAACAATTAAAATTATGTCTCTGCTTGTTTTTCTTTTTTTACCTGGAGCAGTCATGCCCACTCCATCCTGGGCTGCAGTGACATCTATTCGGCCTGATGCATCTTCCTCCATTAAGACAGGGCGATGAGCACACAGCTGTGGTTATGAGACACACACACACACACAAACACACGGATATGAAATCATTACTGTAACTCCATTCAGGAGATTTCCAGAGAACACCGACTCGTCCTGCCCATCAGTTCTCGTAAGGCTGACGAGTCAGTGTCATAACAGATACCAGCTTTGAGGAAATAATAAAGATTTTTCTAACTAACCAGAGTCTATTTAGGAGGAAGTGCCCTTTAAAGGAGGCTGATGTGAGCTCTCAGGGGACAAAGGCTGCTGTCACACACTGACAGGACACACAGATGGTCGAGAGCTCTCTCACCCTCTCCATGAAGCCGTACTCTGATACTTACTCCCATTAACATGACCATTGATAAGAAAACTCTATTGGGAAACAACATTTAAGTTTTGCAGAGAGGTCAAAAATATGAACTTAAAATATTAAATATGACAAAAATAATAATCAACCTTTATTTTCCACTCAGAATAAACCACTGTTAGTGAAATCCTTTGAATCCAAAGTACCGATGTAAAAGGTCTCTCCTTTTAAATGCTTGTAACCTGCAGTTTTGCTGTTTTTGGACACAGTTACAGTTATGAAGCGTCAAATACGACAACGGAGACCCCGGACTGTTGAACAACTGAAACTGTGCATCAAGCAAGAATGGGAAAGAATTCCACCTTCAAAGCTTCAACAATTCGTCTCCTCAGTTTCCAAACGTTTATTGAGTGTTGTTAAAAGGAAAGGTGATGTAACACGGTGGTAAACATGCCCCTGTCCCAACTACTTTGGTATGTGTTGCTGATTATTTACTTTGTGGTGTATTCAATTGAATAAAGGTTGAAAAGGATTTGCAAATCATTGTATTCCGTCTTTACTTACGTTTATCACAATTCCCCAACTTCAATGGAATTGGGTTTTGTAGTTTGGGAAACAACCTGGTAAATTCACTGGGGTCATACAATTAAAAGTTTGTTAGTGTTTGAAGTTAAAAAAAAACTAAAAAAAAAGGTGTTTGCGGTGTTTTCTATCTTTGAATTTTGTATTAAACCAAAGAAAACAATTAAAATTATAAATAGGGGGAAAAATCCATGACTTTGTTCAGATCCCTAGAGTTCCTAGAGTTTGTGACGTCAGAGAGCACATGGCGGTGAAGCCCCCCCACTACCTCAGCAGGATTCCTGGGCAGGTTGTCTCCAAATGTACCAGCCTAAACATGTAAATGATGACATCAATAACTCGCACGAGCGACTCACCGCTGTGACACCGTGTCCCCGTCCATCCCTTTGGACACTCGCACTGGTAGGGTGCCACGCAACGCCCGCCATTCAGGCACGGCAGGATGCAGATTGCTGTAATTAGAGACAGACAGAGACAGACAGAGGGAAGTGGGTTATTGTGTTGACGCAGGACGGATCCATCTCAGATTTCAAGAGGACTGCGTCTTCAAGAGCTCAGTCACTCCAGCAGAAGCATCAAAAAACTTGAGTGTTAGTGTCAACAAAGAGTCAAAACCTACTGTTGTACTTGTTTTAATAATAATTAAAATTTGACCTACAAAAGGGTCTGGCTAAAAGTCAGTAAGCATTGTCCTCTGGGAACCCCGAATGTCTCATAAATTTAGTTTTAATATTAAAGAGAATCTCTACTGACAGGTCAGTTATCTTAATAACACCAACGTTAGTAAAGTTCATCCTCTGGGGATCACATTTGTCCACGGATAATTTGTGCTGATGCATGGAGTGAATTCTGAGATGTGAAGAGGATCTCCAAGCTTAGGAGGGTTTATCCTCTGGGATCATGAATGTTGATATTTTTTACTGATGCATTGTAAATATTAAGAGTTGGAATATTTCTGAAGATATTCTAAAGGCTGAATACAGACTAAATATCACCAAGGATAGTGAGATGAATCCCCTGAGGATCATGAATGAACAAGTGTAAGAATTCTTCAGTAATCGTTTTAGAAATGTTGGGATATTTCTTGATATAGTGAAAATGTTGGTTCTAGACTAGAAGCGATTATAAGGATTCATCCACCAGGGAGCATGAATGTATGTTATTTATTTTGTATCTCATTTGTGCTGAAAATGTGAAGGTTATAAAAATACTGGTTCTGGACTAAAACTGATGGGATGACCTTCATTACTAAGTTTCATCCTCTGGGGATCATGAATTTCAATGCATCATTTTGCACTAATGTCTACAGTAATTGAAGGAACATTTCTGAGGATATCAGTCATGTTGATTTTAATTGAAAGTAAAGGGGCCTCCATAGTTAGCTAGTGTCATCCTCTGAGGATCATGAATTTATTCTGATCTAAAGTATAATAAAAGTTTTAGGAGGTCTCTGTATGTTGTTTTTTATTTATTTTAATTATGTTTCTAGCTGTGTTTTTATGCCCTGTAAAGTGTCCTTGGGTGCTCAGAAAGGCACTTTTAAATAAAATGTATTATTATTATTATTATTTAAAAAATTATGATTTTGATTCTAGACTAAAAGTAAAGGGGCTCTTCAAAGTTAGTTAGTTGTATCCTCGGAGGATCATGAATTTATTTTGTTCTTAAGTACGATTAAAGTTACAAGTTAGTAAATAAGTTGTTTAAAGTTAGTAATAAAAGTTTTAGGATGTCTCTTGGAAAAGTTTGTGATTTTGATTCTAGACTAAAAGTAAAGGGGCTCTTCAAAGTCAGATGGTTGTTTCCTCTGGGGATCATGAAAGCCATAAGATATTCAAGTCCTTAAGTATGATGAAATTATTGGGTTATCTCTGGGAACAGTTGTAATATTGATTTTAGACTCTTAGTCTCCAAAGTCAGCAGGTTTTATCCTCTGGGGAATGTCAAAACTACAACTACACACAGAGGGATTTATCTGGCCTGGACCAGAGGGGGCCTTCCTTCAGGTGATATTGGATTTAAAGACCTTTAATCAGTTTCTGTTGTTTTGTGTTTAGATTATCTGACCCCTTAATCTTTGTGCTGAGTGAGGATCAATCTCTGCTCCTCATTCTGAACTGTGTTTTCTGTAAAAATGTGATCAACAAGCCGTGTCAAAGTCCTGAAGATAAGAGACGATCAATTCTTCCCTGATTGAAACTTACGCT